GCCAACCTAGCAGTTCGAAAGCATATTGAAGTGCAAGTAGATAAATAGGTACCGCTCCGGTGGGAAGGTAAACAGTGCTTCCATGCACTGCTCTGGTTTGCCAGAAGCAGCTTAGTCATGCTGGCCACATGACCCCGAAGCTGTACGCTGGCTCCCTCAGCCAATAAAGTGAGATGAGCACCGCAACCCCAGAGTCGGCCATGACTGGACCTAATGGTCAGGGGTCCCTTTACCTTCACCTAGCTTATAAAGGTACAACAATATGTTTGGGGTTTGTGTGTGTGTGAATATATGGTACATACTACTTAGAGACAGTGTGATGTGGCAGTTAGAGTGCAGGATTAGGACCTGCATAGACACCTGTGGGATGTCCTGGGCTGATATTTTACATACCACTTGGTATGAGGACTGAAAGAAAATTTCGCACACCAAATGTCAGTTTCACAAAGTTTCCTGTTGTGTCTCTCTGGTGGTAGCATCCAGAGTTGAAAAGATTGAAAACAGGACTTCCGGGTCGGCGCCATCGATAATGGCGGATTGCCTCTGAGTCTCTGAGGGACTAGCTCCGCGGGATCGGGTCCTACCGCTGCGGCGAAGCGGGGGCCCTTTAAAAATCACAGGAGGGTGAAGCCTGTGAACGTGGGGACTCGGCGGGCACCTTTTGCGCCCCCCCAAGTCGTGAAAGGACCCTTTTTAAGGGTTCGGGAGCGAGACGGGGAGAGTGGCGCGGTGCTGAGAGTCGACTGCTTCTTCCGGGGAGTGAAGCCGCATAGCCATTATCGGAGAGCGCTGACTTTTTCCTGGGACAATTCGACATTGAAAGCAACTACCCGTGAGTAGGATTAAATTGGATTTAAAGGAAAAAATAAGCTAATTCGGCACCAAAGCGGGAAGGTACAAACAGGAAGTCTGCCTTCCTTTCTTGTAGATAGATCAAAGCAAAGAGACTGTAAGCGGAAACTGGGAAAGACGTTTGATAAAAACTGAAATCGCAACATCAGGAAAACGATCTCCCCTCCGGATTGCAGGAGAGGAGGGGGGAAAGGTTTGAGTTGTACTAATCTGCAAAAAAATAAGGGGAAAGGAAGTTAAAATCCACCGTCTAAAACCTGAAAACGGACTGCCCTGAGATGAATGCCGCTCTGTGAAAAGCCTATCTGTAAGTAGAGGACTTTTGACAGCTAACTCTGCTAAAGAGATACAGTATTTCTGGACTTCTCCTGGTTCTAAAGTAACTGTTTAAGTGCAACCGAAACTGTTGTTTTTAGGTGAATTGGGGGACTTATAAGGACCACTTTTGTTTTTAAAAGTTGCAAGCCTTGGCTGTTACTGTGTCCCCCTAGAGGAGGTTTGACATTGCTACAATAACAACTGGGTTAGAGGAAAATTCCATTCCAAAACAAACTTTCAACCGTGGGATCGACCTTGAATTCTCATGAGAGTGTTATGGCAGATGGGAGAGGAAAGTTAGAGCTGGCGCAGGAAAAAACTAGGTCTGGCAGACCCTATCGGACAGACACTGCGCAGCAGCGAAGGGGTTCAACATCTGGAGCATCTGGAACATCAGGGGCTGCTCCTCCACAGGTCAAACCAAAAGTTATGTCGTCCGAAGACGTTTTGGCACATGCACTTGGAAAAATTAGAAGTGAATATAAATACTAAAGCAGTTCTGATATTTGTAGACGCGGAGAAAGCCTTTGACAACATCTCTTGGAGTTTTATGAAGAAGAACCTACAGGGGATGGGGGTAGGCCAAGGTTTTGAAAATGGTATAGGTGCAATATACTCTGAACAAAAGGCTAAATTAATTGTAAATAATGTGGTGACGGAAGAATTTAAGATAGAAAAAGGGACACGACAGGGGTGCCCAATCTCTCCACTGCTTTTTATATCGGTCCTGGAGGTTTTGCTGAATATGATTAGAAGGGACCGGTTGGTTAAAGGCATACAGGTCGGAGCCAAACAGTACAAACTGAGAGCATTTGCAGATGACTTAGTATTGACGTTACAGGAGCCAGAATCTAGTACTAAAAGGGTTTTAGAACTAATTCAAGAATTTGGACAAGTGGCAGGATTTAAACTGAACAAGTTAAAACTAAGGTTTTAGAGAAAAATTTAACACCGATTGAAAGAGAGAGGTTTCAGAATGAGACAGGTTTGACTGTGGTTAAGAAAGTGAAATACCTGGGGATTAATATGACAGCCAAAAATGGGAACTTATTTAAAGATAATTATGAAAAATGTTGGACGGAAGTGAAAAAGATTTAGAAATTTGGTCAAATTTGAAGCTTTCACTGTTGGGTCGTATTGCTGTGATAAAAATGAATGTATTGCCTAGAATGCTGTTTTTGTTTCAAACATTGCAAATTGTGGACAAGATGGATTGTTTCAAGAAGTGGCAGAGAGATATTTCTAGATTTGTCTGGCAGGGCAAGAAGCCCAGAATAAAATTTAAGATATTAACTGATGCAAAGGAAAGGGGTGGATTTGCCCTGCCAGACTTTAAACTTTACTATGAATCAGCAGCTTTTTGCTGGTTGAAAGAATGGCTACTTCTTGAAAACACAGACATTTTGGACTTAGAAGGTTTTAACAATGTATTTGGATGGCATGCATATCTGTGGTATGACAAGGTCAAAGCGCATAAAGCATTTAAAAACCATATTGTCAGGAAAGCATTGTTTAATGTTTGGATAAGATACAAGGATTCATTGGAAAACAAAACCCCAAGGTGGCTGACACCAATGGAAGTGAAAGCTCTGAAAAGGCTCAATATGGAGGCCAATTGGCCGAAATATTGGGAAATTTTGGAACAAGATGGAGATAGACTGAAACTGCAGAGTTTTGAGAAACTAAAAAATAAAGTGCGAGATTGGCTTCATTATTATCAGATAATGGAGGCATATAATTTGGACAAGAAAATTGGCTTCCAGGTGGAAAAATCAAAATTAGAAACAGAACTGTTAGAACCCAAAACTAAGTTTTTGTCAAAGATGTATAACTTGCTGTTGAAATGGAATACTCAGGATGAAACGGTGAAATCTGCTATGATTAAATGGGCACAAGATTTTGGACATAACATTATGTTTGCTGACTGGGAACAGTTGTGGACCACAGGTATGAAGTTTATGGCATGTAGTGCTTTAAGAGAGAATATTATGAAAATGATATACAGGTGGTACATGATTAGGATAAATAAAGAAGGGTAAGGATTTGCTGAACCAACAAATTGAACTGGAATACAAAAAAGGGAGGTATGAGGAGGTCCGGGAAACAAGCTAAAGGAAAATAAGCAATGGAAAATCTGTGTGTTTTTAACTATTTTTATTTTGTATTTTTGTTATTTTTTCATTTTTATTGTAATACTTTAAAAAAGCTTAATAAATATCTTATAAAAAAAAAAAGATTGAAAACAATTGAATCAAGAAGATACAAAAATACGCATTTCTGAAAGCAAATTCTAGTTAGCAGATTCTGCTTCAGAATCTCTCACTTCTACCCAAATTGGTTCTGTTCTCATTGGAAAGCAAACAGGACACGTTTATTTTCGAGCATTCGGCAAATACCCAGCTACAAAAAAATGAGCTTACAGCTCCACCTAGTGTTTGTAATTGGAAAACCAAACGCAAAGTACCCTCGTAGCAGTGGTTTGCTAATTGGACGGCTCCTTATCACCAGAGGTGTGATTCAGCCCAGCCCTGATTCTTTAGAGGTGAGTTGTGATTGAGCCTCTGCTGCTGCCCCAACTTGGAGAAGAAGATGGGTTAAAGCAGGGCTGGGGAGCCTGTAGTGGCTAAAATAACCACCATCCCTAATCATTGGCCATTCCCCATTGGCGATGGGGAAAAAGTACTTCTGCATGCACTGCAGAGTTAAACTATGGAACTCACTCCCACAGGAGAAAGGGATGGCCACAGAGCTCGATGGCTTTACAAGAGGATTAGGCACATTCAGTGAGAAGGCTATCAATAGTTACTAGCCATGATGGCTGCAGTAATGATTCTGAATATCAGTTATTGGAAGCCCCATGAGTGAAGAGAGCTCTTGTGCTCTGATCTTGCTGGTTGTGATGGCCTGGGACTTGGGCTCGGACTCAGAACCAGAGGAGTCTCAGTCCGCACCGGATCCTTTGCCTCAGGCGGCGTCTGAACCTAGTCTGGGGCTTGAGTCTGAAGAGCCCCAGTCTGCACAGGTTCCCCTGCAACAAGCACCAGCTGGGCCGAGTCAGGGGCCTGTGCCTGCCCTGGCTCCAGATGCAGAGATTACCTGGTTGCCTTCAGCTGGGCAATCACTTACAGCTGCTCCACTACCAGTTGGGTCAGGAGAGGCTGAGGCGGCCTCTGCGTCTGGTAACCCAACGACATCTCCAGAGCTGCAGAGACTGAGGTCTGAGAGAACGAGAGACCTGAGTACTCGCAGGAGGAGTGCTCACCTTCGGGCGAAACAGGGTGGTGAGTCACCAGGGTATCAGGACCAGCCGTTACCCTGACAGAGATAAAAGGCTGCTGGACCCCACCCCAGGTTGCGGGAGCAACATTGCTGTATGCCGGATCCTGCCTGAGATCCTGTGCCTGACTTTGCCTGGTTTCCTGCCTCGTGTCCTGCCTTGGCCCTGTTGGACTGACTCCTCGCAGAACCCTTGGATTCGGGACTGGACCGCGTTACTCAGGTTATCCCCAGGCCCAGCACACTGGTTTCCCACAGGCCACTGTGAGAACAGGATGCTGAAATAGATGCACATTGGCCTGATCCAGCAAGCTCTTCTTTTGTTCTTAATGCAGTCAGTCCCCAATTCCTGGGCTAAGGAGACCTTTTGAAATGAGGGCGTTTGCCATCCCTAGGACCATCTGTGGACTTAGTACATGCACAAGCAAGCCCCAAATGTCCTGATCTCTTCCAGTGAGCCCTGTGGTTTTCCATTCCTCCAAATGTTTCCCCAAAGAAGTGAATTGCATCTAGAAATAACACAGCACACTGGGGGAAAACCTACATTTTTTTTTGGAAATAATTTTTATTTGATTTTCCAAGTATAAAATAATAATACAACCATACACATACACATTTACAGATTCCTCCGAATCTCTGGGCTTCCCACCTCCCCTCCATGATCCTATTATTAGATCTTTTCCCATAATCTATATTTTATATTACTCCATTGTTTCCATAGTACTTGCTACATTACAAGTGTTATTGCTAATATTTTCATCTGCTTACAGTGGTCTCCAAGATAAATTATTTTAAAAAATCCCATTCTTTGTTGAAGTCGCTGAAATGGCAAAACTGACTGAAAAGCTCAGACCAAAAGCTCAGACCAAAACAAAAAAACACCTACATCTTTATTTCAAATATATATCAAGTATCTGTATCAATATTTCAGCAGACATTTCATTCAGTAGCAGCACGCATGGCTACCTGATGATTAAACAGCACATTTTAAAGTACATTTATCTATTAAAAACTGGATACTGCCTTTCCAGACAAGGTGTGCAATAAAAAACAACAACTCACAAAATAGAAAAATGAAATAATAATTAATAGTCAGGGCAGTGCTAGCATAAAGCAGCAGGAACATATCTGAAAACTGAAGTTTTAGCTACAAAGCTACAGCATATCAAAAACAAAAACAACACATCAAATAAAATTACTAAGTCAAAATAAGGATTGAAAAATCTTGAAAAGCTTTAAAAGTCAGAGATGGGGAACCAGCAGCCCTCCAGATGTTGCTGGACTACAACTCCCATCATCCTAGCTGTGCTTTAAGGTTTTAAGCAGGGGTCAGCAAACTTTTTCAGCAGGGGGGCAGGCCACTGTCCCTCAGACCATGGCAGGGTACAGACTATATTTTGAAAAAAAGAAGAAGAACAAATTCCTATCCCCCACAAATAACCCCGAGATGCATTTTAAATAAAAGCACACATTCTACTCATGTAAAAACATGCTGATTCCCGGACCACCCGTGAGCCGGATTTAGAAGGCGATTGGGCCGGATCCGGCCCCCGGGCCTTAGTTTGCCTACCCATGGTTTTAAGTCTCTGAGAGGATATCCCAGAGGGGCAACAGGCAGGGCTGGCCCAATACATTTTGGGATGTGAGGTGGGCTCCAAAATGGTGCCTCCTTCCCCACCAGGGAAGAAGGAGAAAGGGAAGCTGTACATCAGGAACAAGGGGGGGAGTTTCAACAGCAGGACCTGCTGTCCCTGTGGATTCTGCCTCCTGAGGCGGTGACCTCAGCTTGCCACATGGGTGGGCCAGCCCTGGCAATAGGATACAGCTAATCTCCCTCTCCATGGGTAAAAAGTCCAGGGCCAGAGAGGGAGCCCACTTTCCTCTGCTGGTGCATTGATGACACAGCTGAGGAAGAAGAGTTCGGATTTGATATCCTGCTTTATCAGTACCCAAAGGAGTCTCAAAGCGGCTAACATTCTCCTTTCCCTTCCTCCCCCACAACAAACACTCTGTGAGGTGAGTGGGGCTGAGAGACTTCAGAGAAGTGTGACTAGCCCAAGGTCACCCAGCAGCTGCATGTGGAGGAGCAGGGAAGCGAACCCAGTTCACCAGATTACGAGACTACCGCTCTTAACCACTACACCACACTGGGGGCAGAGCTTGGGCAGCTTGGGACCCACCAGATCCAGAGTCCCCTCGTTCCCCTGGCAAGGCCTCAGAATGGCAACAAAACCATGCCAGTGCTGGCTTGGAGAATTTCCCTCTGACTAGAACCAGAATTACCCAGGGGGAAACTGTCAACCCACCGGCCCAGCTTCCGCCGTGGTTTGCACAATCTTGGCAGGGCTTAGATATGGCAGCTCCTCTGTCATGGATTTCCCATTTCCTAAGATGGTATAGTTGTTCTGACCATGTAACCTGGGTGTAAGCAACACCAATGAGAATTAAATTTGCCAAGCCACACAAAGTCTATGAAGAAAGCCTTCATTTCATCTGGATCACATGAAATTCAAATACCCAATGATGGAAATAAGGTGAAGACCTTACAGAGGAAGCCCCTGCTCACAAAAAAGGGGGTGGAGAGCCCATGGCACTCACCCAAAAATCAAAATGTGCCAACCAGGTTGGCCACCCCTGACATATATTAGAGAGTCTACCTACAGCAATGCTGCTTATGATGTGGCGCAGGGGTCTAAATGTCCCGATCCAAGCTTTTTTGAATTATTAGCACAGCAAGTGTTAAGATAATGCCACATACATTCATTCCTGGAGGCTCTGATGACAAAGAACTTCAACTCTCTACATCTGCTCTAAGCACAACCAAACAACAACGGGAATGTTTGACTTCAGTTACATTTGTGAAAGGAAAGAGTTTCATTTCCTAACCACAGCGCCTGGAGGCTGCAGACACACCAGAGAACCCCTGGTTCAAAACAGTGCTTGTGAAAAGTGTGCTCCGGCCTTGACCCAGATTCCTGAAAGAGGAGGCAAATTTCATTCCAAAAGCAAAAGTTGGATCATGGAAATGAGCATGAGAAATTCAGGGGCAGGAGCAGCAAATCTGGACTCTTTAGCAAAGGCAAAAAAACCTCTCTTTCAAAACATTCAGCTTATATGCCTTTTTATATAAAATAATGCATCCGTCTTATTTCTCCCTTGCAGCATCTGCATCCAGAGTAGGAATGGTAAACTGAAGTGGTTCAGCTTCTCTTATCCCATGTGAACTGGGATATGTGGCTTTGGGCTCGTTACATGTTCAGAAATCCCACTCTTCCCCGTTGGACATGCCTATAATTTAGGACGGGAACATAAGAGGTAGCAAATAATGAATTGCCGTTATTATTATTATTAGCAGTAGTAACAGAAATAGTAGCAGTAATTACAACTCCACAATACTTTCTGGTATGCACGGTGGTTTACAAATCCCACTTAGTTCACTGAAATGTAGGTAAAATAGTACAAGCAACAAAGAGGAGTTAGTCTCATGCCTGAAGAGAATGCTGGTCTGCCCATGAACTTCCTGTGTGGGATTCCAGTTGTGTTTGGCTGAAGAGGGCTGGTGCAAGGATGGCAAACCCTTTTCAGCCTGAGAGCCACATTCCCTCACAGGCCACCTTCTGGGGGCCATATAGCAGTGGTGGTTGGAGCCAGAGGTAAAAAGTGGGTGGAGCAACAAATGTGACTCTTACCATTGTTCTATAGCAGGCATCCCCAAACTTGGCCCTCCAGATGTTTTGGGACTACAATTCCCATCATCCCTGACCACTGGTCCTGTTAGCTAGGGATGATGAGAGTTGTAGTCCCAAAACAGCTGGAGGGCCAAATTTGGGGGTGCCTGTGTTACGATATTCCGTTCCACCTTAACAGATATGTGGAGTTGTTGTATGTCAAATGTCTGTTTACATTCCAGCACAGCTTGCTGGGAACTTCTGTTGTGTGTATAGCTTTTGCTTATGCTGTTTGCTTGGACACGAAGGGGAGAAGACATGTTCTTCCCTTTGTCCTGATGCTGAATAAAATGCCTGTAAATACGCTTTACACAGCCTCTATCTGCCCTTCTGTTGCAAAGAGTTTACTCTGCTGGCTTGCGTGCTCAGCTTCTGAAGGTTTCTGAGGCTTGAGTCGCAGTTACATGCTGATCCAAGGACCGGAGATCGCCCAGCTGCGGGCCTATGGGTTGGAGCCAGCTGGGGGCCTGCCAATTGCCCCCATTTCCTTGGACGCATCCCAACAGCCTGTTCTATAGGCTACATTCCCATCACAGAAAAACCAGCAGTTTCTAGACCAGCGGTTCTCAACCTGTGGGTCCACAGATGTTGTTGGACTACAACTCCCATCATCCCTGAGCTCTGGCCTTGCTAACTAGGGGTGATGGGAGTTGTAGTTCAACAACATCTGGGGACCCACAGGTTGAGAAAGGCTGTTCTAGACCCTCCACAGTGGAAGCAGATCCATGAGGGCCTATGCAACAACCTCAGCCGGCCCTCAGCCAAACCCCACTGGCCTTCCTCACTTGCAAGCAGTTGGTGGGTGAATGGGGCTGTCACTGGCTCAGACTCCACCTGCTGCTGGTCTCTCTGCTTCTGTACCTCCAGTGCCAGCGGATAGCAGCAGTGGAGGACTCTGGGCTCTCACATTTCAGCGGTGCCCTGTGAGACACTAAAATTTGCCCTCCCCTCCTCTCACGTTCCGTTCTACAGCATTGTTGTGGTGCTCCCTGCAGCACGGCACCCAGTGCAGCTGAACTGGTCGCGCCACCTTAGAACTACCTCTGACACCAGACACCACAGACTCTCTAAGCAGACAAGTGAGAGGCACAATCATAGGCAGAAACACTCAAAAGTAGGACATTGAGAAGTTGAGTGAGTGAGGTGGAGGCACGGCCAAAGACAGGCCTGGAAGCTAGACGAAGAGGTGAGGTTTCGCACACCTGTGCAGGAGTCTCACATTTCTGCAGTGCTCTCCTGAAAACACTCAATAATATATTTGCCAAAAATGCTGCGCACACACACACACACACTCTCTCTCAACAGCTGAGAAGAATGCCAGAATCATGATGACATTCTGGAGATCTCCCTGGGGGAAAACAACAGACGGTTCTTTCTGAAGATTAGAGCGAGCAGCTGGGGACATCATTCACAGTCCCTTGCCATGGGTGCTATTAATAGGTTTTAAACCACCACCCCCTAAAAAAAAAGCAAAAGGGGAAAAAAAGAGAAGAAAAATGTTCTTGTTTGCAAATCTTACTTACTGCTCCTTCTGCCTCAGCCAGCTGGCAGGCCAGGAGGGAAAGCAGCTGTGAAAAGGATGGTCTTTTTCTGGAGTCCAGAGCCCAGCAGGAACACAGCATTAAATATCTGCAAAGACAACAACAAAACCAGAGGGGGGGATACGAAATGATTTCCCAAAGCATTTTCTATGGGAAAGTCAGGCAACTGGGATATGAATGTGTCCCAAAATACAAGCACGCCTGGGCTTTTAAAAGATCCTAGGATCAAAAGAACTTCACCTGCAGCTCAGACTCAAGGCGCTTCGTTAAGACAACACCCCAAAGCATGAAAACTTTTAAGTTAATGTGCCTGCTTTAACATCTTCACCATGTTATCAATAAGCTTGTTTGGCGGTCTCATATACAGTATTTGAGAATCTCGTGGCACCCATCTGAAGCAATGCTCTCAAGTAGATCTTGCAAACATTTACTGTATTTTTCGCCCTATAGGACGCACTTTTTCCCCTCCAAAAATGAAGGGGAAATCTGTGTGCGTCCTATGGGGCGAATGCAGGCTTTCGCTGAAGCTTGGAGAGCGAGAGGCGGTGCGCGTCGCTCTGACTCAGGAAGCTATCAGTAAGCCTAGGGAGCCCTGCGGGAGTTCCCGCAGGGCTCCGTAGGCTGCGGATAGCAGCCTGCTGCCCGGAGCGCGGGGCGCGCTGAAGCCGTGGCTGGGGGGGGGGGGAAATAATTTTTTCCCTTTATTTCCCCCCAAAAAACTAGGTGCCTCCTATGGGCCGGTGCGTCCTATAGGGCGAAAAATACGGCATGTGGCTTCAGTCCCACATCCATTATCCAAAACACTCTGAAACTAGACATGTTGGTTTAAGTTCTAAGCAGCTCTGCACCACGGCTGGGGCCAGGAAAAAGGGGCAATTCACAAGGGGCAATGATGGTGAAATGATGTCCACACCGCATTATCAGCGCATGTATACCAATGGTACAAACAGGGAAAGCAGACTGAGAAGTGTGTGTGTGTGTGTGTCCCAGAATGTGCAACACAGGTCAGGTTTTTTGACTCCTCTGTTCCCTTAACTTGCATAACCAGCATTTATGCCTACTTAACTGTTTCTATCAGTAGCCAGTATGTGGCTGGTAGTCCTGAAGAATAATAAATTAGAAGCACAGGGAAGGTAGGAAGGGTGAAATTTACCATGGCATCCCTAAATTGTGCCTGGGCAGAATCCTGCCCCTCCCCAGCCCTCGGTATTTATACCCCATGCTTACATTTCTTCTGTAGCATAAAACGGACAGTCCATTTTAAAGCCACTTTGAATTAGCTTGTAGAAGTTTGCATCCACTTGTATTCCAGGGTAAGGATTGACACCTAAAACAGAAAGATGGGAGAAGTGAAGAGTGAAAAAGTGGATGTTGAAAAACAGGCTTGCCACACCCTTCTTCACACAATTCACGACTGCATATACACTGTACATTTAAAGCAAACAGCTCTCCCCCCGCAAATCTTGGGATCTACGGTTTACCCCTCCTAGAGCTATAATTCCTAATGCCCCAACAAACTATAGTTCCCAGTATTCTTTGGAGGAAAGCCATGTGCTTAAAATTATGGTGTGCAGTATGTAGCCTAATGCACCCACATCATTGAGTTCATTTCTCCATATTACCACATCAGTTTTGTTATTTAAAAACAACAACTCGTGAAGATTAATCGGCATATTAGTGCCAATTTCTCCTAATGTACACATTTTTGTATTCAATTTCCCCTAACACACACATTTTTGGAAAGCATACTTCACCTAATATAATGTATTCTGTAAGTTATTTTCCTGCACACTTTACCCTAGTAGAGTGATTCCCAAACCTCCCCACTCCCCGAAGACCACTTGAACACTGCTGAGACTTTGCGGGGGGGGGGGGGAGACTTAATGATTTTTCTGCCTATTATAACAATTGTAATGCATGGTGCTGGATGCTATACAATTTTTAATTGGAGGTTTATTGCTTTTATTTCATATGTTGTATTTTATTGAATTCCAATTCAGATTGTAATACAATAAGAAATAATGTAAGAAATAATGTAAGAAATAAGAGAAGCAATAAAAATACAATTAAAAATCCACATGCACCATTAATACAGTGGATGTTCTATTTCCAGTCTTCAACCACAAATTCACAAATGTGCTGTGGGTGGCTTGAATGAAGATTGTGGACCTGAAGGAGCATCTCCACCCCCTTCGTTCTGCCCAGACACTGCGGTCCAGCACCGAGGGCCTTCTGGCAGTTCCCTCACTGTGAGAAGCCAAGTTACAGGGAACCAGGCAGAGGGCCTTCTCAGTAGTGGCACCCGCCCTGTGGAGTGCCCTCCCACCAGATGTCAAAGAGAAAAACAACTACCAGACTTTTAGAAGACATCTGAAGCCAGCCCTGTTTAGGAAAGCTTTTAATGTTTAACAGACCATTGTATTTTAATATTTTGTTGGAAGCCGCCCAGAGTGGCTGGGGAAACCCAGCCAGATGGGCAGGGTATAAATAAATAAATAAATATTATTATTATTATTATTATTATTATTATTATTACCACTGTCTGTGAACCCCTGCATTTCTGAAAACATTACCTGGCTAGAAAATTTCAGAGAATTGCTTTGGAAAGTGCCAATGAGGCAAGTCCACATTGAATGCAAACTGAACCCATTTTTTCTGCCACCCCTTGTTTCTGGGCCCTCCTTAATGCTGAAGTAGGCAACTTAATCCAGAACATACCAAGAGAGAATATTTCCCACAGTAAGATTCCGTAAGACCAGACATCACTCTTAATAGTATAAATCCCTTGAAACAAGCTTTCAGGAGACATCCACTTAACAGGTAAACAAGCCTGTAGGAAGAGGAAAGGGGGGGAGGAATCATTTCTGTACTGAAACTTCCACACATCAGAGGAAAAAGAAGAAGAAATACTGCGCAAAGTCTAGCAATTAGTATGCACGGACTTCATTTTTAGAGGAATATCTGCTTTGGAACATGGTGGTTGTGGCCTTTGAGGGAGCACATGCAAAGCATAGTGGAACTAGAGTAGGAACTAGGATTTTCACATGATGTTGCTGAAGCTGCTCTTGTTTGAAACACCTAAAAAACAGATAACCAGGGATGCTTCAGACTCGATCGATTCCCTATATGAAAATATATTCCCTATATGAAAAGTTTCTCAAGCATGTCTTCCCACTGTGTGAACACACAGTGAAATATCTTTGGGTGTGGGTGTGTGTGACAAGCTACGCTAAGGATTTAGTATTTACTGCAAGGAAGCACTTTCTGTGTGAAGGTGCCCTCAGACAGATGGCTTTATGCAGCCTCCAGGTTCATAGACATCACGCTACTGAATATAAGCTGCTGTTGGACAAGGACAGGAGAAGAAGGCTATTGCCTTCATGTCCTGGTTACAGGCTTACTGGAGGCATCTGCAGGAAATGGGATTTATAGGCAGTTAGTCTAATCCGGCAGGGGTCCCTTTCATAAGGAAGTTAGGAAGAAAGCAGATATGTGTGTTCTAGCAAACCCAGCAAGGGAATCTGTGCCTACAAAGAGGCTTTGGTGCACAGATTGCCATTCTAGATCACAATCTGTATGTGCAAAGGAGTTCATCCAACCCCCTGAAGTTGTGGGGGGGGGTGAATAAAGAGGTGTTTTTCCTCCCTCTCATAATACCAGAATCTGGGGTCATCTAAGGAAGTTGAATGTTGGAAGGTATCCAGAAAAAGAAAAGGAAGTAATGTATTTCTTCACACAGCATATAGCGTGGTTGGGTTTTGTTTTTTTGCAAAATTGTTTTTATTGATTTTCCAAATTTTAACGAATCAGCCACAAACTAGAGCAAATTTAATACAATTTTTCAAAAAAATTGGCTTCCCACACTCTGCTTTCCATGTGTCCATAGTTTCCTCTTGTTGCTGCATTGTTTTCTAATTCACATTCCATTCCTTACATTTAACCTTATATTGCAATATTTTTGGAGGGATTATTTTTAATTTAAAGTTCTTAACCATCAGCTTATCCACTTGCCAATTCCTGCATGTACACACAGCACACAGTTAAGCTATGTTAAATTCATTGCCACGGGAGGTCATTAGAGTCGCCAAGTTAAATGGCTTTGAAGGAGGATAAAGACAAATTCATGGAGAATGAGGCTAGTGAAGGTTACTAGCCATGATGGTTGTGCACTACTCTCCAGTATAAGAACTGGTGTGTTTCTGAATACCAGTTGCACAAGTGGGGAGATTCCTGCTGGATATCTGGTTGGCTATTGTAAGAACAAGATGCTGGACTAGATGGGCTTTTGACCTGATCTGACAGGGCTATTTTTATATTCTTATGCTTAGTACTACTGCGTTATTATTATTAGCATAAAGCAATGAAAAGAGTCTGCCAAAAGCATCTACTTACGTTCCCCCGGACAACATAGTTTGAATCATTCTCTATGTCCCTCGCAAGTCCAAAGTCGCAGATTTTTGCCACTTTCCCATGAGTGACTAGAATATTCCTGGCAGCGAGATCCCTGTGAACACACTGTCAAGGGAGAATGGTGTGAGTTTGCTTCACGCGCTGTTTCACAACGGCCAAAGAACAACATTTAAGACCCTGATTGTTTCCAAGCCAACACCTTTCGCAGCTCAAATCATATGCCAAAATAGGGACACTTGGAGGGTTTGTAAACATGTGCTTATTTTGCTTAATGGTTTGTCTAGCCCTGCCTATGGCCTAGGATGATGGGAGGTAGAATCTGAACCCTGGAGGGCCCTGTCCCCGGTGTAGACCACACTGAATTAGATAGACCAACGGTCTGGCCTGGTGTAAAGGAGCTTTCTCTGCTCCAATGTTCTCATCTGGAGGCCCCTGTTTCCCTGTTCATGGTCTATGCGGTGCTTCCCCTCTCCAGCACTTGAAGGGCACACATCCTCTTTTTTAAAACAACAACCAAAAGTGGGTGAGCCTATGAGCAATAAATCTTAGAAAGAAGGAACCGAAAGATAACGCCGATCAGTTCACTGAAAGTTTTATGTGCTGGAGGGAAATTGTACGAAATACTGTAATACCAATAGTCACATTTCACTTGATGGAAGTGCACAAGTATTTTCAAAGGAAGATTGCTGGCTGACCCTCCAAAAAGATGAGCGATGCACCATTTATCTCTGACATGCTCTTCTGAGAGTGGCGCTGTCTGGGCAAGCACATCTGCTGCTCCTCCTGGCTCCTCCTGAAGGGCACTATCCCCCTTGTTTGGCATAAGACTTACATACGCAAAAGGAAGAGTATTTTGACCTGATCCCATGTTAAAGGCAGAAATTCATTTCCCATCCCAATGATATATAAACACTGGGCACCAAAATTCAGAACAGAGTTCAAATGGTTCCCATATAGCATTGCATCGTTACTGCAGAATCAAAGATAGTCTTTAATGACTGCCAAATAGATAAACTCCAGCAGAATAATTATTTGTTGCTCCCCTCTTGGAGGCTACAGCTACTGAGCTACAGGAAGGGCCACACAGCTCAGTAGCAGAGCACATACTCTGCATACAAAAGGTCCCAAACCACAGCCAGGGCTGGATTTAGGTTTGATGAGGCCCTAAGCTACTAAAGGTAATGGGGCCCTTTATATGTCCAGCTGTCCTTTGTCAACAACAAATTGTCACTGTTTTTTGTGTTGAATATATGATATATGGTAATTTATGGACCTAACAGGTATCTAAAACCAGTGATATTTTAGGGAGCAGGCTAGCAGGCGGGGCCCATTACACAGCATCTCTAGCTACTCTTGTCTGAAACCTTGGAGAGCTACTGCCAATTGGTGTAGACAACACTGAGTTAGACACATTCCAAGCGATTTAAAGTCTGATTAAATCTTGGAAATCCCACCTAAAGGCACCCGTTTTTGCACCCCATAATCCCACAGTGCTTCTCCAGCAAAACCTCTGTGATGGCCAGGAAATGCTTCCTCTTCTTCCCTTCTTTTTGGAATTACTTTGCCCTTGAGGATTTTTGCTCCCCCCATTCTTTGACATGTTTTAGGCAGACAACAGCAGGACAGGTAAACACCTCCATCTTCCTTCTCTCTCATTCCATCAACGTTCCAACTTCCAACACTCCCTCCCCCTTTCCCCACAAGCACTGGAGCATCATCACACAGCTGTTCTTGGTTCCCTGGCATCTCATCTCCCCGTCTAGACCTCCTGTCCTCCTGTCTCCTTCCGAGACAAGCCTTCAGAAATTCAGTTTACATTTTGCCTTTTCTTTTCCCTCATTTAGAAAACCTTCTTTCTTTCGAAGAGCACTGGCTTTGGCCTTCTCAGTCCCTCTTGGGGAGCTTACTAGGGCATTCTGCTACCTAGACCAAATGTTAGTCACACTGTGTTCTTGTGTATTTGGTAAAACATGCTAGTTTCTGAGCCAGCTCTGCTGAACTGGCAGCAGCGTTCCTTTGGCAGAGAAGAGCCGCCGCAGCAGAGAGAAGAGGTTGCTCTCAATTCCCCTCTAGCCATTTGCGTTCCAGAGAGATGCATCATAAGCAACTATGGCAACAACCAGGACTGACCTAAAACATTCTGATGCCTGAAGCAAAGGGCAAGAAAGCACCCTTATTCCATGTGAAGAAGCTGATTAGAGTGGCGATGGGACAGTAACCTCCTGAGGGCAGCAGTCTTCCTTAGAGGACATAAGGCAGGTTTTATCAACAACATGAAACTGTCCTTCGACATCTCGCCAGCGTTCTCTGCTTCACAGCATCTGCCACCTGAGGCAATCATCTCATTCTGCCTAATGTTGGGGCTGGTCCTAGTATTTACACACACACCAGAAAAACGTATTTCTCTCATAAAAGTCCATTTCTAATTAAGTATTTTATTTTTTTGTAGTTCTGAGCTGGAACATCCAGCTGGAGAGGAGAGGAGGTCATAGGATTTGGACCACTGTATGCATTTTTGTTCTCTTTATCATCTGAACAAATTTTCACACATCATGCTTACTGATTTTGATTCCAGAAACTCCATTCCTTTGGCAACTTGATATGCGAAGGAGAGAAGGTCTTCAAAAGTCAGCACATTGAGGTCCTCTTCATCATCTATTCCCCTGTTCACATATTTCATTCCTTCTACAAGTGAAAAACAATGGCAAGAGCTTTATTTCGCTAAGGCTTGAGTTTCTGTCACTAGTATTGTTTGCCAAATGACTACATTACTTCAGACCATTTTTTTAAAAAACCCACAATTACAACCCAAAAGGAGACTTTGATTTCTTACCTTCCTCAGCAAGCAGGGCAATTCTGCACAATTTAGAGGCCAAATCTAAGTCTTTTTTTGCAGATGTGTTTCCAAAGTCATCCTTTGGAATATATGATCCATTTCTTAGTATATATTCATTTCTGAAAAAGATTTTTTTTTTTTTTAAGAAAAAGGGGTTGCTATAGTAAAAATGACATCCATAGGAATGAACCCAAATAAATAGAATGAACCCAAATAAATAGAAATTAAAATTTGCGTAAATACATTAATTTTTTTTAAAAAAATAAACATTTGGATTGTGTTGTGCTTAGAATTTTTCACTTGCAGAATTCATCACGATAGCATGCATTCAATTTAAACAGCAGAGTCTTTGAAAGAGGATTTGTGACAGTTTTGACTTGATCAGGTTCAATACACAGCAGAAATGAAAGCAGCCAATCTCTTGTGGCTTTTCCATGCAGATGTGGTTCTCAAACTATATCATATAGGGACCTTACCTGGGTAAGGTAATTGAGAGAGCGGTTGTCAAACAGCTTGGTGGGTTTCTGGATGAAACATCGGCTCTGGATTCATTTCAGTCCGGTTTTCGCCCTGGTTACGGGACCGAGACAGCTTTGGTCGCCCTAACAGATGATTTCCGTAGACAGATGGATTGAGGCGGGTCGGGACTGCTGATTCTTTTAGATCTGTCAGCAGCCTTCGACATGGTTGATCACAAACTTTTGGACCACCGCCTTGCTGACGTGGGGATTCAGGGCATAGTCCGCTCCTTTATCTCAGGTCGGGGATAGAGGGTGGCGCTAGGGAGGGAGTTGTCACCATGGCACTCCTTGGTGTGTGGAGTCCCGCAGGGTGCGATCCTTTCCCCGATGCTTTTTAATATCTTTATGCGTCCCCTTGCCCAGATTGTCGGGAGCTTTGGGCTGGGTTGTCATCAATATGCTGATGACGCCCAGCTTTATCTGTTGATGGACGGCCGCCCTGACTCAGCTCCAGACACACTGACCAGATGCTTGGAAGCTGTGGCTGGATGGCTGCGTGGGAGCCAGTTGAAGTTAAATCCTTTGAAGACAGAGGTCCTCTGGCGGGGTCGGGATGACATGGGGTTGGGGGACCAACTTCCATCTCTTGCAGGGGCTCAATTAGTGCCAGTGCCTTCTGTCAAGAGCTTGGGTGTAACCTTTGACGCCTCCCTTTCCATGGAGGCAAAGGTTGCAGCCACAGCAAAGGTGGCATTTTTCCATCTCCACCGTATTAAGCAGTTGGTCTCTTACCTTTCTTGCCCAGATGTGGCCACAGTGATCCATGCGACAGTCATCTCCAGGCTTGATTATTGTAACTCGCTCTACGTGGGGCTGCCCTTGAAGCTGACCCAGAAACTCCAGCGGGTGCAGAATGTCGCAGCGAGGCTCCTTACGGGGTCCTTGCCGTGGGATCACATTCATCCAGTGCTTTACCAACTGCACTGGCTCCCAGTGGAGTACAGGGTCAGGTTTAAGGTGCTGGTTTTGACCTTTAAAGCCCTATGCGACCTAGGACCCACGTACCTACAGGACCGCCTCTCCTGGTATGCCCCACGGAGGACCTTAAGGTCCACAAATGACAACACTTTGGAGGTCCTAAGTCGCAAGGTGGTTAGATTGGTCTCAACTAGGGCCAGGGCCTTTTTAGTACTGGCTCCAACTTGGTGGAACACTCTGTCACAAGAGACTAGGGCCCTGTGGGACTTGACATCTTTCCGCAGGGCCTTCAAGACAGAGCTGTTCCACCTGGCCTTTGGTTTGCACTCAGTCTGACCCTTATGTTTCCCTCCCCTTATGGTTTTGATCTATGGGCTACTATTAAAATGAGGCTGCATTTTAAATTGTATTTTAACCCGTATTTTAAATTGTTTTTTTTCTCTCCCCCCCCCATTATGTTTTTATTATAATTTTACTGGTGTTAGCCACCCTGAGCCCGGCTCTGGCCGGGGAGGGTGGGGTATAAATAAAAATTTATATTATTATTATTATTATTAAGTCACCCTAGCAACTTGGCCCTGTGAGTTGTTGTCAGGAGATGCGAACGAGGAACAATGCAGATCAGCTACAGCCTCCTTGCACTGCCAGGACTGCTGATCAGAAGGCAGAACCACTGGCCCAATGAGTCAGGTGACACTAGAGAACCAATCAGCTGGTGGTGGTTAATATAAAGCCTCCAGAATTGATACTTTCCCTCAGTCTAGGTAACCTGTCGTTGAGGGAAATGATCAGATTCTTCCACTGGACTACTATCTGCATGAATCTGCCTGCTGGGCCTGTGCTACCATTAGGTAGAGTGAGGCAGCTGTCTCAGGTGGCTAATGCTATGGGAAAGACCCCATCACCACCACAGAGGTGTATGCTACAACCACCCGGGATGGGCATGTGGGGAACGCCCCCAAGGGAAGCGTTGTGTGGAGAAAGCCCACTGCATCCCCAGTTCGGGCTTGACCCAGGAATGGAGCTGTAGTGGTCGGGCATGAGAGAGCTGCCTTGGCAGCTTCCTTGCGTGCCACAGCCCCGCCAAAGAGAGCGGGCGGCACTATTCCCTCCCCCTTTGCTTGGCACACAAGGGCCTCTAACACATCGCTTTGCCCAAGCCACAACTGGCTCAGTGCTCCTTACCTTGAGTTTGCGTACTGTGGGAAATTGTGGTAAAAGCTGAAATTGTGCTGTCGGAAGACATCAGTCAAGGTCTTGTGGAATCTGTCTCGTTTGCTCCGCAAGTAGTTCAAAAGGTCTCCATAGCAACAGTATTCAAAAATCAAGTAAACTGGTCCTGGAAAGTTTTTTAAAAAATAAAAATCTGTTACTCAGATACCAGATAGCAAACAGTGAAAAAGGAAGCAACTGGGAGCAGCCCTGGGGCCACATAACACCAGTCCTTAAAAAAATCTACATTGGCTCCCAGTACATTTCCGAGCACAATTCAAAGTGTTGGTGTTGAGCTTTCAAGCCCTAAACAACCTTGGCCTAGTATACCCGAAGGAGCGTCTCCACCCCCATTGTTCAGCCCGGACACTGAGGTCCAGCTCCAAGGGCCTTCTGGCAGTTCCCTCATTGCAAGAAGTGAAGTTACTGGGAACCAGACAGAGCGCCTTCTCGGTAGTGGCGTCCACCCTGTGGATTTTGCTCCCATTAGATGTCAAAGAGCTAAACAACTATATAATTTTTCATAGACTTCTGAAGGCCACCCTCTTAGGGAAGCTATTAATGTTTGATGTTTGTTGTTGTTGTTGTTGTTGCTGCTGCTGCTGCTGTTTTTTCTGCATTTTGTTGGAAGCTGCCCAGAGTGGCTGCCCAGACTCTTGGTAGTTACAGCAGAAAGGCCATTTGGGACATAGGAAACTGCTGTCTACTAGATCAGACTAAAGGTCTGTATAGCTATCTAGCCCAGTAGTGTCTACTCTGACTGGCAGTGGCTCTCCAGGGTCTCAGACAGAGGGAAGTTTATCCCAACACCTGTTGCCTGATCCTTTTAACTGGAGATGCCAGAAACAGAACCTGAAACCTTCTGCAAGCAAAGCAGGTGCTCTGCCACTGATCTATGGTCTCCCGAGTTCCATCAAAGACTCAGCAGATCCCCTAAATGTGAATTTTCATTCCATTGGACAGGAGCTACAGGCACAACAGGCCAATGCTAATTCTACATTTGGGTACTCAACCCAGGCAAAAAGAGGTCACATTGGAGGGTCCAGCATAAGTAGATGGCTTTGCCTACTGGCTTGTTCAGCTCCTTACCTGATATGGTACAAGCTCCAAGCAGATTCACAATGTTTTCATGACTGCCAATGCGAGTCATCATCTTGAGTTCAGTCATTAGAGCATCTTTTTCGGAAGAGCTGTATTTGTCTGTAAATGCAACAGCAACAGAAGTGTAGTTATGTTTGCCTATACTGGGAAGGGCGATTAAGTCCATGCAATTAAAGGATTTAGGATCAGCCTCCTCCAACCTTCAGAGATTTGGACTACAACTCTCATCACCCATCACCACTGACCATGCTGACTTGATGGGAGCTGTAGTCCAGCAATGCCTGGAAAGCACTAGGATGAGGGAAACGGCTTTAGATTCTCAGTGTACAATGCTAAATCCTAAACTTAAGACCACTGTATTGGTAACCACTGTAAAGGTTGACTTTAGCTGTAGCAGCAGAGGCAGTAATTTGGTATGGTAATAGATGGAGATCAATCCAATGCATGGAAAGCAGAATGGGATTACACTTCCTCCAAGAGCTCAGCCGTATGAGTGGTTACTTGAAAGTGAAGTCAATGGGGCCAGGGGAGGCTGGTGCCCACTGGGGTTGGTGGAGCAGAAGACCAGAGCAGCCAACAGGAAATGATGGTGAAGTCAGAGCCAATGATAGGCAGAGGCAACCTGAACCTCCTCCCTGATGAGTTCTACAAAGGCAACACTGAGGCTAATGAGGAGTTGACAGCCAGCTAGTAACATCCCCTGGATTGGTTGGAAGTAAGGAGGAGGTGGGGGCTGGCTAAGGGCAGATTGTCCTTGGTGAGGCAATGCCCCATTCACCTTAATGGATCAACCTCCATGGAATGGGACTTACTTGCTGTTCATAGGAATAACTATAAGGAACGTTTCCCAGGAAACGTACGTTAGCTGTGTGTACTTTAACTGTGATTGAAATGCATGTTGTGTATGCAGCTGTAATGGCCAGCATAGGTCTGAAAAAAACACCCCTGGCTTCTGTGGGAGATGAAGTCAGATATCCAGGGACTTTTGCTTGATGTTCCGCAAATCAAAGCCCAAACATAATTCACATTTTAATGGTTTCTTTGCTTCGGTGCTGACGTCATCCTCAGAATCACCATCATGTTCTGAAAACTACAAGCAATTTAAGCTTTGGATTAGGCAGCTCTTCAGACAAAGGACTCTTTCAAATAAAGGACTGTTCTCCGATACATGACCACCTACTCACAACTGTGACACATCTGCATCACACATAATAGTCCTACAGCAAAGAGAGGGAAGACATGCCACCAGAAACTTTGGATTGCAATAGATCTCCCTCAAACAACACGAGTGTGCACAAACTCGTAGGAGAAAAATCAGAGTCTGCAGATGTTTTGAAATGCTAATGGCTAGCTTTGTATCTACCTCCACTGTCAGAGGCATCGTGCCTCTAGAATGCCAGTTGCGGGGAATCATAAAAGGGGAGAGCGTTGTTGTGCTTCGGTCTTGCTTTTGGTCTTCTCAGATACATCTGGTTGACACTATGAGAACAAGATGATGGACTAGATGGGCCTTTGGCTGGATCCAGTCTGGCTCTTCCTATGTTCTTAAGTGTGATGGCCTGGGACTCGGACTCAGAACCAGAGGAGTCTCAGTCTGCACCAGACCCTTTGCCTCAGGCATCATCTGAACAAAGTCTGGGGGCTGATCCTGAAGAGTCCCAGTCTGCACAGGTTCCCCTGCAACAAACACCAGCTGGGCCAAGTCAGGGGCCTGAGTCTGCCCTGGCTCCAGATGCGGGGATTGCCTCCAGCTGGGCCATCACTTACAGCTGCTCCACTACCAGTTTGGTCAGGGGAGGCTGAGGCGGCCCCTGGGTCTAGTAACCCACCGATGTCTCCCGAGCTGCAGAGACTGAGGTCTGAGAGAAGGAGAGACCTGAGTACTCGCAGGAGGAGTGCTCACCTCTGGGCGAAACAGGGAGGTGAGTCGCCGGGGGATCAGGACCAGCTGTTACCCCAACAAAGATAAAAGGCTGTTGGACCCCGCCCCAGGTTGTGGGAGCAACATTGCTGATTGCCAGATCCTATCTGAGATCCTGTACCTGTCCTTGCCTGGTTTTCTGCCTCATGTCCTGCCTTGGCCCTGTCGGAATGACTCCTAGTGGAATCTTTGGATTCTGGACTGGACCTGGACCGCGTTTCTTGGGTTACCCCTGGGACCAGCACATTAAGCACAGTTAAGCACTCATGCAAGGGCTCACTACAAGGAAACAGGATTGGGCATCTTTCAGAGTCCGACTCAAGTGCTTTTCTCTCTGTGCCACCACAGCAAGTTGTCAGAAGAGGGAGCTGTTTGCCAGGGATCTGCTCCGCTTGGGTGTCGCCAATGCAGCTGGGTCAGAAGTAGATCCTGCGGCTTGCTGACTCAGCAGTTGCCAGGCGATGCAAGGCAGGGCACCAACAGGAGTTTCACTTGACCTTTCTAAATCCCTAGATTCTGTTTCTTCAGCCTGAGCAATTTGTCTCTACAGAGTAGATGAAGCTGATGTCAGACCAAGCAACCTAATGACCCTTGTCACCTTGCCTTGCCTCTTCACTGTGAATGGCGGTTGCATTGGCCTGCTCTGCCTTGATCGTGCTTCCAGACAAGCACCCCAGACACCGAACTGAAGATAGGCTCCCCCCCCCCCAAATCAAGAACAGGTTACAGCCTTTACAGCAGGAGTGTGAAACGTGTGGACCTCCACATGAGAGCCAGTGTGGTGTAGTGGTTAGACTGCTAGGCTAGGACCTGGGAGAGCAGAGTTCAAATCCCCACTCAGCCAGCAAACTCATTGGGTGACCTTGGGCCTGTCACAAACCCTTAGTCTACCTTACTGGGTTGTCGTGAGGATAAAATGGAGAGAGGGAGAATTTACACACACACACACACACACACACACACACACACACACAGTTGATGGGTATGTTTAACCTAGAAAAGAGGAGACTGAGAGGAGATATGATAGCCATCTTCAAATATCTCAAGGGCTGTCACATGGAGGAGGGAGCAGGCTTGTTTTCTCCTGCTCTGGAGGGTAGGACTTGAACCTATGGCTTCAAGTTACAAGAAAGGAGATTTCAACTAAACATACGGAAAAACTTTCTGACAGTGAGAATTGTTAGACAGAGGAGAGGTTGTGGACTCTCCTTCCTTGGAGGTTTTTAAGCAGAGGTTGGATGGCCATCTGTCCTGGATGCTTTAGTTGAGATTCCTGCATTGCAGGGGGTTGGGCAAATGACCCTTGGAGTCCCTTTCAACACTAAAATTCTACGATTCTGTGACTCCAGCTCCCATCCTCTCCAGCAAACACAGCCAATAGTCAGTTATAAAGGAGTCCAAGGACATTTGGAGGGCCACAGATTCCTCATCCCTGCATTACAATATACATGGATAGACTACCTTTTAGCATCTTGACTGCGACCTGGACAGACACTCCCGTTTCACTAATTCCATATGCCGTGGCATTCACCACTTTCCCAAAAGCACCGGAACCAAGTTCTTGCCCTACAAGAAAAAGGGAAATGAACATGTCCTCCTCATCTTGCACTTTGGTGATGTGTTTGCTAATCTTACGATGAGTGCCACCAAACTCACCAAATTCCAGATTTTCTCTGGGAAACTCCCACTTGAGCTCATACTCAACCTCGCTGAAATCCACATAGATGTATTCGTTAGAGGAAGATCCAACCATCTGTATCATCTGCAGCTGGCTTTTGTACCTCGATTGCTACAGGGAATGGGAAAAGAGGAATAGTGAAAAGGACATTCAAGGTAACAGAGCAAAGTGAAAAAGACAGACATTGGGTTCAGCTGTTACCTTTTTGTAGTTTTGGCAAATTAAGACACACAACACAGCAATGACCGAAAAGCAGAATCCAGCAGTTGCATATAATGCAACATTATCGGACAGGGGATGTTCTCCTGCAATTTGAAGAGAGGTGGATTGTTAAGCACTTCATTGTATCATTAAAGATAAAATGACTTTGCACATGTGATGAAACATGGTCTTATCTACAAAAGCTCATGCCGCAATAGAGATGTTGGTCTTCAGGGTGCCACAGGACTCATCTCTGAAGTACAAACATTTAATATATTTTTACATACCATGGAATTTAGCATGGAACCCACGCTTTGTATTATAATGTGGCTCCCATAGAGCAAACAGAAGGATGTTGGAGTCATTCATAGAAACAAGCCAATAGCAACATTAAAACAAACCACCACACAATACCCATAAATGAGACAGATTAAAACCTGTCATGCTTCCTTTTTTTTGGTGAGCACAGTATTATTCTTTAGAGGTCAGTGTGTTCCCAGCTGAACAATCATTTATATTTAAATTTAAGAGATCCAGATTTAAGTGAGTCCCACCCACCGCTTCCATGGTATCACTGAGAAGTCTTGGTCTAACCACTATCTTCTAGCCTCAGTTTCCCACTTGTAAAATGCAAACTGTGACTTGTCTTAGGGTTTACCATGAAGGCATAGCACAATAAGAAGATGGTGGGGAGACAAGATACAACTCAGCAACCCAAAGGTTATGTTCCCATGGTTCCAGCACATCATGGAATCAGAGGCAAAGGACTTGGGTCTTGAAAACTCAACTGAAGTTCAAAGTCAGGTTAGTAAAAATGCATAGTTTGTTCAAAGTTCCATGGGGGCAGATCTCTTTGGGACTCTAAAATCCAGCTGTTGCATATAAGCAATTCTTGCCAATTGCCTGAGAAAGTGCAAACCTCTCCCCTTTTCCACAACATGTCACAGATGTTATTGGGCTGCAGTTCCCATCATCCATTCACCATTCTGGCTGAAGCTAATGGGAGCTGCAATTCGAAAACATCTGGAGGGTACCACATTGGCTATTCCTCCTTACACAGACTGCCAAATCTATCTTTACAGGCACCTCCGTACAATACCTTTTTCAATTAAGCTTGTTCCACAGTCAAAGCCCACTGAATTGTTGGCACAGCACTCTACGTAAAATCTGTCTTCTACTTCCGATAGATCTAAAGTGCTGTTTACAATCTGGAAACCAAAAGTATTTCCGTCATACGTGTTGTTTGATATTCCACCTGCGATTTCTGTGCAACTGTGGGGAGAAGAGAGCCATTTACGTTTTTCATTTTTTACCCAAACATCTAAAAAGTCAAGGGCATCATCAGAAGTGTGTGCTGCATATATCTTAATATTCTTTCAGTAGCTGTGTAGGAATGGAGAAGCTGATCACTTAGCTTTTTTAGCTCACAGATAATTTGTATTTAACAGATGTGTTTAGATAAACATACTATGGGCTGGAACAAGGGTGGAAAACCATATATGATGTCAGGTATAGTACAGGTAAATGGGGAGCTTGGATGAGAGGGATCTTTGCTGGTGCCGCAAACAGAACTTCTTGCAGAATCTTAAACCACACCACAGCATCTCAGCTGCTTTTAAAAATGCAGCTGCTAACATCCATGGAAAAGGCCATCAACATCTTTATTTACTTTGTTTTCTCGTCCCGACACTGTCTCCAGACCCAAGATGCTGCAGGCCTGCTCTCAGCGGCGCAAGAAATCTGAGTTGATGTCTTGTACATTTTTAAAACAGGTTTCCCTGCAAAAGATACAGCAAAACAGCACAGAGCACTTTAGAACAAGAATTCCTGAACTTCATCAGAACAAGACTCCCTATACTTTGAGCCTCCCCATAAATACATGACCTGCAGGACACGGGTGGCGCTGTGGTCTAAACCAGCAAGCTTCTTGGGCTTGCCGATCGTAAGGTTGGCAGTTTGAATCCCCACAACGGGGTGAGCTCCCATTGCTCTGTCCTAGCTTCTGCCAACCTAGCAGTTCAAAAGCATACCAGCACAAGTAGATAAATAGGTACCGCTGCAGCAGGAAGGTAAACAGTGTTTCCATGTGCTCTGGCACTCGTCACCATGTTCTGTGCACCAGAAGCGGTTTAGTCATGCTGACCACATGACCCACGAAAGCTGTCTGCAGACAAACGCTAGCTCTCAGCCTGAAAGTGGAGATGAACTCCAAAATGGCCACCATGCTCTCATGATAAAAAAAATGGGAAGATTTTGTGTCCCAGATTTTGGCTTCAAAGTGTTGGAGGGTATGCGATGTAAGGCTGCGGGTGAGGGTATCTCTCTCCTTGAGCCAGGCCTCTCTTGGGCTGCATACACAATGTACATTTAAAGCACAAGGCTTCTGAAAATATTGGGAACTGTAGTTGGTTAAGTATTCACATTTTTGCAGAGCAATTTCCCATAACGCAATGCACTTTTTGTTGTTGTTATTTTTCACACTTTAACCTGCATAATGCATTTTTGTACACACTACGTGGTTGGAGAATGGCATTGCAAAATTCAGAGAAAGTGCAAATTTCAGAGGATGGCTGTGTTTTTGCTTTCAGGAAGTGAGAATAAGGTGGGTTTAGCTTTAAATGCAAACTGAATTGCATTTGTCTCCCAACCCTCACAAGAAGAAGAACAAACAAGCAACAGCAGCATGGAGGCAAGCATTTCAAATCTGTTCTCTCCCTCCCTCTCTCTTTTGAACTCACTTTTCACGTAGAGTTTTAATGTCCTGCTCACAGACAAATCGTCATTTTCTGCGTAGAACACATATTCCCCTGGTTTGTCCTTATGGTCACAGAATTTTGAAGAGATGCTGTTTCACAAAGGAAGGAAGGAAGGAAGGAAGGAAGAGTCACCCAAGCATGTATCCATATGCATTTGCGATTTAAAAGGTGGTTGTTGTTTTTAAACCAAACCAGGCAGCTATCAAAGAATGAGAACCCAGTATAGCATCGTGGCCAAGCTACATCGGTGCCCTCTTCCATGAATAGGAATGGTGCCCTCACCTTGAAAACATTAGTTCTGGAAAGAGGTTCATCAACTCAGTAGCAGACAGCATGGTAGGGCAGGGACATTTACCTAACCTCCAAGCAGGTGAGTCACTGCTGAATATGCAGGGGGCACAGTGAATATGCACGAGTAGGAGCACTAGATTGGCTCTGTGGTACATTTGCACTGTGCTGCGCTCCCCACAACATTGTCCTTTCCCCCTCTCCTCCCTGTAAGGTAAAGGTAAAGGGACCCCTGACCATTAGGTCCAGTTGTGGCCAACTCTGGGGTTGCGGCGCTCATCTCGCTTTATTGGCCGAGGGAGCCGGCGCACAGCTTCCGGGTCATGTGGCCAGCATGACCAAGCAGCTTCTGGTGAACCAGAGCAGCGCACGGAAACGCCATTTACCTTCCCGCCGGAGCGGTACCTATTTATCTACTTGCACTTGACGTGCTTTCGAACTGCTAGGTTGGCAGGAGCAGGGACCGAGCAACGGGAGCTCACCCCATCGCGGGGATTCGAACCACCAACCTTCTGATCGGCAAGTCCTAGGCTCTGTGGTTTAACCCACAGCGCCACCCACGTCCCTTTCTCCTCTCTTTAAGCAGCAACAACTCATCTGCCAGAAGGTCAGGTACAGTAGGTGACTCCACTCCACCATGCCACCAGCTACTGCCTCAGCTAACAGAAGAAATTCCTTTGGAATCAGTGCCCATTCTACTAAGGTTAGGGGTTTTCTAGTCCAGTAAGAACAACCACACAGTACTTCTGGGGCAAAGATAGGGCATGGGACCCTGTGAGCCTCAATATCTTGGTGGAGTCTAGCTCTCACCAGCCCCGGCCAGCATAAGAACATACAAAGAAGCAGGGACAGGTCAAAGATGAAACTAATGAAGCCCCAGAGAGGCCCCAGAGGTGACTTTGGTCTACATTGCTTAAAAATGTTGGGTCTAGTAGACCCAATTTGCGTTGCCCGACTCAAATTGATTAATTTTTTGTTGTCTATATTTTAACAACCCCAAAGTTTGAGAGTCAGTAGCACAGATGTTAGGATGTGGTGATCTGCCATGGAGGAAGATAACAGTGGTTACCCTGACCTTGTTGCTGGTTGTGAAGGGAGCCCCATGACCGTCCAAGCTTCAGGACCCCATAAATGTAGGTCTGCCACTGCAAAGAGCCCTGTAGGATCAGGCCCAAGGCCCACCTGGTCCAGCCTCTTGTTCTTAGAGGGTGGTCCAATGGTCAGGGTTCCAACAACATATAGGGAGCTCTGTGTTCCTCATCAACTGCAGTGGCAATGTCACATAATGAAAGCCCTTTGAAAGTGCCCTTACCAGATGCCTTTCTCTGCCATGGAGCGAGCTCTGAAAAACTGGTTCTGCAACCTTCCTGCATTGAAGCAAGGGAAAGCTGGCTTTGGAAGGCACCTGCCAGAGATCACCTCCCTATCACAGCCACAATTCCCAGGGAAGAATGGCTGTATACATAATTGTATACCTGCTACTTCAAAAATAGTGTTTAAGCACACAGCAGTACCAGAGGAATCTGCTCCTCTCAACTTTGGAAAAGAAATCTGGCTGTGGAAGGGCTGCCTTGGACAGATGGGCAAAAATAAGACTGCAAAGCATCCTTTAGAAAGGCAACATTTTAAAAACATTCTGCACAAATAACATCTATGCGCTCAGTGACAGGGAAACCCCTCCTTCAGCTACTCAGTGTATCCTGCAACAGCATCATTCATTTCTGTAATGGACCAGAAATAAATCTAAGTATGTTACAGACATCCTGGAAAACAACAACAAACAGGGAGAAAAGTCCTTCTGTTGCTGGTGGTGAGTGATGCTCAAGGACCAATGTGGCAGTGTTTATGTTTTCTTGTCCGGCAACTTTGGGCACTGCTACAGAATCTCACCCTGCGTCATATTTTATAAATAGCCATTTTGTACTTTACAGAGGAAGAGAAAGAAGACATATACTACTACTCAGTTTCAATGCAGAACAGACAGAACCCAAATACAGATACCTTAACATGTTAGTTAATTGTATAAATATTTCAAAAATTGTGCTTAACAAATGTTGCCAGTGATTTAGGAACATAGGAAGCTGTCTTATACCAAGTCAGATCACTGCTCCAATTAGCTCAGTACTGTCTACACAAACTGGCAGCAGTTCTGCAAGGTTTCAAGCAGGGAGTCTTTGGGAAACGGATCTCAGTGACTCATGATTTTCATCTTACATAAGACACCAATTTGGCAACTTCCAAATTCCTCTCCCCTCTCACCCACTCACCCACTAGTCTCAAAACTCTCCCACCCACCCTCGTCCCTTGCAGTTCAAAATAAAAGTGGCCGATCGAAGCAAGCTCCTTTTTAAAAATAGAAAAGTGTGACTGACGGAAGGCAACTTTACCCTCCCCTGTGCCCTGCAGATGTTTCAGACTACAAAACTCCTCATCCCCAGCCAGTATAGGATGATGGCAGTTGTCGTCCAACATTTGGAGGTTGCGGAAGGCTGATGTGACATATAATTGGGCTCTGATGTAACAAATGGCTAGTACAGTGGTACCTCGGGTTACATACGCTTCAGGTTACATACGCTTCAGGTTACAGACTCCGCTAACCCAGAAATAGTGCTTCAGGTTAAGAATTTTGCTTCAGGATAAGAACAGAAATTGGGCTCCAGCGACGCGGCGGCAGCAGGAGGCCCCATTAGCTAAAGTGGTGCTTCAGGTTAAGAACAGTTTCAGGTTAAGAACGGACCTCCGGAACGAATTACGTACTTAACCTGAGGTACCACTGTATACATAAAAGGGTAATAAAATGTAGGGAATCAAGTAGCATTTATACGTGAATTTCAGTTTCATGAGACCGATTCAGTGCAGGAGTTTCAGCCAGCCTGCTTGAAAATAAGGGAAGGCTTGCAATAGACATTGATACGTTTTTGGTTTAATTCTGGGGAAGTGAAAGTGAGCGGAGAGATACCTTCTATTTTACAAAGAGGGAACAGAAAAACCAAAGGGCACTAAGAACATTTTCTGGAAAAGCTTAGAGGAAGTTGTAGGTGGATGGGAGTCATTGTGGTGTGGCTTGAAATCAAAAGCCCAAAAAGAGAGTGCTGTGCGGAAATTTACTTTCCATTTGGCTTCAGGCAGAGCAGAGAACTAGAGAGGGAGATCTGCTTGGCATCTCCCCTCCCTTCCTAGCCTCTTTTCTCCCTAGGAGGGAAAAGATATAGGTCCTCTTTTATCCATTGGGAAGAACCGCAGTGGGCAACTGAGTAGGGAAATGGCTTCTCTCCCCCATCCCAGAAGATCTGTGCTCGGAGGGCTCAGGAAATTTGCTTTGCATAGATTCAATCCTTGGCATCTCCAGGGAGGGCTAGGAGAAGCCCCCCTTCCTGAAACCCCATAGGGATTTGGCCAGTCATTGTAGACCATGGGCTCTCAAACTGTGGTCCGTGAACCAGCAGTAGTTTGTGAGCTTCACTCAGGTGGTCTGTGCTGTGCCTATGGATTTATAGTTGAAGATGGGAGACAGAGCAACCATCACAGTGAATATCCGTATTGTTCTTTGAATAGTATTTAGGAAGCTACCCTATACTGAATCAGACCATTGGTCCACCAAGCTCAGCACTGTCTGCACTGACTTTCAGCAGCTCTCCAGGGTTTCAGACAGGGCCCAACAGGTAGCCCTACCTGGAGATGCTGGAGATTGGACCAGGACCTTTCTGCATCCAAAGAAGATGCTCTGCCATGGATTTACACACATTAGTCACAGCTTTGGATCCAGTACAGAGCAGGCACAGCCTTTGTTACAAATCTTTAGGTGCCAGGCAAAAGCGTTTCTCTATAACGAGACCTTCGGCTGGTTAACATTCAACGGTCTTTTAAATGTGTTTGTGGGAGGGGGGGTTAATGATTTGTTTTTGTTTTATTATATATTTTGTGTTCTCATTTTGTATTTTTATGTTGTGAACTGGCCTATGATCTTTGGAAGAAGGGTGGTATACATCATCATCATATTAATAATAATAATAATAATAATAATAATAATGTCTCCTCGTGGTTGCCTCAAAGGATGTGTGCTCTTGCAAGTACACAAAACGGGTCAATTGATTTTTGGGTGGGTGGGATGGGGGTACTAAAGCAAAATATATACAGCTTGAAACTAGAATAATGAAAAGATCCTCTCATTCCTTATATAGCCAATTGATCACTGCAAGACTAAAGGCCTCCTGCAGACACCATTGATGGTGGTTTATATATGTCCTGAGTTTTCTGCTGCATTGACTCTGAAGAAACGAAGAAATACAATGTGCAACATGAGATGGTAAGCAGAGCATGGGGTAGATTGAAGTGCATTTTTGTCTAAAACAAGAACCATTAAGGGTCTTTTTCAATCACCTTTTTATCTAATTGGGGCAACCAGAGATTGTGGCAATACAGATACAAAACACGGGAAACAAATACGCAGAACGGTTCTAAACCTGTTGACTCAGAAGGGTGCAGAAAACAGTGGCTGAAAGTCATTACACACAACAGAAGCACATTCAAAGAAAGTTAATTACCTGTAAACATCTGTGTAAGTCTGTATACAAGGAAATGACATTTGGGAAGACATCCATATACATCTAATTGATGGATATGCTATTAGTGTGACTTCAAGGCACAACTTTTCCGCCACATCAGCTTCAAAATCTTCCTTTGCGTTGGTGAAATTGATAAAACCCTTATCTGTTGAAAGATATATCAAAATGATGTTGTGATATTTTTATTTAAAATGAAAACGTTTTCAGAAATAATTTATTACCCTGCAATTCCCTTCCACAAAGGAGTTGCTCAAAGCAGCTTACAAATAAAAAAAGGAAGCTAAAAGCAACAATAATCCGATCCTCAAAATCAACAAAGCAAAAAACTCCAGAAAAAAGCCAAAACCCAAAGACTGACAGTAGTTATCAATGCATGTGGCAGGAATAGAATCAGAAGCTTGTTTTAAAAGGATGGTTTTCAATTACCAACAGAAAAGGAATGAAGAGGAAGATAACCTGAATTATTGGGGCATATTCATGTCCCCACCAGAGAAGTCACATCTACACCATACATTTAAAGCACCTTACCACCACCATAGAATCTTGGGAACCATAGTTTGTTGTGGGTGCTGGGAATTGTAGCACTGTTGGGGTAACATACACTTCCCAGGGTTCTTTGGGGGCAAGCCATGTGCGTTAAGTGTATGGCATGGATGCGGTCAGCAAAAGCCCTCTCACGTTTTGCCACCAATCTTGCTTCAAAATGAAATGGCACAGGTAAGAGGGGAGCAAAAGGCAATCTCATCAGATGGGCAGATTCACATAAGAGGAGATGGTCCTTCATGCAGCCTGACCCTTGACATTGCTTTAAATGTCAAAATTCACCTTTTAGGGGGGAGGGGAGGGGAGGGGAGGAATCTATCAATTTTCCTTTCTGTCAGTTTCAGTTCTTCACATTTCCTTATCAGTTTGTAATTTATTTAATGAATTTCTCGTAACATGCACATTTGCATGCATTTTCGCAAAGCATATCCCCCCCCCCCGGATAATGCATTTTGGTCCGTCATTGTCCAGATTACATGCGTTTCTAGGCACACTTTGCCCCAGTGTTTGCATTTTTGTACATATTACTTGGCTAGAGAACTGGATTGCAAGATTTGGAGAAGTGTGATTTTTGAAGGGTGACTGCGTTTTGGTTCTCATTTTGTTTCAGAAAGTGAGAATCGGGTATATTCACCTTTAAATGTGAACTGTATCGAATTCTGCCCCTCCCCCTGCATCCTTAGCCTTGATGCACAATAATTTTCACCCTAAACTGAGAAGCAACAAACACTTGATAGGTCGCAGGATAGGTGCTTCATTCCTCAACAGAATATTAATTCAGTGCCAAGCACACTTGCTCTGTCAGAGCAACACAGTTCCTTCTTAGAGGGCTTGAAATCAGACAAGTACTGCTAAGGCACTAAAAGATTCTCAGCCAATCTGCACCAGCAAATATTATTCATTGATGCTACTTAACTCTCTGCGGCTGAAATTCTTGTGCTGATTTTTTAATGCTGGGATTTTTATATGAGATTTTTAAAAATTTTAATATTGTATTATTTGCACACTAGCCAGAAAACACTCTTATTGGGTGACATATAAATGCCATTAACACATAAAATAAAAACAAAATATCCTGGACTATACATCATTCTCATGTTGTAAATTCCATCACAGGAAATGCAGTGAAACAGGCACACGTGAAACAGGCACAAAGGGTGTGGAAGCCGCTATGTGTGTATCTGTGCATTTATTTTATAAACCATCTAAGGCTGCAATAGTAACCTCACCCTGGAGTAAGCCCCATTAAATTCAATGGGATGTAGACATGGTTCAACAGGTAGCAGCTTTCTATGTCCCTGTGCAAACATTTTATATGACAGATGACTTACCTAAAACTGTAACCAAAGCACTCTTGTTTGCAGCAAGTTCTTTGGACGAGCAGTTAAAATGTCTGTGACTCTGTGTTTCCATTGGGAAAACAAATGCATATTGCGTCTTAACCCTCTTGGAGTTCAAATTCTTCCTTCCTTCGAGTGACATGCCCTATTTTTTTAAAAAATAAAAGTGAGTATTTAAGAGATGGTGACATTCATTTGTGGTGCGGAGCTGTGCAAAGCTTCAGAACTACTGAAATCAATAGGAATTTAGCGAGTCACAACTAATGTAGGTCTCATAAGCTTTTCAGTTGAATCAAAAGTCTGGCTCCAACTCAGTATTTTAAAAAATATATCACGACATTAATATGGTGCTTATTTCAGAACCAGAGTTAGGCAAGAGTCTTCAAAATGTCATTAGCAAGCAGGTACTGTATTCTGGTATTTTGGCAAGAGGCACTGGGAAGTATTAGAAGTGTGGGAACTCTCCCTGACTGTGGTCCTGAACCTTTGAGACACTTGGAAAGCAATGAGATTTCTCACCGCTTTCTGAACAGCTACACAGGTACAAGACATACACAGGGGATTTTAAAGTTAATATTTTTAATATAAGGATACAGTAAGTGCTGACAGGAAAATGGGTTCCTCTTAGTACCTGAATCAATTGCTTTCTTTCAGAATACCACTTCATTCCAAAGTTATAATCACCAGATATACCACGACATCTTAAAAGCAATGGTTCTCCAGTTTTAAGAAAGAATTCCTGCATAGGGCTTCCTGGTACACTCAGATCTGAAATATAAAAATAATTCCAATAAAATAACAATACCAGCAAATAATAATAATAGTTACTACTACTACTACTACTATAGTTAAAGCTATGGTTTTCCCAGTAGTGATGTATGGAAGCGAAAGCTGGACCATAAAGAAGGCTGGTCACCAAAGAATTGATGCTTTTGAATTATGGTGCTGGAGTAGATTCTTGAGAGTCCCATGGACTGCAAGAAGATCAAACGTATCCATTCTTAAGGAAATCAGCCCTGAGTGCTCACTGGAAGGACAGATCGTGAAGTTGAGACTTTGGCCACCTCATGAGAAGAGAAGACTCCCTGGAAAAGACCCTGATGTTGGGAAAGATTGAGGGCACAAGGAGAAGGGGACGACAGAGGACAAGATGGTTGGACACTGTTCTCGAAGATACAAACATGAGTTTGACCAAACTGCGGGAGGCAGTGGAAGACAGGAGTGCCTTGCTTGCTCTGGTCCATGGGGTCACGAAGAGTCGGACACGACTAAACAACTAAACAACAACAACTACTATCCCTTTCTACTTACCAAAGTAGTGCTTAGGGTAGCTAGCATCATTCAAAATGCAATAAAACTACCAACAATTAAATGCTAATGTGAAGCAGCAACAGAGCAGATAATTAGAACAGAGTCAGCTTAGAATGCCAAAATCAATGGAAAACACACCTGAACAAAATTATCTGGCCCTAGTAAAACACTAATAGAATTTTGAATGAACACAAATGCAACCTCAGAACTAAACACAGCAAGTGTTAGACACACACCTCCATCAACTAGTTTCCAAATCCCAAAGTCATCCTAAGTGCACACTTACACACACACACTTGGACCCAAGCTGAAGGCAAAGCCTCAGGCTGCTTTTGCTGAAGGCAAAGGCAGTGGAAAGTTGAATATGTTCTAGTGCTTTGCCTTGGTCTGGTGTACATGCCTAGTCGGTAGAGCATGAGGCTCTTAATCTCAGGGTTGTGAGTTAAAGCCCCACATTGGGCATTGCAGCCCAGCATGGCAGCGGGTTGGACTTCATGACCCTCAGGGTCCCTTCCAACTCTACAAGTCTATGATTCTATGGAAATAAAATCTGCAGTCCCCAGGGAGGGGCAGAAGAAGGTCTTCATGAGAGTAAGGAGGGCTGGTTGATGATGTTTTTTTATTATTATTATCAGTCATCAATGTAAATAATACATTATAAGATTCCAGGAAGGAAGGAAGGAAGGAAGGAAGGAAGGAAGGAAGGAAGGAAGGAAGGAAACCAATTCTAGAGTGCTTAGTGCCAATACTCAGACGATAAGTGACTTGGAGGAGGAGGAACCATTTTAAATTGTTGCAAATATCAGGGCTCCTTTCCCCTCCAACTCATAGTGTCATGAAGAAGTGTGCCAAAACATTTAAATAAATACAGTGGTACCTCAGGTTAAGAACTTAATTTGTTCTGGAGGTCCATTCTTAACCTGAAACTGTTCTTAACCTGAGGTACCACTTTAGCTAATGGGGCCTCCCGCTGCTGCCGCACCACCGCCACACGATTTCTGTTCTCATCCTGAAGCAAAGTTCTTAACCCGAGGTACTATTTCTGGGTTAGCGGAGTCTGTAACCTGAAGCATCTGTAACCTGAAACATCTGTAACCCGAGGTACCACTGTAAATTCTTTTGCTTGAACACTTTAAATAAAAGAGATCTTTCACATGTTTTATTGGCAGGGCACATAAACACAAACCATTCAACAAAAAACATGACATTATTTTCACAGTTCACATAGAAATATGGACTGGATGCCAGGGACTGAACCAGGGACCTTCCCCATGCAAAGAATCTTCTCTTCTTGCCCTTCCCCAATTGAAGAGAAACAATGCCAGGCAACGCTTTGCACCAGTAAGGCTGAAATTTCACCCTATCAATTGGCAGCATCACATTTTATGCCCATCAAAATCTGTGACTGGAATGGAAGTATAAAAGCTGATTTGGGTGGTGCGTTGGCTATGCTTTGCGAAACCAAGAACTGAGGATCTTACAGGAGGTGAGAGATCAAATCGATTAAAAAAGAAAGGATCACAGTTGAACCACAATGATCCTTAGACTGCCCAAACTTGTACTTGATTATATTTCTGCAGGCATTTTTCTTCCACCGACAGATAACACAAAGAGAAACCCTGTGCAGCAGGGATGGCAAACCTGTGGCTTTCTAGATGTTGCTGGTCTGCAGCATCCCACCATTCTTGATCCCTGACCGCACCGAATGGGGTTGAGGGGAGTCGGAGTTCAACAGCAGGTTTCCCATCCCTTCTGTTCATAAGGAAATATTGATGGCAAACCCTCCACCAACCTGCCTAATGAAACATTCCCTCTGCTATGCAAGTGTATGGAAGACCACACTGGGTCTTATTAAAGAAGTGGTACTGTTAGCATGAATAAAGGGGCTAAAGAGTCCAAACCCATAAATACATTTGTATCTTTACCTATTGTATAGAGTTCAGTGCAGACTTTTCCAAACTCATTAACTGCACAACACCACACATGTTGTCGAAAGAGCAATTCATTGTCTCGTAATTTCAGCTGGGCCTGTTGTATTCCATCCATGTCTTCACTTTGGGCAGCCTTAGAACTTCTGCAGCTATAAAACAGAATGACAAAAGGCCACGTGTTCAAAGCCAATAACACTGCTGTCATTACAACTCAAGAATGACTCAAGGGGACTCCAAATATGTGCTCCTGCTAGCCCAAACTGCAAAAGCCTCCTGCGAAATCTGGGGCAGGTCTTTGGCATTTTGGTGCAGAATGAGATTCTAAGAGAAGGGTGGTTCAAAACAGGATTCTGAATTTTTCTTCGATCTGTATGCTGCTCACATTTTAGAAGTAGCAAGGCACTTGCTAAAACATTGGTTCCTCTCACTACATATACATATTTGATTTCAGAATGGGGTTTTGTGGGGGGGGGAGGGGGCAAGAAGCTTGCAACTTCAGTGGCTGGACATGAAATTCTACAGAACAAAAGGAGAATCAGATTACTGTATTTTCCCTTTTATACAGTCTATCAATCTTGCATGTTTGTGGTGCATATGCAGTCTTATCTCAGTTGGAAGATGTCCAATCTGAATGTAGAGTTGAAAACAAACCATGACAGGTTGGTAGCAAAACAGGTGACCTACCTTTCATCAGGGGTCTTGCAAGAAAACCATTCAAAATTTAGTTTAGGATATCCTTCTGATTGGCAGCTTACAGTAACTTCTCGCTGCTTATTTAGTATAAAATGTGGCTTTCTTGGGCTTTCTATTGAAAACAATGTAAGAATTCCTTATCATTTATTTATTCATGGAAGTATTTTACTTTTATTATTTATAGTCAATCAATCAATCAATCAATCAATCAATCAATCAATTGTTCATTTATCAGAGCACTAGCAGCCTTGTACCCAGTGTTGGTCAGGAACTCTAAGAAGCTCCCCCCCCAAAAAAAAAACACAGTGCAGTTTTTATATCAATGGTTGAAATCAATGTAGTTTTGAACGGTTCAGCCCACCATCTTGTTTCAAAATGGCACCTAGTTATATACAAACTTAGAAGGTGATCTCAAGAACCATCATGGAAAATTTGGTCTTGATGCCTTAAGATTCATCCAAATGCAGAACAAACAAACACATTTCACAAGAGAGAGAGGAAAGTGCATTGTTCGTCAATATTTACAAAGCTCTATCAACCAGCACCAGCTGTATACTGAGATGCTGAAGTTATTTAGCTGTTTTCACAAAAGGGCTAGACATTTTGTTCATGTAAAGGGCTCTATTTTGTCTCTCTCTAGTCAGATCCTCCTCTTCCTCCTCCTCTCCACAGCAAGACACCCTTTTCTGCAGGTGGGGGCTTGGACTCAGAGGCAGAGAGGCTGTGCCTCCGCATCTGAGCCCCACACCGAAAAGGGTGCCTCACTCGCTGGCTGTGGAAGGTAGAGCTCAACTGCTTTTCTCTCAGAGGCAGTGCTGCTGTTACCTGCTGGCTTTTCTCATTGACTTTGTGGGTGCCCAGCCCACACAATTTTATTGTTGTGGGTTCCCAAGCACACATGGCCCCCAAGAGTTGGCTCCTATGATTCCTAGCAACCCTTAACAAACTACCATTCCCAGAATTCTTGGGGGGAAGCCATGGCTATTAAAGTGGTATAAGAGTGTTTTAAATGCATGTTGCATATGTGACCCCTCTCTCGCATTTTCTACTCCCCTTCCCCAACAAAGAGACAAACATCTCTTTATAAAAGGAATTATAGAGAGGATTGTAGTAGCTTCACAGTCCCCTATATTTTTGAACCATTTTCCCTTTAAAAGCTGTTGGAAATTCTGAAGAAAAATTTCACGTAAGAGAGAGAGATATAATTATTATTATTATTATTATTATTATTATTATTTATTTATACCCCGCCCATCTGACTGGGTCTCCCCAGCCACTCTAGGTGGCTTCCAACCAAATATCAAAAACAATACAGCATCAGACATTAAAAACTTTCCTAAACAGGGCCGCCTTCAGGTGTCTTTTAAAAGTAAAATAGTTGTTTATTGCCTTGACTATTCCTTACACCTAGTTTCAATCCCACTTCAACCCCACCCTCAGAAAAACAGGGAATTGTCTTCCCTGCATTTCTTTTTAAATATGAAGAGCAAATGTTGATCAATACTCTTAAACTTCCCATCTGCTCAAAGCAGGAAGCTTAGAAGAGTCACAACACATCAGGTTGATACTTAAGGGGGAATAAATAAAAACGCAGCCACCATTGAAAAATGTAATTGACTCTGAGCAGCTCAGAGCTTTTTCCTGAGAGGGATGACGTACCCTTGCTTGAAATGAAATGAGTGACGTGGGAAAAATAGCACACAATACCAGAACTGAAAGAGGGAGGGGAAAATATTCAAATAAGGAATGGGAAAATCCCTGCAGGGGGAAGAATCCAACATGTTTTGCTGTTTCAAAGTTAGGCATACATCATACATGGACCCGTTCCTGCCCTATCATCCTTCATCAAGTTGTGATCAAGCCATTCCTTTGTCTCCATGTCATACTTACTTTTTATATGAATTGTAAATGTCACCCTGTAATTATCAGTTTTGGTTTTAATGGACAGCGTGTGGTTTCCAGCCTGGCTTTCTCTAATTTTTGGAAACTTCTTCGAAACAACATGCCTATGCAATAGGGGGAAAGCATCCATTAAAAAAAAACAAAAACAACTTCATGTGAAAATAAAAGGAAGCAGAACAAATTGACAACAAAAACAACACCAAGCAAGCAGGCAGGCAAGCAAAACCTGTGGTTGGGACCAGACTATAAGGTAAAGGTAAAGGTACCCCTGACCATTAAGTCCAGTCGTGACCGACTCTGGGGTTGTGCGCTCATCTCACTCTATAGGCCGAGGGAGACGGCGTTTGTCCTCAGACAGTTTTTCCGGGTCATGTGGCCAGAATGACTAAGCCGCTTCTGACGAACCAGAGCAGTGCACGGAAACGCCGTTTGCCTTCCTGCCGGAGTGGTACCTATTTATCTACTTGCACTTTGATGTGCTTTCGGACTGCTAGGCTTGCAGGAGCAGGGACCGAGCAAAAGGGGCTCACCCCGTTGCAGGGATTCGAACCACCGACCTTCTGATCGGCAAGTCCTAGGCTCTGTGGTTTAACCCACAGCGCCACCAGCGTCCCAGGACCAGACTATACCATCATACTAATAATTCTGTGGAGAAAGGCCTTAGCCAAATTGGAAAAGAGCCATGGCTCAATGGTAGAAAGTCTGCTTTGCATGCAGAAGGTCCCAGGTTCAAGGCTTCTTCGGAGGTTTATCAAAGTACTTCTTGCACCGGGATCCTTTTAAATTCCCCTGCAACTCAAATATGTGATGGCTGTTGTCTCATCACAAGAGAGACCGTATGTCTAGATTCAGTAACTATTGTTGAATATTGTAAACTGGACAGGCTGATGTGGCAGCTTCACTCTGAATGTGTGGTTGCAGGTGCCCACCCCACCTGTTGTTTCTGACTTCTAGCAAATAAGTGAAGAGTGCTAAACCGCTCTTTCCTAAGAAAGAACCTCTGTCCAGAATGACAGAAGTGAACCTCTTTCAGTGGAATCTAAAGTGAGTGGGTAGCATTCAAATAAATTTTACTCAGAATTGAAATGTTTGAAAGTGGCTAAGCTACACCCATTCAGTTCAATGGGTATGCCCCGAGTAAAGCTTAGCTCTTTGTATTTAATTGAGGTGAATTTAAATGGTAGGTTTAAAGATTAAATGTGTGTGTCAAAGTAGGGACATATAAGTATATGAGAAAACTGTGCACTCTGTGTACTTGTGGCTTTTGACCTAGCCATTCCTTCTGCTGAAGAGGCAAGTCACTGCGAATTGCCTCTTCAGTAGTGAAAACAGTTAAGGCAAAAACTACAAGTAAAGCTCCGGCTGCTCGTATAATCTTTCCCCAGATGCTCAGCACTTTTCTGAACCAGAGCAAATAATAGGAAATTTTATCATAATCGTCACCCAATGTATCTCTTTGCTTACCTGTTCTCCAAATCCAGAGAGGAATTACAATCAGTCTGGTTCTCTTTAAAAAACCAAAGACAGGTGATGTTCTCTGAAATATTTACTATTGCTTTAATTTCAACATTTTCAAGCACACCAACTTCGAAATCTGTTGCTGCTTCATAGATATTCTTGATGCTTTGAGAATACAGGGAACACTTGCGGTCTTCTTGGGTCTGTATTGCATGAGATGGAAACACGTATTTTACCACACTGGTCTTTTTTAAGATCTCTGCATTATTTATTTTATTTAAGGATTTATTCACCACTTTCAAACAAATGTTTCTGAAGCATTCTCTCTCTCTCTCTCTCTCTCTCTCTCTCTCTCTCTCTCACACACACACACACACACACACACACACAGAGTATATAATGTATATCGGTACATAGCAGTCTAGAAACTGATCTTAAAAGCATTTAACTATAATATTTCAAAAATAGAAGAGTCACACTCCAGGGAAAGCCCTATTAGAAACATACATTAGGAAAAGAGCAAATTGCTAGGCCTTAGATAAAGTTCATTAAGAAGCTGATTCCATAGAGCTGGTTCTTCAGATACTGATGGGCTCATAGATGCCAAGGATCTCTTGGCTTGCTTATTTAATTATTTATTTATTTATTTGACATTTCATTCCTAGTTCCTACACAGACTGTCTCCCTGAGTTTCACCTGCCTAAGTGTAAAGAACAAACACAGGTGAACATTCTTTTCTAATATCATTAGATATTAAGAGCTACCCACCTAAGTGGGTAAGAGCCAATGACAGAGTACACACTTTGCATGCAGGTTGCAGGTTCTGTCCTGGCATTTTCAGTTAAAACTGGGATGGGGAACCTGTGGCCCTCCAGATATTGCTGGACGGCAGCTCCCAATATCCTGGACCATTGGGCCATGTTGACTGGGGCTGATGGGAGTTGGGAGTCTCCAGCTGTGTAGACATTAAAGGTAAAGGGACCCCTAACCATTAGGTCCAGTCATGACCGACTCTGGGGTTGCGGCGCTCATCTCGCTTTATTGGCCAAGGGAGTCAGTGTTTGTCTGCAGACAGCTTCTGGGTCATGTGGCCAGCATGACTAAGCCACTTCTGGCGAACCAGAGCAGCACACGGAAACGCCATTTACCTTCCCGCTGGAGCAGTACCTATTTATCTACTTGCACTTTGTGCTTTCAAACTGCTAGGTTGGCAGGAGCTGGGACCGAACAACAGGAGCTCACCCCATTGCGGGGATTCGAACCACCAACCTTCTGATCAGAAAGTCCTAGGCTTAATGGTTTAACCCACAGCGCCACCCGCGTCCATGTGTTTTATTCTGTTTTTAGGTTATTGCTGGTCTTACGTAGCTTTGAATATTTAAAATACCTGCTTTGATGTGCCTTTGGTAATTACAATAGTTTTCTTTTATTTTTGTAAATCATGATGAAGTTTTATTATATGAAATAAAATAATGAAATCTGAAGGGCCAGATTCCTCAATCCTAAATTAGAAGAATCTTGCATGTTGCTAACACAGCATACATTTAAAACACATTTAAAGTTCAGCTGGCACCAAAAAAACTAGTGAAGCAGGTACCACCTGAGCCACTTTGGGGAAAGAATCCCACAAACTGCAATCTATCTCCCTTCTGAAGTTGGTGGGACGGAGAGCAAGGTCACTGATGGTGGTCTTCACTGACCACACAGGTTCATATCCTTTTTACCTCATGAGAAGGTGAAGATTCCAATGATCCTGACATTATATTGTTTCGCTTGATTAAAAGGCATGTAATCTCTGGTGCACCCAGGCCAATCACAGCCGTGGATACCAGTGTAAGAATCAGAGCTGAAAGTAAAAAACAGGGAAATGGAGGCCATTGTTACGAGCAGGAAATTGAGGGTAATGGTACAAGGACAATACGATCAATAAAAGAACATCACAAAATGCAGAACCGGCACAAAGCATTCGTCAAAAGCACAAACACAATCCAGCATAAAATTAATAGAAAAAGCAACCTTAAAATAGCAAAGGTACAGCTATTAGTTCTGCTAATCCTGTTGCCCTCCATAAATTAGAGGGCGGATGAATGTCTGGAACAGGGAGCCTCTCCACTTGTCGACTTCTCAATATGATTTGGAACCCTGATCTTCCAGGTATCTAAACTGTCCCCTCTTCTAAGGTGAATTGGAACAGTCACTGCCTTATTCTACCAACTCCCTCGGAGGGTGGTGGGTTCTCCTTCAATGGAGGTTTCAAAACAGAGGTTGGATGGCCATCTGCCAGGGATTCTTCAGTTGCAATTCCTGCCTTGAAGGGGGTTGAACCAGATGGTCCCTTCCAGCAATTCTACGGTTCTATTATTAAGTTAGGTGCATTTATATCCTGCCATTTTACAATGAGAATCACACACACACTCTTAAATCAACATAAACCATCTTGTTTAAAAAGCTTAAAAGAGTAAAAGGTGGGAAAAGTGTAAAACAATTCAAGAGATGGTATTCCGTAAAGGTTCGCTGCCTGTTCCAATGTAACCTGCAATGGCACTGAGTCACTGGTACAAGATCAATGCAATATGACCTGATTAGTGTTGTGAACCGCCCTGTGATCTTTGGGTGAAGGGTGGTATACAAATTTAATAAAGAAGAAGAAGAAGGATAGGCTTGAAGGTGGTGTACTGGTTGGACGAGGACCAGGAATACCAGGATTCAACCCTCCACTCAGTCATGAAACTCATTGGGTGACCTTATGCCAGTCACTACCTCTCTGTCTAACCTACCTCACAGGGTTGGTTTGAGTTAAAGGGGGGGGGAGCATGTACACCACATTGAACTCCTGAGACTGAAAGGAGGTATAGATGTAATAAATAAATAGTTAATGTTTCCCAGAAAATGAAAATAAAGTCGTGACTGCTTTGTACTCAGTTTGAGGTACGGTATATTTATTTACCCGCACTACACTTACCTGTGGTTTAAAGCCACATCCTAATCCAAAGGATAAAAATGACACATAAGGAACATGGAAAAGTGAAGTATAAACAAGGAACTAACCACAGATAAAGTGCTCTGCATTTGGTTTTGACCGACTCAAACGGGCTTACAGTTGTTCTACTTATTTGAACCTAAAGCGTTTTTCTTCTAATGTCAGTCCTGCTCAGAGTAGACTGAAATTAATAGACATGACTAATATTCCTATACCATTAAAGCATATCAAAGCAATTTACAACTTTAAAAGGATAAAAACTATACAATAAAAGCATTCTAAAAAATAAAAACAATTTAAAAGCAAGCAAGTTTGTTGTTGTCACCATCGTTTTAAGAATCAACAAACCACTGTGGAATATGCACTCTTAATTGCCTGCGCAGGCCTGGCAGAGTAATAATAAAAAAGTTTTCAGCAGCTGATTAAAAGTTGGCAGAGAAAACATTGATTTTGGTCCATTAATGTCACTCTGAGTATGATTTAGGTGACTACAACCCCAATAAAAGCTCATTCAAACAACCTGGACCGTTTTAAATACTCTGCATTCTTGTCAGACCTTCTTGAGATAGCTGGGCAAGGCATAAGGACCAAAACCAAAGCAACAACACACAACAAAATAGTAATCTAATATAATGGAATGCTTTAAGAGTCAGTTCAATTGCCGGACCAGCCCTATCATTAGGCTGAGTGAGCCATCTACCTCAGGCAGTGGATGCTAAGGTATCGCAAGTCTGGTAGCTTGTAGTCCTGGGCTGGAGGTCCAAGAGGCAATGCCTTCCTTTTCCACAGCATTAATGCTTTCCTAGTTGGGCACCTTCAAGCTTTGCTGCCCCCCTGACTCTCAAGCTGGGAAGTGCCTTTGCTCTGACCTCCTCAACCTTTCTGAGTGGTGGGTGGAAATTCATTTTTTAAATGAATGCATTCTGCACACAAACACATCTTGCCCATATCCTCACCCCCTTTTGTGAAACTCAAAAGTTTGGTTCTGCCTCGCTGTGAAACGCAACTCCTTCTGTTCTCATTTATTCATGGCGATATTCTTCCTTTGCATCTGTTTGGGCAGCTTTCCACACAAACCCTGCCTGCCTCCGACATCTTCTCCATGCTTTTAGGCACCTGCTGTTTATAGTCGCCTCCATTTCCCCCGATGGCCCACCCACCCTGAGGCAAATTATGCCAGAAAACACAATGATGCCCATTGACCTCATGGTCGGTGTTGCAAACGCCATTTCCATTGTGCGCCAGAGCTATTGGGCAAAGCAGACTCTGTCTCTTTGGAAATGCCCCTTTAGCTGGCAGAAAGCCAGAGGGAAGGAAAGAGTTGTACACTGAAGGAGTGCAAGTGTGGGTGTATGATTTGTGTGTGGCTGAAGCAGCGCTAGTGTTGGATCTTTGTAGGAGAGAGTGGACTGATTAAAAGAAGAACGGCTGGGGATTAGGAATAATAAGAACACATAATCCAGAGGGAGGAAGACAGCACAAACACAGAGGAAGGAAAACACAGAAACAGCTCTGTTTTAGCTCTTCAGCTTCCTTTTCCTATCTGTATTTTTAATTATGATTTAATTATCTATAAAATGATAACAAGCCACCACTGAAATGAAACAAAAGACTTACAATGAAAATTAGATTTTTTATTTTATTTTAAAAAGAGGATTTTCTTGGGGTGGAGGGGGAGTCCCAAGTAGGGTTGGGAGAGAAATTTGATTCAGTTAGCATATAAAACTGGATTTATCCAATCTACACTTTCTGAGTGCTTCAGACTGCGAAGCTGATGCTAATTCTGACCTCTTTGAATCAAGATGCTTTCACCAAATATGCAAAATATGCTGTTCAACCTATAATCAAACTCACTTTGCATGGTTTCATCATGGAATTTGCTGCAGACATGAGAAGTGAAACACAGCAATCCTTCAAAATTTGCACTTACGTGAATTTTGCAATGCTGTTCTCCAACCAAACTATGTTTCCAAAAATACATATATTAGAGGAAAGTATGCATAAAAAGGAACGTAAATGTGTACATTAGTCAAAACCGCATAGATAAATGTGTTTATTAGGTAAAAGTCGCACTAAGGTGCTAATGTTCATGAGGATTTTTCATACACACATACACACAAGTCGCTGAGAAATGTGGAGAACCAAATTGGAAACTGGAAAAATGAGAAATTGAGAGAACCAAAACTGACAGATCCTTCCATTCCTAGACCCAAAACAAAACTACTGGGAAGACAGTATCTAAGGCAGGGATGGGAAACCTGTAGTCCTCCAGGTGTTGGACTTCAACTCCCAGCAGCCCCCACAAGCACAATCAATGGTCAGGACTGATGGGCGTTGCAGTTCAGCAATGCCTCTGGAGGGCTACCAGTTCCCCAAACCCTGGCTTAAGTTCATTGGAAGGCATCTGGTTAGAAATAACAAAACAAAACAAAAGCAGAAATCTTAAAAAAGAGATGATGAACACGAATCAGGAGAAGTGTGCAGCTGCAAGTGGATAGTATGGAAATGACTGCAGACAAAACAAATAATAGCAGTAAAAGGAATGAGATAAAGAGAGAAGATGACTTGAGGAGATCCTTGAGGAGCTTCAGATGGAAAATGGCAGACCGTGGGGAGAAGGATTACCACTGACAGATAAAGAAAGTAGACAGTAAGGAAGACAAGAAACTAAGAAAGCATGTTGCCAGTCAACACCCAAGAACAGAATGATCAATGGTATTGAAAGATGTCACAGAAAAGGCTACCGGAAAATTGGTTCTGTGATCTACGAAACTACGCCGCATTCCCGGCACTGAGTCTCTGTTTCCAGTATGCAGGCTGCAGGTGTTGTACTGCCCTGGACAGAAATAAGGGCTCATTTGACAGAAAGATATATACAGCAACAAGTGCATTTTTCAATTTTGGTACGGCACACAATGATCTTTCAAACTGCGATTGCATGTTGGGGTGGAGTCAAGGAGGCAGTGTTAAAGTTGCTATGAAGTTATTCTAGGAGCCAGAGGCAAGATTTTTTTTAAAAAAGGAGGCCCTGCCTTAGGTTATGAAGTGGCTGCAAAGTTTCAAGACTTTGATGCATGATTTCATTATGCCAGTTTTTAATTCTTCCAGTTTCAAGTCATGGACATTCCTTCCCTGGTCTTGCTGTTGTCATGTGACCTGCAACTAAACCATGGTTTGCCTTAGGATTAAGTCCAAACTTGATCTCCAAACTGCTAACAATGAGCAGTACGCAAGGTTTGCTCTTGACTGACTGCTTTTGGTTTTTTGGGAGGAGACAAACCACGAGCCTGGGTTCAGACACAACGCTAAGCCAAATCATGGCTTACTTATGGGAGCAAGGAGACAAGTGAAACCCCCATGCCTTTTGCTCTGAGCAACCAAATTCTTGCTCGTTTATTCTTAGTCATGGCTTGGCTTAGCATTCTGTGCAAAATGGGCAGCAGAATACAATGAGGAATAGAATCCTGCCAGGGTAAACAGGTGTTTATTGTTGCCTCAACAACAGACTGAGAGATTTTCAATTGGCCATAGCTCCTGATCTAATCATATTTCCTATCTTCTCTTAACTGTCTACTCTGAATCCCTAGATAAATAAATCTAGGTCAAAGGTTATTCTGAAATTGTTAAGTAAGCTACCTGATGGCGATGTTCAAGCAAAAATTACATATTGGTTGTTTGATTCTGACAAATTCCTGACAGAGTTACGAGATTTGCAGTGGCAACCCAAAAGCTGAGGAGAAACGTTGTTGAGGCTAATATGGTAAATTGCAATGATTTAGCACAAAAAACTGGATGCTTTTAAATGTATTAGCCCTCTTAACCATTTGTATTTTAATATATATATATATTGTTTTGTTCTTTTTTAACCTTTTGTAGATTGTATTTATGTGTGTGTGTGTGTGTGTGTGTGTGTGTGAGAGAGAGAGAGAGAGAGAGAGAGAGAGAGATTCTGGTATACACTGTTCTTCAATATTGTATCATTGTATAGTATAGTATAGTATAGTATAGTATAGTATAGTATAGTATAGTATAGTATAGTATAGTATAGCATTATGTGGTTGATATAACTATGATGGTTAAAATAACCACCACAAACAGAATAATGGTGCAATAGATCTCAAATGCATCATGCTAACGCAGGAAAAGAAGCAGGACATAAATAGTTTAAAATCAAACACACAATCTAAGCAGCACAAGTTGCAAGCTTGAGTTATGAATATGGGAAATGGAAAAACCAGTTTGAGCCCTCTATGCGCAGTAAGCCCAATACTTTTGTATATATTATGTGCTAAATTCAATCTGAAGTCTAGACTAAGCAAGCATGGCATTGTAATGATGGAGTGCTTCAGACTGCGGAGCTGATGCAATCCCCATGCTAATTCTGAGCTCTTTGAATCAAGACGCTTTCACAAAATATGCAAAATATGCTGTTCAACCCATAATCAAACTCGCTTTGCATGGTTTCATCATGGAATTTGCTGCAGACATGACAGTCTGAAGCCTTTGATCATCTCCGCTGAACTTAATGTAGCTCTCCAGGTCGGCATCAGCTACACTGTTTTGTTACTTCCTCAAATGCAAATGAAACGTTGGAATCCAGTTTTCTAATGAAAGGGTAGAATTTCAACAAAAGCTATCTCATGCTTCCAGAAGGACTTCATGTACAGCATAAAGACTTCTTATTTTTAACCTTCAGTGGCGTTATGCAAGCTTCATAGGCTCAATCCACTGTGAAGTTCGCACGCACATAAATGGGAGCACAGTACGTACTGCTCTTGAGTACTCATTCACTTCAATGGGACTTGTGCAGCAGAACTTTCCACTAGTACTGCACCTTTCATTTGTTTATTACAAAAATGCACTGAAATACAGTGTCAACTAGCCCTGAACTTTCAAGACACAAACAAAAACTAGTTGCAGACTTGATCTGGACACCAAGCTCTAGATTGAGATAAGAAAATTACCATTCCCTCCTCTTTGTAAAATATATTTTAAAAAACAGTTCATTGTGCATATGAGCACCTCATAATGCTTGCTTACAAAAGACAAATACCAGCACAATTCTCTGAGAAACAAGAGGTAGCAATTTGTAGATGGGGTCCAAAACAGTCTATTTTCAATATAGACTGGTATTTAATACAGGGGTGCTAACAGAAATATACTAACTGAAATAATTCTCAATAACCTTCTCAAATTTTGGATTTCCTTGTCACAATACTTCTAATTTATATTCTTCCGCTATAATTTTATTCTTAGCATTCCAGTTACGAGCACTGCTGGATATAGACACCTCATCTGTGTGTAAGAGAAGAGGTAACAGCATTAAATCTGGTAGATCGACACATTTATTCCATCTCTTGTCTTTCAAGAAGCTCTAGGTTCTATACTTGATATTGCCAGCTGGGTCTGCTTCACTTCAGCAAAAATGCCATAGTTACGTTTTTAAAGTATTTATATCCTATTTTTTCAAATGCCTTAACAAGACTTATAAAAATAAATACTAACAATTATTATTACTTTTTATTAAATTTGTATACTGGCTTTCATCCGTAGATCTCATAGCATAAAAATGCAAGATAAAAGCATAAAATACATAATAAAAAACAAGAGAAAAACAAAACCAATAACACCCTCCCCTCCCACACATTTAAAAGAGGATAGGATGTTTGGTGTAGTTTTTCTTAAAGTAGCCTGAAAGCTAAATTGAAGTAAAGCAAAATCTGAAAATGTTCAACTATGTGTGTGGTTTTTTAATAAAAAGGTCAGACTTTAATTCTGAAATCTTTGCAAATTTTGATTGTTAAGTATGAGATCTACTTTTAAATTAATATCCTCTAAGTTTTAAGGCATATGATTTGGTCTTAGTCACCAACAAGCATCCCTGGCTTAGTCACCACTTCTCCAATACATCACCAGAAGAAAGAACCGACTAGGGCTGTATGGCTCCCACCCATCCTGCCTGATGCCTGCCTCTCTTTTTTGCCCAAGCCCTCCACCCCACCACGTCAACAACTCCAGATAGCTCCGGACGGCCTAACCCATGGCCTTATTCCACCCATCTTAGGTAAAGCCTTTATTGTTGTTGTTTAGTCGTTTAGTCGTGTCTGACTCTTCGTGACCCCAAGGACCAGAGCACACCAGGCACTCCTGTCTTCCACTGCCTCCCACAGTTTGGTCAAACTCATGCTGGTAGCTTCAAGAACACTGTCCAACCATCTCGTCCTCTGTCGTCCCCTTCTCCTTGTGCTCTCCATCTTTCCCAACATCAGGGTCTTTTCCAGGGAGTCTTCTCTTCTCATGAGGTGGCCAAAGTATTGGAGCCTCAGCTTCAGGATCTGTCCTTCCAGTGAGCACTCAGGGCTGATTTCCTTCAGAATGGAGAGGTTTGATCTTCTTGCAGTCCATGGGACTCTCAAGAGTCTCCTCCAGCACCATAATTCAAAAGCATCAATTCTTCAGCGATCAGCCCAAAGCGGCTCGGGCTTTTGCCAAATCTGGCGCATAACCCTAGAAGCTGCTACTACAGAGTGGAACTACACCTCCTGCATTTATTGCTTGAAGAGGGTGTCCTTCTCTATCTATCGATCAATTCTCCCCAGAGATGGGGACACATTACAAGTGCCTTACGATATAGCAGCAGGTTTGTCCGGAAGTGCCTAGGCTTGCACCCTGAGGAGGTCACTTTGGTGATGCTAACCAAATGCCAACAACAATTTCAGCAGTAAAATACTTGATCTCAGTAGTGCAGATGCACTAAAGCAGGAATGGGGAACTGAATCCACGTAGCAGGCTGGATCCTAATCTCTCCCACCCCCATGGGCCAAGCTTGGCAGGTGTGCAGAGCTGCTCACCTGTCAATCACCTGATATCAAAATGGTGTCAGGTAATCCATTTCCCCAGGCAGATTGTGAGTACCAACAATGAGATGATACACAGTGTTTGCAAACCCTCTTTCAGCACATTACCTGCCTTACATTTGCCATCCTATATGACATCAGGTGGATGGCAGTTTGACGTGGCTTGGCTGAAGTGGCCTCATGGGTCAAAGAGGGAGATCTGATGGACCTAAATAGGCCCACAGGCTGAAGGTTCCCCACCATTGCACTAAAGTGGGAAAGGAATTGTTTTCAGTCAACAGTGTGGACGGTACAGAACCATAGTACTTAACTGCCGAAGTTACTGCTGTTGTTTAAGAGGGTAGATGCAGATGTCCCATAAAATATTGAAATATTTAACCAACATGGGTATAAGCAATGGTGTCTTGGTACCCCTGCACAATGCTTTGAGGATATTAGGCCACTATCCTAGCCAATGATCCTGTGCCATAGCCTACAATACGTTACCAGCCCGGAAAGTGTGTAGGCGACGGCAGGACACACACAATGGAGAAATGAAAATGCAACTCTAATAAGGTTCCAACAACAACTGAAGAAATGATACTGTTTGTCATTTTAGTCACCTCCGGACTTCCCCTTCGAAAGGAAAGAATCATTTCTGACCTACGACTTGTCCTTCCCATACGTCAAGCTAGAACATTCAAGATGACAACGTAAGAATGGGATGGGACAGAAGCACCTGATTGTTGGACGAGGAGTCCATATCTTCCAACGTTCTGTCTTACAGTGTAATCCTAATCATGTATAAGGTAAAGGGACCCCTGACCATTAGGTCCAGTCGTGACCGACTCTGGGGTTGCAGCGCTCATCTCGCTTTATTGGCCGAGGGAGCCGGCGTACGGCTTCCGGGTCATGTGGCCAGCATGACTAAGTCGCTTCTGGTGAACCAGAGCAGCGCACGGAAACACCGTTTACCTTCCCGCCAGAGCAGTACCTATTTATCTACTTGCACTCTGATGTGCTTTCGAACTGCTAGGTTGGCAGGAGCAGGGACCGAGCAACGGGAGCTCACCCCGTTGCGGGGATTCGAACCGCCAACCTTCTGATCGGCAAGTCCTAGGCTCTGTGGTTTAACCCACAGCGCCACCCATGTCCTCAACAGAGCTTACGCCTCCATAAATTGATTTGCAGCTATTGAAAAAAAAACAGAGTTTTCTTTTTTCTTTTCTTTTCTTCCAAATCCTTTGTTATTTTATTCACATAGTATACATTCTTTACAACAAACAACTCCGAAATAAACAGACAACTCCAAAATAAAATCATATGTAACAAAACCATAAGTCTCATGTTTTCATTTACACTGATCTCCTCTCTGATACCTTTACTTGATATTTCTTGCTGCTTTCTGCTTTCCTTATAGAATCTTTATTAAAAATTTAAGTCTCTTAAATCCTATACCAATCTTTAACAATTTCAATTAATCCCTTCACCTCTCTCCCCCGCAGCCCAGCACTTCCCTCCACCCATGTGCGACCTTCTTTACCTGCTATTATATTTGTTATTGTTGCATTATTCACTTTATTTGTTATTCCATCCTTAATATATTATTATCCTATCTCCTTGTGCCTTTTAAACTTTTGCATATTAATCTTTAATCTCCAGCACCGACTTTTGAAAAACAACACAGTTTTCAAATGGCAAGTCTCCTTGCATTGCAAAGCTAACCAAATCAGAATGAATTCGGAAAGGCTTACTTCCATGTAAATGGGATTCAGGCTGAAGCTTTAGTATGGGAGTGAAGGCTGGATTAGAGCAATGAGCCACCGCCATCTCCCAACTTTCTGACAGCATACTCATGGGTTTACAGAGCAGAAGGGTGGGTGGGGCATTAGGAGATTAGAGACTTAACACAACCTCCTGCTCCCAACTTTGCAAAAGCCATTTGCAACTGATGAGGAGGGCTCTAACCCAGAGTGAGCTCCCCCATGGACCACTTAGACAAGTGAGTGTGGCCACCTACATCACCTGACACCACCATGCCACCAGATGAGTATTTTTTCCTTTGCAGCCTAGCCTGAACTGTCAAATAAAAAATGTTGGTTTTGAACCCTGCCTTAAGAGGAACTCAATGGGGCTTGACGTCACCACTGCACGGACCAGCTGATTGGCAGTCTTGCCCATGGAAGCACACTTGGTCATTTTATGCATCGGTTTCTTAAAACCTTCCTGCTGAAGGGCAATTCAAATTCAAAGCACGCTGGGAATCTTGGCTTGAACAAATGATTATTTATACATTCACTATCATAATTTTGTGCAGCATGGGGATTCCCTGTGGTTGTACCCTCTCAAGAGATGCACATGCGCCACAGACTGCTTGCTATATATAAGCATCTCCAGGTGCAGAAATGGCAGGCCAGAAGTGGATAGTCATTTATGAGGAAGTAATTAATTATTGCTTGGGCACTCAGAGCCAGAGTCATTGGTCCATCCTCACCATCTCTGCTGAGACACGTTATTTTCTGTGTGCACAAGGTTCCACATCAGGCTGCATGCACAACGCTGGGAAATCAGTGGATCTGCCCCTTTCTTCTGCAAAGGCTGTTAGCTACGATGGGTAAATTCTATCTCCAGTGCTGGAGGCAGTATGCTTCTGACTAAATGCCAATAGCTGGGGACCACAAGCAGGTCCTGCTTTCAGGCTTCCCAAGGCAACTGGTTGGCCACTGTGAGAATAGGAGGCTGGAGTAGATGGGCCTGATCCAGCACGCTCTTCTTACAGCGCCAAAGAAGCTTTGCTCATGTGTAACAGGAGTTATGCATGTTTTTTTTAAAAGGTATTTGCCAAAACTGCAAATATAATCTTGGTTTGTGGGACCCACTTCTTTTGTTGACTCTATGCTGCTCTGTTGTAAATAAATATTGTAAATAAATGAATAGTGCAGAATTCAGCAGCCAGGTTGCTCACCGGAGCAAGATGGTTTGAGCATATTACAGCGATCCTGGTCCAACTGCACTGGTTACCAATTAGATTCCGGGCCCAATTCAAAGTGCCAGTTTTGACCTATAAAGGCTTAAATGGCTCAGGACCACAATACCTCAAGGACCGCCTCCTCCCATATGAACCTACCCAGACCCTGAGATCATCTTCCAAGGCCTTCCTTCATGTGCCACCTCCTTGAGAGGTCCAGAGGGTGGCAACATGAGAATGGGCCTTCTCTGCAGTGGCTCCCCGTCTGTGGAATGCTCTCCCCGGGGAAGTTCACCTGGCACCTTCATTATACAGCTTTAGGCGCCAGGCAAAAACGTTCCTTTTTAACTAGGCCTTTGGTTGATCTTATTGACATCCAACACCCTTTTAGAATGTGGTTCTTTTGGAGGGGTGGGGTTATTGGGTTATTGGTTTTGGTTTGATTTTATACGTTGTGGTCTTGTCAGTGAACCTCCCTGAAACCTCCGGGTATAGGGCGGTGTATAAATTGAATAAATGAATAAATAATAGAATAAAAAAGATGTGTTATAGTCATAACCAGTTTCTAAATATTGACCATGAAATTCCTAACCTAGCCAAGTATTCAAGTAGCAACAGTTAAAAAAGAAATTTAACATTTAAAATACATTCCATCCATTACAGCTCCAAAAGACCTATCGCCCTAAACAAGGCTACTTTGCTTTCCTTCCAACAACATTGCCAGCTTCATATTTAACTACTTATAATAACACCCAGCAGAGACTGACATGCTGATCCTATCTTTTAAAGAGATATACAGTCATACCTTGTGTAGCGTTTGCTTCAGGTTGAGCGTTTTCAGGTTGCGTCCCGCAAGTACCTGAAAGGGTTAATTCTGGGTTTTGCTGCTTGCGCATGCGCAGATGCTCAAAATGATGTCACGTGCATGCACAGAAGCAGCGAATCGCAACCCGTGCACACGCAGACACGGGTTGCGTTCTGTTCATGTTGCAAACAGTGCTCCGGAACGGATCCGGTTTGCAACCAGAGGTACCACTGTATTACGGATATTACATCAAACGTTCCATTATTGCAATATACCTACACAACATATACTACTACCCTTTTAGAATAACACAAGACCTACATCCTAAATATCATACAACGTGGTGGGCGTGCATTTATCAACGGCTCCATGTTATATTGCACTGGGAACAGAAATCCCCATACTGTATCAAGGAATTATCTCTGTACTGTACCAAGTTAATCTCAGTGGGAATTAACTTCATAGAGCCATGTTGTTTGTTTTGCAAAAGTTTGTGTGTTGGTGGTGTTAATAGTCAGGATCAAACTTGTCTCTGCCTCTGGATGTTTTCTAATTTAGCACAGTTGGCAGCTCTTCAATGCCTAAACATGCTCAGGTATGCTTTTGAGGGTGTAATCATTCTACTGAATGGGACAGGCAAATTCATGAAGCCAGATGTTGAGTTAAAAGGAAAAATAATTATCCACTCAGTCTCAGACATTTCAGTGACAATAACAAGTTATATCTTAAACGAATCTTGTCTTGTTGACCTACATGGGCGGCTCCCATTTTCCCTCAGTCCATCACACTGAATGTTGCCACCAGTTAGGAAAAGATCTCACTGTGTTGGCCAAGTGATTATGCATCCACATTCACAGCACACCCACTCACACACCCATGTACATGTGAGAGTACAACACGGTAGTAACCAACGTTTGCATGTGATGCTTAGAGCACATGTGCACACAAGACAACAGCTCATTATACCGCAATAACTGCAAAACCTGCTTGGTTTTATTGCTGTCTGGCTTTGAAACCTTCAACTTTGACAACATGCCAAGAAGGTGATACTTTTTTATGAAGGCTCTTCAGATTGGTAAGCCGAACAGCTGCTGGTCCTGTTCTGTTACTCTTGAGCACCTATATTTCAGCAGCACCAGTGTGCTAGATGATGTGCAGCAAGGGTGGGCAGAAGCGAGATCATGAGTGATTTGCAGGAAATCGGCAAACGTTTATAATTCAGGCACTGTAATAATTGCAACGACCAAAAAGTTTCCCCTTCCCCAAATTAAGGCTGCATACACACCATACATTCAAACCACACGACATCCTTTAAAGACTCCTGGGAACTGTGGTTGGTTAAGGGTGCTGGGTAAGCTACAGTTCCCAGAATTTTGCAAGGGGGAGAGAAGCCATGTGCTTTAAATGTACAGTGTGTGCAGAATTTGCTTTATCAAATAAAAGTGGTTTGGGGGCTGGGAAAGACAGATGTTGATTTATGTGTGAAAGGGCTTTTGTGCATACTGATAATTTACGTATTTTATGCTGCTTTTTTGTAGCATTACAGTGGTACCTCGGGTTAAGTACTTAATTCGTTCCGGAGGTCCATTCATAACCTGAAACTGTTCTTAACCTGAAGCACCACTTTAGCTAATGGGGCCTCCTGCTGCAGCAGCGCCGCCGGAGCACGGTTTCTGTTCTCATCCTGAAGCAAAGTTCTTAACCTGAAGCATTATTTCTGGGTTAGCGGAGTCTGTAACCTGAAGCATATGTAACCTGAAGCGTATGTAACCCAAGGTACCACTCTAATTAAGTGTTTTAGATTTGTTGTTAGCCGCCCTGAGCTCAGTTTCCTGAACCAGGAAGGGCGGGGTATAAATAAAAAATTATTTATTATTATTATTATTATAAATGGTCTGAGCATGTGCTCAGAAGCACCCTCTTCCTTAATTCCTAGCTTATGTCCACCCACCTGAGTCACTGTTTGGCACCTGGCTCCAGTTGGTGGACGTCAACTTTCTAGCAAAGCAGACAAACGAAGGAGGTGCCATAGGCTATGTGCAGAACATAGCAATGAGCTCCTTCTCTGAGAATTTGTTTAACCCACATTAGACAAAGCTGTGGCAGGTAAGAGTGGGGAGCAAAAATCCTGACAATGTGTAGATGGGCCAGAAAGGAGATAAGGAGTTAAAATTATTCAAGAAATACTTCTAAAAGAGTTGTAAACAAAGACCCAAAGAGAGGAGAGAAACTGGATTGAGGAAAAATGAAGGGGCCGTTGCTCCAGGCATAGAGAGAGCAGCCTACCAGAGGAAGACTGAAGTTCTGCATTGTATAAAGAGAGCTCAGAGCTCAGCTTGCAAGATCATCCCCAACTTTGCACATGAACCAAGTACATGCCAGGAAATTGATTGCTGGCTCAGTTGCACATCAGGCCTGCCTATAAGAGAGGGATGGAGAGCCGGTGGTCCTCCAGATATTGTTGGACTCCAAGTCTCATCAGTCCCCAGCCAGCATGGTCAAGGATTAGGGTTGGTGGAAGTTGAAGTCCCACAGTATCTGGAGGGTCACAGCTTCCCCATCCATCCCTATTTTTATAGATATCATGGGTGATTGTCTACTCATTTTACTCAGAGTAAAGCCATCAAAACTAATGAACATGACTAAGCTAGGTCCATTCATTCCAATGGGTATAGTCTGAGTAAAAGTGAGTTGAAGACTGCCCCTCTAAAAACAACACAAGAGTGTTTCTGCATCTATCCATTCATTTATCTCTTCTTAATTTTTAAAAAGGGGAATGTTAGTGCAAAACTGCTCCAGAGAGTTGACAGGCTTTCCTGATATTATCATGCGAGGCCAGCCAGCCAGCCAGCAGCACAACCAATGTCTGCTTTAAACTTGCAAAAGTAGTTTGATCTTGGAGCGCGTTAGGGAGATTTGGACTGATAGCAACCTCTCTGGAAAGCACGTTGCGTATTTTCTCCTGAAGGTTAAGGCTGTAGCCGTATGCACATTTACTGGGAAGGAAGCACCATTGTATTCTATGAGATTTACTTCCAGGGAAGTATACACAGATCTGGGTTGAATTTTGATTTAGAACATACAATAAGAGGAGCAAAGACCTCAGTGAAATTATGTTTTAGCTGCACTAATTTTGTTGGGTTCTTAAGTTTGGATGAGATTTTGGTTTGTACTACGTGCAAAAGAGATGTTGACCACAGTTCCAAGCATACATGGATAGGAATATTTTACACTGTACTCCATGAAATTTTCTTGGTAAAAATACTTTGGGTTGCATTGTGCAAGGAAGCATCAATCAAACCTCAACACTTTTACCAGAGTTCAGCATATGTGACCTTGTGCAAATGTCCTCTCATGAAAATGAACCAAGCAAACTGAGAGTCCCAAGCCCAGTCCTAAGACAGGCTAAAGTAGATCAGAAGATAAGAGTGTAACAGCTCATGTTCCAGCTGCTAAGCCCGTAAGAAATCATATATATATATTGGCATGGCGGAGACATTTTGTCAGCCCTGCAGGCAAGTGCATTGGAACAAATGTTGGAGAGAATGGGATGGATAAACTAGGAGACTGGAGATTGTCTGCTTTCTCCCTTGTAACAAAAGACATGTGATATTTTAACTCTGCACTAGAGTTCCACTGGAGTCCATTAGAATTTCACATGGGTTTTCCCCCAAACAGTAATAAGGTTAATAGCAATACACATTAGGTCTTACATCACCCTTCAACAACTGTGTAGACACCACACATTTAAAACACATTTCCCACCCCTTCAAGGAATCATTTAATTGTAGTTTACCCCCCACAATTCCCAGCACCCTTAACAAACTATAGTTCCTAGGTTTCTTTGGGGTAAAAGGCAAAGGTAAAGGTACCCTGGACCGTTAGGTCCAGTCGTGGACGACTCTGGGGTTGCGGCGCTCATCTCACTCTATAGGCCGAGGGAGCCGGCGTTTGTCCACAGACAGCTTCTGGATCAGGTGGCCAGCATGACTAAGCCGCTTCTGGAGAACCAGAGCAGAACAAGGGAACGCCGTTTACCTTCCCACCAGAGTGGTACCTATTTATCTACTTGCACTTTGACATGCTTTTGAACTGCTAGGTGGGCAGGAGCAGGGACCGAACAATGGGAGTTCACCCCGTCTCGGGGATTCGAACCGCTGACCTTCTGATCGGCAAGCCCTAGGCTCAGTGGTTTAGACCACAGCGCCACTCGCGTCCCTTCTTCTTTGGGTTAAGTCATGTGTTTTAAATGTATGGTGTGGATCTGACCTCTGTGGTGGCAGCTTGCATGTAGAACTCCATGCCCTAAGGACTCTGATTACCTCCCAGTTCCAATGAATTCAAATTGTAATACAATTAAAGTCAATAAAAGAAATAAAGGAGTGAAAAATACATTTGAGAATCACTATGAATATTTAATGTGAACATGCCATGGACCACCTGAATGAAGCTCAGGGACCACGGTTTGGGAAGCACTGCCATAGATTGAAAAATCATGTTTCTGATAATGCTCCAAGGCTTGGTTTGGGAACCTGTGTCCCTCTTGATGTTGATGGACTACAACGCCCATCCTCCACAATTATTGGTCATGCTGGCTAGGGCTGATGGAAGCTGGAGTCCAACAATATCGGGAGGGGCATAGTTTCCTCATCCTTGATCTAAGGCTTGCAGCTTCCTGAACATGCACTGTTTGCATCACTTGACAACGCAGCCAAATCTAATCTGAGAGCAGAGGTGCATGACCAGTTTGGCTGCACTGAGTGCTACAGAGGGCACCACAACAAGGACTCAGAATGGAGTGCAAGAAGCGCTGAATTTCGGCATTGCTGCTGAAATTTGAAAGCCCCAAGTTGACCACTGCTGATAATGAATCACCACTTCCATTCTTCCTTACGAAAACATTGGTCCCATTGCCTTTTGAGTTTCCACTGCAACTGTGCCAAGAGAAGCTTTTCCAGTGGAAGTCATTGCATTACCTCTTTTGTAAGCAATCAGTAGCCTTTAAGCATCCATTATGTTGGCAAAACCTTTCTCTCTAGTTAGGGAAAACTGAGAGAAGAGAAAGGTATAGGTGCAGCAAGGAGAATGGAAGGGAAAGAGGAAAGGGGAGGAGGACAAGGAGACAGGAGGGAAAGGAAGTAGAAAAACAGGGAATGGGGGAAAGAAGAGTTCAGAGAGGGAGGGAATGAATGCGGCAGGTGGGAAAGGAGAGAGGGAACATCTGGATGAGAAGAAGAAAGGAGAAACTGGCATTATTTCAGCTAGAATCCAAAGCAAACAGGAGGCCAGAGCATTCATCCTGGTTCCACTGAAGTCGGTGGTTATGCTTACCAAGCAGCTGAAGTTGGCTTCTGCTGGCCCAGGTGCCTGCCTGATGCATGCTCATAGCTGTGGTGTGCTTCTGTTAGAGCTCAGGGTCTGAAACTGCAGCCTGTGTAGCGTAAACCACTTCTTCAAAAAAAGCGGCAGGGGGTGGGGGGGAAGCATGAACCTGAAATAGCTTCTTCTTTTTTTTCAGGAAGAACCCTGAAGAGGCCTCCTCATAGCTATTATAATAACTAAATATGATAGGTATGATACTCCCATAATTGTCAGGTATCTAAGCAGAGCTTTTATATTCAAATGACACATGTCACTGAATTATCAGAATGAGGCAAACTTTTAATAAAAGGCAGGCTTTAGATAGCTCATGGCAACATCAGCGTTTGTAATCATCACCATGTACTGAAGGATTCTGTCCACAGATAAATTTGGGCTCAAGTCCAAAACCCCACTTAAATCAGGACCCTTGAACTGAAACTAACTTTCTCTCATTGACCAAGCACATTTAAATCCAGATATCCTAGTTTAATTGGATGCTGGACAAGGCTGTAAGAGACGAGTGGAGAACTTCCAGAAATTGCTGGACTAAAACATAAGCTTACTATTCACCATGTTGGCTGAAGCTGATGGCGTCCAACAAAAGAGGAGGCCCTCTGGGTAGTTCCACCTCCCTCAGAAGTTTGAGGAATCATGGGCCAGGAGAGGGCATTCTCTGTGACACCACCTGAGTTGATGCAATTGGCTTCTTCACTATACAGCTGCCAGCAAATGCAGTAGACACACCTCTTTAGTCTGGACTTTGATATGAGACATGTTTTTTCGGGGTCCACCATATCCGTTATTGCAATCTGTTTTAACTGCTTTGAATTTTAAATTGTTGTAACCCTCCTTAGTACCTGCTGGTGAAGCGCAAGTAATAAATTTAACCACAACAACAACATATGGAGAGTAACAGGTCCTTCTTCCCGTAAGATGTCGGTCGTCAACTGCTTAGGATGGATTTATTTTACACACTCAAACTCAGCAGTTTTGCTATCTCCATACCACAGATCTGTTAACACAGGAACACACTACAGACAGACACACACACACACACACACACATATATAAAAGGGTTGCTTACAGCTGCTTCTCACTGATGTGGTATATCTACGTATGCTTCCAGAAATTGCTCATTGACACCTGTGGTTGTATGAGTTATTGTGGATAACTCACAAAGTATTCTGATAAGGGAAATGAAAGTGTGAATCCACCTGAGATGTCATTAATTTCTACAGCCCTATTCTGGAGGGGAAATGGTTTGAGGACCACAACCTTTGATTGCACTTATCTGCTGAGCAGAAGTCAATAGTGAAAGGCATTTAACATCCAACCAAAGTAGGTTTCTCATCTTCTTCTTTTTTGGCGCGAACAATATTTCCACTGAACATGATGCTTGAGTGGAAGTAGCACGCCACTCTGTGGTATGCGTGGATAGGTTTTAAAAGCTGTTTGGTTTGCAGAAATATTTTCGCTGTGAAAATTTGTAGCCCGTCTAGCACATGAACTTCTCTTTTGACAGAATTTCTCCTTGCTAGGGATTGAAGGCCAAATTAGACAAAGTACTTTTCCACATTGTAAGCAATTCTCTGAATGGTTTTTACAAAGTACAGTGGTACCTCGGGTTAAGTACTTAATTCGTTCCGGAGGTCTGTACTTAACCTGAAACTGTTCATAACCTGAAGCACCACTTTAGCTAATGGGGCCTCCTGCTGCCACCGCGCCACCGAAGCACGATTTCTGTTCTCATCCTGAAGCAAAGTTCTTAACCTGAAGCACTATTTGGGGTTAGCAGAGTCTGTAACCTGAAGCGTATGTAACCCGAGGTACCACTGTAAAGGAGCATGTCCTGAAACAAAATGTTGAGGCGTGGAGTGCTCCTATTCGCTGTTCTGTCAGTCAGTCATGTCTTCTAGGGATACTCCATACCATTCGCCCTCCCACCTGGTTTGTCCTCCCTCCCCAGTCACGCAACATTCCAGGGTCACTGAGAATGCTCAGTTCTCATTCCGCTTGCCTTAAGGAAACATTTTTATTTTTCTGAAAATTTTCAGGTTTCTCCAAACCTGCTGCTAACTCTCTCGTGTGTAGAGATGGTGTCATTTTGGCTAGATGAGGACTATTGCTTGGAGAAGTGAGATTGTTATTAGTGCATATCAGGGATGTGATTGAACAGCACCCGAAAACAGTGGCAGTCTGGAAGTGCTCCCCTGCCAAGTACAGATTTGTATTGGATCCCCAATGCCTGATAGTCACCTAGTTGGTCCTAAGTCCTAGAGCACTTCAAGACTGTCACTAATTCTGAGTGGGATTCAACCACACCCTGGCAAATTCAGGCTCCATAATTAAAGCTGATCTGTAGCTCTTGCAGAACAAACATGATTTCCCAAAAGATCAGACTTCTTTGATAAGGAACGTGATGGGAAAAAGAACTTGAAACCGTGGGATAGCACTTGTGTGACATGACAGCTACAGCCACAGTGCAAGCCTTCCTGAGAAACCTGGGAATTACATTTGGTTACGGGTGAGGGGAATCGTAGCTCTGTGAGAGGTAAACTATAGTTTGCAGGATTCTTGGGGGGGAAGAAATGTGCTTTAAAGGCCTGGTGTGGATGTGATCTGATTCTAACCTCTCTGCAAATTGGGATGAATGCTCATTACATAGCCACCGTCTAATCTCTGCAAACAATTCAGGCTGAACGCTCAAGAAACCCTAGTTGTTTACTCCAACTATCCTTATCAACATTTTTGCAGGCACCTTTTCCTTCTCTATGTGTTTGTATTGCCAAATATCATCACGGGATGAAACTGCAGAGCTCAAAAGGGCCAAGCAACCAACAAGAAATCTCAATGGCAATTTGAGCAGGCGTGTGAAGAGTATAATGGTTTCAACTCAGCTACAGAGCACGTGGGAATCCAGGATCCGCAAGCAGGAGATGAAGCAACTTAGGGAGGCACAGCTGTTAAGAGCCGTAACAAGGGCTTAATAAGCTCAACAAGCCATTAAACCAGGCTAGAGGACTATCAGGTGCACAAACTACAGTCTAGCTGAAAGGGTGGTGTGGTGACAAAAAAAAGAACCATTTGTGTGATGTCGTAACCAAGTTGCCAAAATGCCAAATAATATCCCCACCACTTAACAGATGCCAAAACCTGTGAAAAGATGAGAGGCAAACAGATGGAGCAAAGTAACTTGGAATTACTATAGTCAGGCATAGTTTCATCAGCTATTTGTAATATTCTTATAATCAAGTAATTGATTTAGGCAACTGGCTTGATTGTTGCCATGCCTATATTTTGATGAACTTGTTGAAAGGACAATTCATTCCCTTATTATGAATGTGTTTGTTGTATTGAGATACTGTGGGTTGTTATATTTTTATCAGTTCTGCGGAAAAAGGCCCTGAGCATAATATATACATACCTTGTATTTTTAGGTGTGCACCCAGTATGTTTTAAAGCTTACTGATATATTATACAGGTACACTATACAGGAAGCAGCTCCAGGTTTTAAATCCTGGCTATGCCCATGTGGGGATGGAAAGGTGCTTAACCTTTCTGAAAGTGGTTTCCTTACTCCAAATCAGCACACGCACCAAGTTTGCTAAGTGTATTTCTGTATTTTGCAAAATGCAAGTGAAGGTGCTTAATGAGAAATCCTATCTAGCAGCACAATTTACATTAGCAGCAAATAAACTACAACAAATAAACAGGTTAAACATTTTTGTTTTTACCTACAAAGCCGTAAACAACGGAGTCACTATATCTATAGGGAAGGTGTTGTGTCCATTTTGTATTGCTTTTGAACCTACCTACCTTGTTTTTGTACTACTTTAAAAACCCATTTGTGTCTTTATGATATGTACGTAAATTGTCTTGAGACATTTTATATGAAAGGCGACTCATAAATTAACAAAAATAGTATCTCCACTCACTAAGCTAATTGAATAAGGCCCTCCTGTTACTTATGCTGTGACATGCAGAGATTTATTTAGAACCTTTTCATCAACGGCACTTCCAAAATTCACTCTTCCATGAATTGTGCAATGCAATTCTCCAGCCAACAAATGTGCTAAAAACATGTATATTCCTGGGTAAAGTGCATGGGCGTAGTCAAGGGGGGAGCAGGGAGGCAGCTGTGGCCCCCCCATCAAGTAAAACAATAGAAATACAGTACTCTACTGACCAATCACGTTGTTTCTGCCCCACCCCACCTAACAAAAATCCTGACTACACCCATGATAAACTGTGCATCAAAACGCATTTATTACTAAAAATGAAATCTAAGCGCATTGCATTTGGGGAAAGTGCTTTGCAAAAGTGTATGTGTTAGGGGAAATTGCATACAACTCCATTAGGATAAATTCGCAATAAAATGCCAATTAATTGTGAGAACTTTTAACTGCATGTATAAACACATACATCACAAACTGATGTGGAGAACAAAGACTGGAAAAATAAGAAAATGAGAGCAACCAAAGTCGACGCCTTTGCCCAGCCCTAACTGTGGCTGCTGCAAAACTGGGGGCCCCACGTGGTCACGGATTAAAGCCGGGGTGAGGAACGTGTGGACCCCTAGCTCCCACCACCAGCCGCAGCCAGCACGCCCAACAGTTAGGAAGAAGGAGACCTGCAGCCCGACAACAGCTGGGAGGCCGCCACTTCCCTACCCTCGGACTAAAGCCCAGCTCAGCACGAAGAGCTTGTCGCGAGGCGGCCAAGTGTTTGGCTATCCTGGGCGAAAGAAACGGCAGAGGAGAGCTTCTGCAGACCCTAACTGCCCGTGAGAAGTCGCAAAAAGCGGGCTTCGAAGGCCGTGAAATGGGAGCAGCGCCGCTTGTGACGGTAGAAACCTCCTCCGCCTCTCTCTCCCCCGCCTCCTCCCTCGCAAGGGCTGGGCCTCCACACGCGCCTCCGCCTGCTCCAGGCCCGGATTACCCAGCGGGCCCTTGTGCGGCGCAGGCGCACCGAGGAGGCAGCTCAGGAAGAGGAAAATGGAATAAACAACCCCGCCGCCGGACCATCAATCAGCCTGGCCGAGGGCCCAGCTTCCCGCGTCCGCCGCGGGCCCATCCCTCGCCTCGGACTCCTCGGCGGGCTCGCCCGACCCACTTGAGAGAAGCGCCCGCGGCCCTCTCGGCGCGCCCTTGCCCGCCTGCGACGCTCCCCCGCCGACGCCGGAACTCGGGGCTGTGACAGCGGCGACCGGACCCGGGCTGCCGCCGCCGCCCGCCTCTCCCCCGATGGTGCTGCGGCCGGCAGCGGCGGTGCCTCCGGAGGCGGCCTCGGCCCTGCCCGCGCTGCTGTAGCGGCCGCCATGAACAGCGGCGGGATCCCTTGCTCCTCCCCGGTGGTGGCGGCTGCCGCGGCGGCGGTGGCGGCTGCGGCGGTGGGGCCGCCCCCCGGGCCGGCGGCCGCGGCGGCTCCCGTCGGGGTGAAGCTGAAGTTCTGCCGCTACTACGCGAAGGACAAGACGTGCTTCTACGGCGAGGAGTGCCAGTTCCTGCACGAGGAGCCCGGCGGAGCTTCGGCCGCCTGCCCTGGGCCTCCGCCCCCTGTGGCCCTCGGCGGGCTCCCGCTCGGGCTCCCTCCGGGCCCCGCTGCCCCGGCCGTGGCCGCCTCGCCCGGGCACGTCGGCGGCTACTCCGGGCATGGGGCAGCGGCGCCCGTGGCGGGGCCTAAGAAACCCCCCGAGCTCTTGGGAGGAGGCGCAGGATGCGGCCACGGCGGAGCAGGCGGCGGAGCGGGGCTGGACGGGCCCCGGCTGGCCAGTGAGTGCGGGGCGACGGGGAGCATCGAGGCGGGGAGGGAGGGAGGGAGGGACCGGGAAAGGCTCCAGGTGAGTCTCTGGCCCCAGGCCCAGGCCCCACGGCCTTCCCACCGAGGAGCCAGGGCTGTGTCAGTCGAGATGCTCGGGAAGAGGTGGGCGTTAGGAGGGTGGCTCACCGAGGCCGTTTCCCTGCTTCCCCTGAGGGATTGGAAACCTTCGACGTGTGAGGCAAAATGTGTTGAAAACGGGAGAGGGCGAAGCTCTTTAATGCTGCTCCTTCGCCCGCATGGCAGGTAGAGTAAGGGAGGGTCGCGTGAATCCTGATAACAAATAATGTGCACAAACATACACACACACAGATTCTTGGAAAAAAGTGGCAAAAAGAGGTGTGGTGAGATATATATATAATGGTAAGGAGATTGGAACTAAGTATGTTGGTGGGGTGTATGATAGAACGACTTAAAAATAAAACCAACTGCTAAGGAGGATAAACAGTAAAGCAGTTGTGGGAGACACAATTTCTTGCCCGTTCAGAAAATCCAGACAGGATTGATAGCTTAGTGCAGCATCCATATGCTCAGAATCCACCAAGTGTATCCTGGGTTTGGGTTAGTAATCCTGGTCTGTCAGTTTTCCCCTGCTTCTATAATGTGCTTTTCTTTGTGCTGCAATGGAGTGGAGTACTGATTGAGAATATAAGTTGTGAGAACTTGACCTGGCTCCCCCGCCACACTCAAAAGCACCGCTAGCTCCTTCTGCAAGTGTTCCAGATGTGATGAAACAAACATTGTCGTAACACCTCAAGTTATTTGATGGGAAGATGCTGCTAATCAGTCAGCACTATGTAAAAATGAATCAACAGAGCTTGTTGGGAGATATTTTGAAGTGTGGCTTGACGACTTGTCATGCTCTTCCTGTCAACAAAGCTGTAGGTTTCTGTGCTCGCTTCGTGTCAACTTGTGCTTACAGCTCTAGATTTGATCAAATGTTTTAATGTGAACTCTCAATCACCTGCAGACTGTTAGAAGAAATGAATAAAAGGTAAATAAAAATGTTCTGGTTCAAATTTTCAGAGGAATAAATAAAAACAAGAGTTCTGTAGTACCCATTTTCTCATGCACACATTAAACAAAAAGCAGCTGGTACAAATTTCCCTTTTTGGTAGAATGTTCAAGATGAAACATTCCTAAGGAAAGAATCTCTGCAAATATTTGACTGTCACTAGCAGTGTACCTGTCTAATTCAAGCAGGGTAGACTGCAGGTATGACCTGCAGTTACTTACAATTGCTAGAATGGTTGCTTATTTTTAAAATGGGTAGTTTTACATGGATGTTTTTCCCACCGAAAAGTGGCTTTGTGTATTCATTTTGCAGTGGAAGCCCACAGAGAACTTAGGTTTGTGAATCAGTCCAGTACTTGTATGATCTAGAGCAGGCTTCCTCAACCTCAGCCCTCCAGATGTTTTTGGCCTACAACTCCCATGATCCCTAGCTAGCAGGACCAGTGGTCAGGGATGATTGGAATTGTAGTCTCAAAACATCTGGAGGGCCGAGGTTGAGGAAGCTTGATCTAGAGAGCTGGTGTAGAGACTGAGCTATGAAGTTCATGGTTTGAGTGTTGCCTTTGCCATTGAACTCACCAGGTGGCCTTAAGCAAGCCACTCAGCCTCAGTTGTCTCACCAGCAATATGTATGGTAATACTGATCTACCTTACAAAGTTGTAGTAAGGATAACAACTAAGATAATGCAAGTGACTAATTCTGAACATTTTAAAAATGATGATTTTTCTTGGGTTGCTGGAAATGGGATAGTAGTATGGCTGCTAAACTGACTTTGAACTCCTTTTTTAGGGTTTGAATACTGATTGATTGCTGCCTTGAGGGGATTGCAGAATGGGATTGTGTTGTGGAAACTGTAGTCATGTGAATTGCACCATTCATGCGTTCTAGTCTGCTGCCCCATTTTATCCCATAGTTACATATTAGATTCTGCTGACTTGTTTGTGTTACTTCATCTAAATAATAAAGTTTCTAGTTTGCACTCATCAGGTGTCTTCATGGTGATACTCTGCAAATTGGATGCAAAAGTGTTTATCTTAATTGGACATAAGCCACACAGTAAGAGAGTTACAATTTAAGAAAAATTAGTTGCATTTTATTGTATTGGTTTTTAGTAAGCTAAAGCCAGAGGTTTCCAATAATCTACAGATCTGCTGTCCTAGAGGAAGTTTGGATGGGGCAGAGGTATCTTTGGTGACCTCCTCCAGCAATTAGTACTCTGTTGCACCCACCCAAATGGAGGTAGTCAGTAGAAACCTGTGAAATCTGGTATTTGGGGGGATAGGCAGGGCTAAGCCACCACAGGATCTACTGGATCCTAAGCCAGGCCTGCTGCTGTCATCTGATGGCAATGGGCTTGATCCAAGCTGCTTCACTGTAGCAGCCTGGAAGCTGCACAACAAAGAGGCATTTCCATTTGCACCATTAAGCCATGCTAATGTCAGCCAGGGGTCTGGATTACAGCCTTAGGTAGGCCACATGAGCCTAGAAACAAGAAAGCTTGCCATCTTTTTGTCGTGCATAGATAAAGCACATGACAGCAATTGGCCATGTGTTGTGCTGTTGCAAACAAGCCTCTGACCACTAAAGAGAAGCTATTGCTTTCTATATGTTATAGCCTATGCCATGTGATTCAAATGCTCTGTGCAGATTACATTTCACATCCGTAATTGTGTGCTGAATTCCTACAAAATTTGCAGCAGCAGTTGTTACTGCATTACACTGTCTTTTCAGAGATGCTGAGTTGTCTTGTGCTCAAAAGAGGTCTTGTGCCAATCAGTTTTTTAGAACAACAACAAAAAAAGCAGTGCTTGAACTTTGGAGCTGAATTAAGAAAATATTAATATTAAACAGTGCTCTGATGCACCTAAAAATAATAGTACAATACCTGGATCTGGAATGAAATTAATTCTAGCTTTTTATGTTTATATTATTCAGTACAATTATTCAAATTAAATGGATGATTTCAGAAGACTCATCTGTGTATTTATAGACCAACACCTATTAAAATAGTTGCCAAGGGAGAAATAACCTGATTTTTTTTTGCATGCCACCTAAAAAGCAGCTGTTCTGTATCATACCAGTTTGTTTATGATTTAGTGTCTTTAAGGTTAGTTTTAATGTATATAACATTTTTAAAAAATCAACATGGTTAATGCTGAAATAATAAAAGTTTCTGTTGCTCAAGTGCAGACTGGACATTAATATCTGTTTAATGAGGTTCACTGAGACCTAATCTTATGTACTGTAGATTCCAGTATATAAGACGACTTTTTAATCCCGGAAAAGAGGTTAAAAGGTCGGGGGTCGTCTTATACGCCGGGTATGGGCGGCGGGCTCCACTCCGGGAGAAAGCTTTTTCCCGGAGCGGAGCCCACCGCCCACTGCTGCTGCCCAGCGTATAAGACTGGGCTTATAAGACGAACCCCCAAATTGCAGCTGCCAATTCGGGGGGTCGTCTAATACGCCCAGTCACCTAATACTCCAGAATCTATGGTAGCATGTTTGAAGTAATTTTTTGGAAGGTGTAACATTTGATACTGAGTGCTTTTAATTACTGAATCTAATATAATGCTTATATATTAGACTAGATTGGTACAAAGGAAAAACAAGGAAGCAGGACACATTCATTAAAAGTAATTTTAAAATGGACTAATTTTTGTTGCTTTATGAAAACAAGTTTTATTGCAGCTGCAAGGTATTCAATCATTTTGATTACTCTGGTGCAGTTTGAGAATATGTTCAAGATTGCAACCGTATGTGCAGTTACACTGGAGTAAGTCACATTGAAAGTTTGGGTCTTCTGTATAAACGCACATATGATTGTACAGTTTTTGTACTTCTGATAGAGGTACCATACCAAGTATGTGTGACTGTTCAAGTGTGATTACTTTAGTGATTGATGTATAGTTTCTGTATAAGTACAGTTTGCTACATATTTGGTCACTTGGCCTAAATACAAGAAAATATTGAATAGTAAGTTGTGAACCGCTCTTGATCTTCAGATGAATGGCAGTATACAAATTTAATAAATAATAATAAATAATACAATGATGAATGAAAAATATGATAATTTAAATTACTCTAAATGCTGTATGATTTATTTAATGGATAGCAATGCTAGTGACTATAGATTGTAGGTACCCCTGAGTTTTCAGAGTGGGAGGTCTTATAGTTTGAATGTATATGAAGATTTGCATTAAGAGAAAATCAGTATTAATGTAGAGAAATAAATAGAAACTGCCTGGTTTTGTTGGGGAAATGGGGAGGAGCAGAAGAAGGGATGATAGAATTAAAACTGGTAGGCAGATGGTAGTGTTTTCAGCTGTATTAACTACTAGAGTAGATGAGTAGACTTCCTCTGTGAAGACAATAATAATACTTTAGACAGGTTAGTTCAAATTTTTCATGGGGCTGACTAAGATATCTGATTGCAAAAGATAATTGGAGACTTTAAAGGTTTCTGGGAACAGGAGATAATTTAAACCGGCTAGAGAGGTAAATATTGTGTTTTTACTTCAGTACCAGTAAGAGAGAGAGCGCACACCTGTTAAAATACTAGGGCATTGACTGGATAAAGCACTGCAAGAAGTAGAGTACTTATTACTCATCCTGCATGGATGAGTATTTGGGTCAGTCCAGCTTATGTGTTTCACTTTCTACTAAAATTGGTAAGGAGTTAACAGCCACATCATTTGTACTCATTTATATGCAGTTAATTTAAAGCATCCTATACCTCTCTTTGTACAGATGTGAGAATAATACAGTAAATTGATCTAACTGCTTTTATGTTTCTGGCATTTTCCAGCTGGAATTCTTGAGAACTACTGTGACCTAGTTGCTGCTAAGTGGGTCTCTCCCCTACCCCCCAACGAACTGAACAGAAGCATATAGATATGGAACATATCTCCAGTGTATGGTGCAGAATGACTGCTGCAGCACCGTATCATTTAGTTTACCTATCCATAAAAAAATCAATTCGTAACATATTTATGTGTTATATAGAATCAAATTTATCTGTACAGTAGAACCTCGACTTACCACCGCCCCTACTCGCGAACAATTTGACTCGCGACCGTGGCAAACCCGGAAGTAAATACCGGGTTTGCTGTGATTCGTGCGTGTGCAGAAGCGGCTTCTGCCATCTACACATGCACAGAACGGCGCTGCCGCCAAATGCGCACATGCAGAACGGTGCTTCTATCAGCGACCCAAATCGACTCACAAACGGACCTCCGGAATGGATTCCATACGTGAGTAGAGGTTCCACTGTATTATATTTGAAGCCTCACTGTTAGCTCCCTACAGCAGTGGTTCACAAACCCCCAACGCCTCAACCACTTAAACATGGTCAAGGGTGGTCTTGTACTGCTTTTTCTGCTTGTTATTTAGCAATTGTAATGTGCTGTTCTAGACACTGAAGTTGCTGCCTTGGGCCACCTGAATGAAGCTTACTGACTGTTCATCTGTGTGCCACAGTTTAGAAACCCCTACCCTACAGTTACTAAGTAATGCTGGTTTTGGGAGAGGCTCACGCTGCAGTTGTGTAATACTTCCGAGTACATGTGCATTGGACTGAACACTTTACACCTTTAGATGAATTCCTTGCACTGCCTTGTCTGTGTTTTACTGGCAAGTAGGCCTTCCATGGGACTTTCAGATATAAGCGGGCCAATAATTGCTGTCACAGATATTTAGCCCTGATGCATATATACAGGCAACCCTCCCCCACTTAAGTGGGGGTTAAGTTCCAGGCCCCAACGCGCAAAAGGGAAAATCACGTAAATGGGGAGCACCCTCTGAAAAGACTATAAGCACCAGTTTTTCCCTACTGTACAGCTCTCTCCAATCCAATCCTCTGGGGGGAGGCTGGAGGACGTGCAAAAAAGTGGCTGTGGATGTTGTTGCACTACCCATGCATCAGCTGTTAGGCAGGGAGGCTAAGCAGCCAAAATAAAGCCCCACTGTGCCTCTGATCTCTTCGGGGCTGCCTCCAACCTCACTGACGCCCTCTTTGGACGTCCTCATGAGCCAAGAGGGCTCTCCAGCTCTTTCCTGGTACTACTCTATTTATTTCCCAATGCCGTGCGTATAAGCAGTTGCATGCGAGTGATCCTGCATAAGTGTGGGGATGCCTGTATTTCAACTCATGACACTTTTTGAGAAAGTGGCTTATTTGTATCCCTTAGTGTTCTTTGCCTTCAGTATAATTTTATTTAGTGTGAAACCTTCCCAGTAGCCAGGAATGATTTAATTTTGACTTTCAAAGCACTTCTTAGAGTGTTAAAGGAGAAAAATGAAAGATTTCTTCTGTACAGTTGGTGGGTTACTGTGACACAGAACCTGGTTATGGAGTGAGTAAAAATTGGTGATGTAATGGAAGAGCATGCAGCTCTGGTACTCTTCTCAGAACAGGAATAATGATGTCATCTGCTGGAGTGCCAGGGTCATTAAGGGGCGTTCCTTGCTTTGGCAAGTGAAGGAGATTGTAATGGGTCTAGGAATTTTGTGACATTTGTCCGGATGTAGTTCGAGAATGAGGGAAATAATCATAGGCTGCTTACTACTTTCTTTGATAGGATTCATGCTTCACACCAGTAATTTAAATGACAATGCTTCTTTGCAAAATAGTCTTCATTTCTAATTAAAAATTAAAGGTTGCATTTCAGCTAGTGGAATATTTTATGTTAAAGTTAAATTGTTTAACATGTTGACTCTATGCAGTTAGAAAGAAGCATTGCTGAGTTACATAGTTTACTTTAGTTCCCAGGAAACTAGGTGCGTAATATAATGTAGTGGTCAGTGAGCTTTATTCAGATTATCTGGGGTGTGTAACATTACAGTTAAAAATTCAAGCATCTAGCACGGTGCATTACAGTTGCTAAAATAGGCAGAAAACCTTTAAGTGATCCTCCAAGACCATCACCAATTTTCAAGAAGCCTATGTGGGAGTGGAATTTGGGAACCAGTTTAATAACGGCACAACACAGCTTCCTGTGCTCTTTGGACTCTCCTTGGGAGTGCGACTATGGGGCTAGCCATAATGAGGTCCTGAACTTCAAAATTTACCCCCACTCTCCTGTCTGAGATAGATGTTCTAGTGGTGAATGCATAGTTGTCTAAGAGACAGAGGAGGATATGAAAAGAAGCAGAAAAGAAGGTATGTGCATGTGCATGTACATACATTATTGTAAAAAAAAAAAAATAGAAATGAATTCCATCTTACATTTGTCCCAAGACTGAAATAGCTCAAGACCGCTGGCTTAAGGCCAGTTGGTGTGGGCTTTTGACTACCAAAATATGAAAATTCTCAGCATTTGGAGGTTTACTAGCTTCCTTTTAGATAAATTCATTTTCCAGGTTACTGGTAGTATAGATTGATCTTGTTTAATATATAGCACTTACCACTCTTGCTCATTTAACATTGCCATATGTTACCCATGTTTGAATGGTAAGGACACATAGAGGACTTGCTCAGTGGCTGCCCACAATGATGGAACTGTTTCTCTGGCATTTCACCAAAGCCAATGTCTGTAGATTTTTTTAAACAGCAGAATACCGTATTTTTCGCCCTATAGGACGCACTTTTCCCCCTCCAAAAATGAAGGGTAAATGTGTGTGCGTCCTATGGGGCGCATACAGGCTTTCGCTCCAGGCTTCAGGAAGCTCTGCGCAACCCTAGGGAGCCCGGCGCGAAGCCACGCTGGGCTCCCGAAGGTTGCGCAGAGCTGCTTGCGCTCCCGGGCACGCAGCCAGAGCAATGCCGAAGCTGCACGCAGCTTCGGCATCGCTCTGGGACTCGTTCTGGGGGCTGGGGTCGGGGGAAGCTCAGGCTTCCCCCGACCCCAGCCCCCGCAAGCTGCCAGAGCGATGCCGAAGCTGCACGCACCTTCGGCATCGCTCTGGCAGCCCCGCACCTGTAGGGGGGGGAATAATTTTTTTTCCTTTATTTCCCCACCCCCCCAAATCTAGGTGCGTCCTATGGGCCGGAGCGTCCAATAGGGCGAAAAATACGGTATATTTTCTAGGGGGCTGGAACTAAGCCAATAGGAAGCTACTTAAAATTACTGCCTATTTTGTTTTATGTATTCAGTTGCCTATCCGTATAAGCATATTAGTTGTCTTGTGCTTTTAGGATTGGGTGACATACACAATCGTTTAGCATTTAGGAGAAAATGCTTCCCCATTGTTTGTCTTTTTTCAAAAGGCTATAACTGATATATGCCTTATGCTGTTGAAGTGATTTTAATTTAAGGCATCTAAAAGCAATAATTGTCAACTGTCCTCTAACACAGGCTCTGGTTATTTGTAAAATAAGATATATTGAAGAGCTTTGTTTTCACAGTCATATTGGTGGGGCAAAGAACATAAGATGCAGCATTCTTGCTCAATGTAGTGAGTTAGCACAGTGCTGAGGAACACAAATAATGCTCTTGATACAAACATATGGTTGAGGTTTCTAGCAGAAATAGGTCAGCCGTAAGCTCCACATAACCAACACTGTCCCTGCTAAACTAAAAACAATTTCCTCTAGTTATATATGCTCTCCTATTTATTAATGCAGATTTTGAGCGCAGATTTTAAGTAACAAGATTTTGTTAATTTTTTTCATGCTCTACTCAGCTTGAAAACTGATGTGCTGAAAATGTTAAGTTGTTGTTAAAAAAACCCTGAAAATTGTGTCTGGTGCACTTTCACTAGATTTCACAGCTCTACCGGTTCAGTTTTTTTTTAAAAAAGTGTGATGTAACCTTTCTACAGAACTGAACGTTAATTTTTTTCAATCTAGATGGTTACAGACTTCACTTATGCTAAAAGTGATGGAGCCAACAATTTCATTAATTAAAGATTCAAGTAGGGCTTCTTAATAAGAACATAACATCTGTTGTTTAATCCCTCTTTGGGCCTGTTAGGTTGTTCTGCCATCTTTGTCATGAGATTAAGAGAAGGTTATGGGTTCAAATGGTCCTCACCATAACTCCTCCCCCACATCCAGAAACTGGTATCTCAACTGGCAGAGCCTATGGGTATTTTAACACATGTTCTCCTTACCCAGGATAATGAATCTTGGTGATGAGTGAGACTGGGATAACACCTGAACAGGCTCTTTGTTTCCTTCTCCTGCTGTTGCCTTTTGCTGTACTACTCCAAAACAAGCTCCATTGTCTCATCTGTCTCCCTTTCTTTCTTTAAAACCTACTTCTTCAACAGCACTTCTGCAGGTACCTTCAGTGGCAGGTATTTCCTGAACATTATCTCTTCTGGACATCCTGCTGTTAGCTCTTTCTCACTTTCATTTGCTGTGCTTAGTAGTTAAAATTAACATTTCTACTTTTTCAATACGTGGTAAAAAGTGCATTTCTACTTGAGCCCCTTAAACACATTTCTGACCCTTTACTTAAATTTATATGCACCACCAGTTACATGGTGCATGGTTTTCCAGCCCTTGTTTTGCTTATTCATTTCTACTTGTCCCTGCTGCCGTAGGGACAAGTAGCCCTGGACTACCCATAGGGCTGAGATATGGAGGCGGCAGGTTTGCACATGTGTTCCCTTCCTTCACCTGGTTAAAGCAATATTGATGCTGAGGTGTGTGTGTGTGAGAGAGAGAGAGAGAGAGAAAGAGGCATATGTTCAGGCTGAACATTTTGCTAAACAAAACCCAGCACAGTGTTACCTGTGCATATAACTATTGTTGTGGTAGGGCATTTTGTCATTCATATCTTGCCCAGCACGGCTGCTTTTCACTCCCAAGTTGGTGAGAAATTGCAAAGTAGTCATCCTTATTTAGTGACCTACCACAGCAGCTTCTTCCTGTTTCACAGAAGAGTGTGTGTGTGTGTGTGTGTGTGTGTATTTAGGCAGGCAGAAGTAAAAACATTACATTACACATATAAAAGATCACATAGAGATCATTACAAAAAAAAAAAAAAGCTTCACAGCACCATTAGGGTCACTTTTTTAAGGAAAGGGCTGATTCTGAGAAGTAAAACCTTTTTGCGTCTTACGTTCCTGGGGTCAGGGAAGGGTCTGCAAAGCTGATAGTTTTAAATGATTATTCTTTTTCTTAGTTGCAGGCATGGATGGAGGTGCCCTGGCTGAAGCTAGTCTTACAGACTCCTACTTCAGCACCAGCTTCATCGGAGTTAATGGGTTTGGAAGTCCTGCTGAAGCAAAGTATCCTATGATGCAGGTAATATTTCATTTGGTAAGCAGCTAGGTTAAAATGTACCAAGGATTAAAAATATTTCTGCAGCAAATAAGTTTACTTCTAGCAGTTTTCTGCTAATTTTAGATTTCTCTGGATTGCTGTATTTTATTACTTCACATGGAGCAGCAGTAAATCAAGTCTTCCAACCAATCTAGGAATCAACACAGTGTTTCTAGGAGCCCAATGCAGATGTTGAGTTTGCAGAATATCTCCCCTCCTATCCCTAACTGCATGTAAGAGGAAGTGCATGTAAGAGGAAGTGGCTCCAGTAGGAGATCCTATGTGAGTTTCATCATGGAATCTCCTTCATTTAGGAGATGGGAGAAGTACAGTGCCCAATGAGGGAATTCTCAAGCCAGATATTGGTTTATGATCACTCTGTATGCAGAGGGTTGGAAAAGGAGACATAGTAATTGAAAAAGGCCTTGTAGGTTGCTTAGTTTTGGGGCCGTTTTATTTGTTTCCCAGAGTGCAAATGATGATGCACCACTTGTATACACACACTTTCCATCTGGTTCAGTCTGGGCTTTTTTTTTCTGCCCTTGAGCAGATCCGCAAACTTAGGAGTACATCCCTCCCACAAAGAAATTGTCTTGTTGTCTGGTGGTACATAGGGATAATAAGTGCTGGACGTTTGACAGTCTGCTGTGTAGTGGTTAGAGATAAGTTTCTGTAAGAATTTTTTGTGTAATCATGTAGGCACCATCTGGTTTGAGTCTTTCCAGCTTTGGATAGTTTTGTTTTTTGAAGGGAGTTGGCACTTATCTTGGCTCACACTGCTTCTAGCTATACCCATCCATTCTAACATATTGCAAACATTGGAGAGGCAGCAAGAGATGGAGTGCAAGGGTATATCCAGATCAACAGTTTTAAATATCAATTTGCTTCTTATTTGTGGTAGGGGAAGGCACAGTTCATGTTGCATCTCAGAATCTATCAGTATTTACATTCTTGCTTTTATATATGTGTGAGCATGTGCATAATCTTGTAAGGAATTAAGCAGTGGGGGGCTTGGGTGTGTTTGGTCTGGACTAAAGCATTTGTTGTCTCATTTTCTGTAAATTTTCCTTTTCCTGTATATAACACACAAACACCCCACACATTCCAACTAAGCATTTATGGCATTGCACCCATCCTTCAAGCAGCTTGTTAAACTTACCTATTTTTTAATAAAAAATATTAAACCTGGCTTTTAGTTCTCCCTGCTCCTATCATAGAATTGTGAAGGGACCCTGAGGGTCATCTAGTCCATCCCACAGCAATGCAGGCATCTCAACTAAAGCATCCAGGACAGATTGCCATCCAACCTCTGCTTAAAAACCTCTAAGGAAGGAGAGTCTACAACCTCCCGAGGGGAGTCCCTTCCACTGTTGAACAGATCTTACTGTTTGAAAGTTCTTCCTGATGTTTAGTCGGAATCTCCTTTCTTGTAACTTGAATCCATTGGTTCAGACCCTACCCTCCAGTGCAGGAGAAAAGAAGCTTGCTCCATCAGGCGTATGACAACACTTTATATTTGAAGATAACTATCATATCTCTTCTCAGGCTAAACATACCCAGCTCCCTCAAACATTCTTCATAAGGCTTGGTTTCCAGACCCTTGATCATCTTGATTGCCCTCCTCTTCACCCGTTCCTGCTTGTCAATATTCTTCTTAAATTGAGGTGCTCAGAATTGGACACAGTATTCCAGGTGTGGTCTGATCAAGGCAGAATAGAGTGGTACTATTACTTCCCTTGACATGGACACTATACTTCTGTTGATGATGCAGCCTAGAATAGCGTTAGTTTTCCATCCACGCAAATAAGATCATGTGGGTTTGAAGGTGCACTCATGCAGTTGTGCATTTCCAGTGTTTATCCCTGAAAATTTGTAAAAAAACAAACACACACACCCCGCAAAAGCCCTCAGTTCCAGGGGCAGGGTGTACATGTGTACAGGAAATGCGGAAAGATTTGTTAAAGGACAGTGGCAGATAAAAATGAAAGGAAAAGTGATGACTGCCAGTGCAGACATACCCTAAAGAAGAGGGCATGAAATCCTCTGAAAGGAGAGGTAAATACAGTTGCATTGAGGATTTAGAATAAGGAGTCAGTTCATAAAAAGTACACAGAAGGATATACTGCATCAAGTAAAAACACCACAAAGTGGAATTTGATGTTACAAAACTGGTACCACACTACCTCCTGAGGCTAGGCTAAATCATCTTGGATCATCCATTTAACTAAAGCCATGTTTCTTCCTCCCATCACATCACTGCTTCCCTCTGCTAATATAAGGAGAAAAGTAGGTTGTTAAGTTGCTGACACAAAGATTCCCAATATGACTTTGGTTTATCCAGATATCTTTTTGCCTTGTTATTCAGACAGATTTGTCCTTTAGCAGCTAGAGAATCACAGCTTTTTCACAGACCTGTGATAAAGTCTCTAGGGTTACTATGTCACTAGCTCTGACGTTGGTTCATAGATCTACCCAGTAACATCAGTGAGGTTGCAGATTCACCATTGGTCTGATTTCTGAGACAAATGTATGCTGATTGGCTAATTACTTCATGCTTTCTTGCTTGTTGCTACTTGGTGGATCTGCTTTGCATTAAGGTTGCATCAGGGCAAATGTTTTGTGTTTTGTGTAATTTTGTTCTTAATTTCATGTTTCTGTGCAGACTGAACTTTCAGAATTTTGTTCTCTAAAATATTTGTTCACTCTCTACCTAGATTTTTTGCCCTGTATGGTTAAATACAGCGAGGGCTAGAAATCTGATATCACAGCTTACTGTGTTTGAATAGAAAGATAATATAAAGTAGGTGATTGTCAATTCAGTACTAATGTAAGTAATTTCGTTAGTTGAATTGGCATAAGCAATCTGTAGTGTGTAGCAGTAATTTTAGATCTCAGTTGGAATGCAGGTTTTATACTGGATTTATGTGCCCATAACACTGACCATTTGGTGACTTATTTGGGAGTGTGAGGCCACTTAATTGATAGGTAATACTGTTTTGTAGCTGAAAAGAGACTGGTGTGAGTTTTCTGTCATAGATTACAGGATGGTGGGTAGGGGAAGAAAGACAGCAGCAGAGCCATGACCCATAGTGAGAGTGGGTCCTACTTATGTGGTAGTGGCAGGCAATGCTCCCAGGTGAGACCTTACTGTTTCTGAGAATGAGTGGCAAAGTAAGAAGTCACCTCTCGGACTAAGGGATACAAGGCTAAGAACGCAGGGGAAAGAGAGGCCACTGTTTCCGGAGAAGCAAAATATTGGGTGTGCTATGAAAGAGTCTGCAGGTAGGATGTGCTTAGGTGTGAAATCGAGGTGTGAAATTGAAAGATACTGGGAGGGTTGGTCTTGTGTGGGTTTTGCAAGTTTTTTTTGGCTTTGTAAAGTCTAAAACGAGACATACTGGATAGTGCATCCCAAAGTCAGTTGACATTTCTACAAGTGCCTACTGTACTCCCAAGATTTAAGCATTTTAGAAGTCTTAATTTTAAGTAGTCTTTGCAATAATTTTATTTAGATTTGACTGCTTAATAATACTGAATAGGAGAAATTATGACTTTTTCCTCTACCAAAGAGTGAATCCCAGAAAGATTTGCATCCTTGAAATAATTTGCTCTTTCATATGACATATCTCATTTTCACATGACATATCTCATGTCTCTAATGTGGCCTGTTCCATAACATGCCTTTTTCTCTAATGTGGCCTGTTCCATAACATGCCTTTTTCTATGGTCACCTAATGACTGCTGATAGTGTCTGCATTTCAAATAATAATCTGATGTTATGGAATAGCAGCCTGGCCCTATTGCATAAGAAGGCACTTTCAGACCCTGAGTCTGCATGCAAGGTGGGGTGGGCAGGATAAGGAAGTATCGTACAGTAGTAGTAGTAGTAGTTGTAACATCATCATCATCATTACTCACCCTGTACCCTGTGGTACCAGGGCAGATGTCAAAAAAATGTTTGATATTCTGGAATGTGTGTGTAAAGAACTGCAAGAAAAGTAGTTGGTAAAACATATATTTGCTGAAACCACCCTGATTCGTTTTCACAAGGGTTGTTCTTCTCTATGAGTAATAATTCTACTTTAATGCTTTCTATCAATTTACCTAGAATCTAATCTAACTGTCCTGAAATGTGTTGACTTCTCCTGACTCAGTTTTTTTAGCTGCTTTATGATGGCCATTTCCCAGTTTTCTAGTAAGAGGGCTGATTTTCTTGCCTCATTGTGAACTTTTGTTAGGATATCAGCAATGTTCACATAGATGAGTCCTTGAGCAGTAGGGTGTATGAACATTAGAAGAGTGAGCTGGATCAGGCCCAGCAGCCTATCTAGTCCAGCATCTTGTTCTCACAGGGGCCAAGTGGATGCCTGTGGAAAGTCTGAAAGCTGGACCTGAGGAGAACAACGCTCTCTGCACTTGTGATTCTCAGCAACTGACATTCAGAGGCATAATGCCTCCAACAGTGGAGATCGAACCTAGTCATCGGCTAGTAACTGTTGATATCCTTATGCTTCATGAATGCTGTCTGGTCATGCATTTAGTATTTGTCAGTTAGCTGTAGAACTTCATCTCTGTTCGATTCAATTCTTCAGATGTTAGCCCTGAAAAGATAGGTTCAGGTATGGGTATCAGTCAAGCATTTTCAGCAGTGAAGGCTGATGCAAAGATATAAGCTTCTCTGTATTCACCCTGTTCTCCCTTAGCTTCTGTTTTGTCATCTAACAATCCAACTATCTCCCTGGCTGTCTTAAATGTTACAGCAAGCCTTCCAAAGTTGAGGAAGAATTGTTTGGGTCTTCCTTTATTTACATTGTCTGCAAGGATAATCTATATTGTAATCTATAAACTCTGTGAATTAACTAATTTTCACATACTGGTTATTTTGAATATTTTAGGTAATTGGGGAGAGGGAAACACATGTATATTGAAGTCCCATTGACCACTGGAACTCTGATTCAGCTCTTCACCTGTGGATTATACCAGTCATTTTCTACATATTTTCAAGCCTTTTTGAGCCAAAGAAACAATAACTTGCTTTTTCTTAAAAAGAACTGCATTGCTTTATCAACATAGAATTGCAGAATAAACATAGCTCTGTTCAAGGACTAGTGATTTGAGAAATTGCTAATTGGTACTTTTCTGGCTCTGTGTAGATTGGATAAAACGGTTAAACTTAATGAAAGCTATATATGTAGAAAGCAGTTTTAGAGAAAATAAGACCCCTTAAATGTTGGCTCTTATATTTTGCCTATAGCATCTGAATGATATGCATTTTTTGAGGTTTTATTGTCTTTAGCCTGAAATCTAAATAGGCCATTATGACCTATTTGGATCCATAGCAACAGTGTGTTGTATCCTGAATCATACAAATTCAGAAGGATCAACATGGAAGTGAGCGGTGTCTGTATGGAAGTTAAGAAAAGGGTTTGTGGTTTAGTTTTTTGATGCAGATTTATTTTTTACAGTATATGCTGACTAGTGGTGAACACTCTTGTCTTTTACTCTGATATTCCCAAAGAGTTCTAACTCTCTTAAAGTCCAGATCTGCTTTCATTAGGATTCTAGGCCCCATTTTTCAACTCTGTTTTGATAAGGCAGTGCCCTTGGCTCAATAGAAAGTAACACATACCCCCAACACAATTTCAGGAGTCTCACTTAGCCTTCTGTTGAACCTGTCTTCTTTTCATCTGGGTACAAGCAACCCCTGATTTGTGTGGGGGTTGTGTTCCGAGTCATCACACACAACGGTGTAGCCCACATAAGCCTGCTTGGCCTCTTCCACACCCACCTCCACTTCACCCCCTTTTCCAGCCACTTCCAGGTTAATATGATGCTTGCATGTGAGGTCGCACACATATTGAACACCTGTACAGCGGTACCTCGGGTTAAGAACTTAATTCGTTCCGGAGGTCCGTTCTTAACCTGAAACTGTTCTTAACCTGAAGCACCACTTTAGCTAATGGGGCCTCCCGCTGCCACCACAGTGCCGCCGCACAATTTCTGTTCTCATCCTGAAGCAAAGTTCTTAACCCCAGGTACTATTTCTGGGTTAGGGGAGTCTGTAACCTGAAGCATGTGTAACTTGAAGCATCTGTAACCCAAGGTACCACTGTATATCGGTCGTTGCCTGTACTTGTAATGGATTCAGGGAAGTTTAGGATACATATATGTCTACTGATACATGGGATTTGTTTAGGCCAGTGGGTATAGATCCCTTCACAAAAGGTTTTATTTTTTCCCCCTCCTATTATAAAAAAATGCAGTAAATTGAGTCCTGATAAATGGTAGAAAACTTTTAAGTTTACTCTGTAGTCTTCTTGGCCTTATTTACATGTAAAGAAGCAACTAATGAAGCTTAGATAATTAATTTTCTGGCCTTATGATTGTAGATTCTCTAAATCTCATTAAATTCTGTAAAGGTGCATGGGGCTAGAGGAGCCATTTACTGCTTTTGGAATTGGAGGTTTGTCAAAAATACTTGTCCATTAAAAAAGTTATGTGGTGCTTTAAATCTTAAGTCTTCACATTTTGAGGGCACCTTTAGTTCTTGAAAATAGATGTGGTGAATTCTGACAAGTTTTGTCTTTGACAGGTTAACAAATTTAAATACTTGGACTGAAATCTTTACCTCACTTCTGTTAAACTGGGTTGTGCTGATAACAAACCTGTAAAATGCATGTTTGATAAAAGCATGGCTCATTACCTGGCATGGGGACAAAATTCTGTGACTTTCGAAAAACTTATATCCCAACACCTTCAGGTTTTTTATATAAAGAAAAGTAGATAGGCCTGCTAATGACAAGTTTATCGGGCAGCTTTCAGCAATAAGCATCGTGTGTGTGTGTGTGTGTGTGTGTGTGTGAGAGAGAGAGAGAGAGAGAGAGAGAGAGAGAGATCTTGAGTGATTCAAGGTGAATGAGCAGATTCATAAAAGTGGGGCTTTTGCTTGTGGAACCGCTTGATAGAATGCTTTCACTGTTCATTTCTTGTGTTAACGAATTACTGGAAAATAGCGTAATTCCCATTTCCCTCCCTTATTCATGTCTGAATTGCATTTAAAATAACTCCTAAGCATAGATCTGTTTCAGTTTGTATAAATGTTATTGGTTATTACTGCCACATAGTTCTTCCTCCTTGTTGTACTTCTATTGGGTCAGATCCAGATATGTTCTCAGCAGAGTTTCACTTGCATGATACTCTACTGGAGGAAGAGGAAGCAATTTTCACTTATTCCTCCTTCTCCCTGTGACCCCTGAAAAACCTCTTCAGTAAATCAGGGGATCCTCCAGAATCGGAAGCAAGAATTAGCAAAACTCTCCCCTCTTCCAACACAACCTTCTCCTAGTTTAGAGTCACATCTGTGGAACGGAAACTCTGGATCCAACTCGATGTTTACACAATGTTCTTGGCTAAATGAAAATCAGTGTTTACTTGGTATGACTTTATATTAAATGTTTTAACCAGTAACTAAATGCTTCCTATAGCTTTTTATTTGGACACACCAATTTGTGGAATCACAGAAACCTAACACTTTGATTAGCTTTATTTTGTAACCATATATTTATTCATCCATTTTCAGTGTATGAGCTAAAACTGCACATGATCCCTATTGTTGTATTCACCATACAATTTTTCTTTTTCTTTTTCTGCAGAGGATGACAAATAGCAGCAGTTCCCCTAGCCTTCTTAATGACAGTGCCAAGCCCTATGCAGGCCACGGTAAGAAGTTGACTTTCTTAACAAAAAAAATTAAATATTTAACTATGTTTATGTTAATATTTAACAATATTTATGTTAAGCTATTTTTATGGGAGCAAAGCTTTCAGTCTTTAATGTGGTTGCAATATATTTAGATTCTTATCTTGATTTTATTTAAAGCATTTGTATCCTGCCTCTTTCAACAAGTGGGCTCAGTTTTAATTATCATTAATGCTTATAATCACCGTTTTGTTTTGCTTGCTTTCCATATGTTACTCTGCAACATGTGATATTAAAAAAAAATGACAGATTAAATATTTGAACAAAATTCTTGGGAGCAGTCTTTGGCCAGTATTCAAAGAGTTACTTGAGATAAACCTGAGGCCTTGGGCATGCACAAAGAAATTGCTGTGGTTAAGAGCATAGGCCCTACTTTCATATATTACATTTTAGAGCCACATAGTAAAACAATCTGCTTACAAGCAAGACATATTTCCTAAACAGTCATCCACTTTGGTTGAAAATGGAAAGCTATTTTGGTTCTTGTGACCATCTTTTCTAGATTCATCTCCGTTGGGGTTTAGGCCCAGCTGTATATGATGTATGGAGGATGGCAGCACAAGAGAGAGCCTTTTCTGTGGTGTCTCCCCATTTGTGGAATGCTCTCCCTTGGGAGGCTTACCTGGTGCCTACATTTCATATATTACATATATTATCTGCAACCAGTGCTTTGGCTGATTACCATTCTATGGTCTTTTAAATGTGTTTGTGGGAGGGGGTTTATTAGTTTGTTTCTGTTTTATTATGTACTTTGTGTTATCATTTTGTATTTTTACGTTGTGAACCACTCTGTGATCTTTGGATGAATCAGTCAGTCAGTCAGTCAGTCAGTCATTCAGTCAATCAATCAATCAATCAATCAGTCAATCCAATATTCCTTTTCCCCCTGGGCATTTCATTAAAATAATTTAGGAGGCAGACTATTGTAGTCATGGGCATCCCTTATAATCTGTTTGTATTTTAATGAAATATAATAATCACCTATGCAAGTGTTTATGTTATAGGTGTAGCCAGTTCTGTCTGTAATCCTTTAAGCACCTGTCCATGGGAAACATATGCCATCAAGTAGTTGTATGAATTTACTTTTCTAACAATTCCTACCATCACTGCTAGGAACCTTCAGTTGTGCTTGTTTTCCATGTGGGAGTGACTTATAAGTAAACAAGGAAGATTTAAAGGGATGTGTACATTAATTTTGAGAGCTTAAGATTGCAGAGGACATCATGCAGAATTATCTGGTAGTTGAGAAACTTCGACTTAATGCACACACAGCTGTGAATTAATTAACATATGCCCATGCTAAGTTAACTTCTGATTTCAATAGGACTTAAATGCTGATATTGATAAAACATAGCCTCTATACAAGTAATCTACTAAACTAGCCCTTGTATTCCAAAGTCCAAAGAAATTGATAAGCACCACAGTTTTACAGGGCATAGTGATTGTTAACAGAGGGGGAAAGTGAATTCCACTGAACATGCACAGTTCCTTAGGCACATGCCAAATTATTTTCTGGCTCTACTTTGCAGATTTCAAACACTAACAATGTTATTATATTATATTTAAAATATATTATTATTTTATATCTGTATGTTTTGTAACCTTTTTTTACAGATTCTCTTACTTCACCTGGTTCATCCTTGTTCAACGACTTTGCTGCCCTCAGCTTATCTCAAAGGAGAAAAGTAGGTATTGCCAGAGTTTCTAGATAACAAAAGAACCACTTGCTTTATTACATACAGCAACTGATAGCTTACAGAGTAGCATCAATTATATATATGGCCATATGTAATGCACATTTCTGGGCATGCATTTCAGTTCATTTACACAATTGCTTGTAATTGTCCAGATCAGTGCACTCTAACTTGATCCTCTGCCCCTCACAATACAAGCAATGCCTTTCTACAATGTTCTATTCAGTGCAGTTTTTTAGAAAAAGAGGTGTCGGAACTCACCATGAATGCCTTGTTCGCTTATAATGGCAATGGCACTCACCTGAGAGGTGCTGGAACTGAGTTCCGGCTGAATAAAAGCCCTGGTTCTATTGCAATTTGTGGTAAAGACAACATCTTCAAATAGGTGTCTATCAACTTTTATTCCAAACAACTCTTGATAAATCCGCTGTTTAAGGAGAAAACTTCCTGCAGTAGTCACATTACATAGAGCCATGAAAAATCTGTAAACCATAGACTGAGTAGTTTTTACTCTACCCCCTGCAGAGAATTTTAAAATTGTGATCATTAAATGCCCCCCAACTTATCAAAGCAGTCACTTCCCCTTTATTGAACTTATGGGGGTTTCTGTTGTAAAATTTTCGAGATTAGTTAGCTTTTCTTTGCTTGTTAAAATTGCAATAAGAAACCAACATTTACAATTTAATATTATGCCATGTCCTTTTTATTGCTTTCCCAAGTAACAATCTTTTATGTGCCACTTCATTAAATGAATGCTGTTCTTTGTTGATATTGAAGACTTCTGATCTCAAGACTTCACATTACAAAAAAAAAGTTAAGACATTTTTGTCTTCCCTAGGCAAGGTTTGACAAAGTCTGGGACGTTGGCCAAAACTGATTGGTCCCCAAGCACCTTTTCCCTTACTCTTTTCGGCTGTAATATATTAAAGTACAGTAAAAAAAAAAATGGTTCATTCTCAAGGGAACCAAAGTTTAACAGTAAAATTAGCAAAAGATTGTTATTGGCTGAATAGAGAATAACAAATAATTTGACTGCTGCCACAAACCAAAGTGACCTTTGGGCTTCTTGTTCTTTGGGTTTATACAGGCAGTAGTTTGTTTTAATGCCCCACTGTCCTATCTGTGTAAATATAATTTTGCAGGTTTTTGAAGCATTGCAAAAACAAGTTTGATTTTTAGCAAAGACATATGGAGGGAAAATGCAAGTGTGTCTGTGCAGGTGGTGATTGCTTTATTATAACTTCAGGGAACACACAAGACCACTAACAGGGTTTTCATCCCATCTAAAAGTATGTGAAGGCATAGTTTGCATAAATAAATCCTTCTAAGAGAGAAATACACATGTGCTTGGATAATTGCAATTGCTCAAATAAAAGTCACTGTGATGTGCAAGTCATGATGACTGTGTGTACATCCCTAGGTAGGGGTGCTGACTCGTACAAATGAGGTTTTGACTCCTGGCCTTATTGCAAGCCCATCAACAGCTTCACACACTCAAGGAGGTGGTTGGATAATTGCTCCTGAATGTACAAAGCCAGTTTGGGGACCCTGCACAATATACTCCCACACAAGCATTGCACCATTCACTTCATTCGCAAAATAGCTTCTGGGTAATACATTTCAAGATTAGGGCGTTAGGTTGTCAGCGATTTAAATAACAGGGATTTATGAACAGTTAACTGTCAGAATGTTATACTAAGATCTGCTGCCACTGAAACAACGGGGATAATTAGCAGGGGTGGACTTTGGTAATATGGCACCATAAGTGAGGACATAATTTGATGCCCTCCCCCATCTTGGTTTCCGTTCTGCACATCCTCTAAAGTGCAGTATGTCATAGTTTTGCGTCCTCCTGGCTCGGCTTTCCTGTGTAGGAGAGCTGCACGTACCACCCTAAATCTTGCGCTGTAATTAGCTGCCTGTTAATGTTGTGCACTTACATTTAAGCCAGTAGAATATAGGAAGTTTTGATTGTTAAGCCCCTCTGTGGTGCATATAGCAGACTCAAGTGTTAAGTGCATTGCAGTTTTTGTTCTGTTACACTCTTGTTTTAATTTTGTAGGAGAAATTTGCTGTTCTGAGCAATTAGGGTGCACTGTTGTGGTTCGGGAGGCCTGAATTTTTTTTTAAGATCTGAGGAGCTTTTCTGTAAAAACCATCTTCTTTCCTTGTGGAAACATTTTGGATGGATGATTTTGCTTGAATCTCTTGTGTCCTAAAACCTGGGCAAATAAAGCCTACAGTGATGGAATTAGCATTCTTTATAGTAGGAGTAGTGGTGGGTCGGTGCTATAAAAGAGGCAAAAAGACATTTTTATTTTTATTTTAAAAGGGCTATTTGAGATTTAAAACATCACTGCAATAACATTCTGCTTTTCTGGTTATCTTTGTAGTTTGAGACTAGTGTCTACAAGTTTCAAGCAGAAGGAATATTGAAGTTACTTTAAGTTGTCTTTCTGGTCTGCGGTTTCACAGCAGCCAAAGTTTTTGTGGAAGGATGGCATTCAAGTTTCTTAGTTAATGGCTTCAGCTGCCTGTGCGCATTTACTCATGATTGAGGGATTGGGTCACAGGATTGTGCTATTTGTCTGCTAGTCCCTTCTGTCTCGCTCATGTACAGCCAAATTAGTGGTAAGAATGCTCAGTTTTGGTACAAAAGTAGCTACAAATTGTGCTTAAGTGTGTGACATGCATGATACACACACAAGAAAAAAGGACATTATATTGTAGCCATTCCCATCCTTTTAATTATTGCTAATGACTGGTATGCATTATAGCTTCATTGAGTTTTCTAGGGGCAGCATAACAAAAGCCAGGATTTTGGTTGTTCAACCTGTTACGTCTTCAGTTACGTTGCAGATGGAGGAAATACTGGTCACTAAGGATGTGTTGTGAAATTGAATTTGCATTTTTGACTTTGCAATTTGTGTCTCAACATTTTTAAAATGTGGTCTTTTAAAGAATGTTGAGAGAGGCAACTCTAATCTATCGTTCCATCACTTAAAATGAAATATGTGGCGTAGCCTAAGAGTTAAAATTTAACTCTATGCTTAAAAATCCACCAGAATTTAACTCCTTTCTCTGACTTCTAATATTTATCTTCACATTTTCAATTATTCTCAAACATTGGGGCCATAGCCGTATAAGACATAAGACAGTGATAGCTAAAACGTTCCAGGTTTTGCAACTCTTGAGTGAATCGCCCCCACTCCAGTGTCTCATATTGCCAAATGCTGAGCAGCATAACACCATAGCATAGATTAGTAACTTAAGAGTTGATCAGCATGTTTCCCCTTTTTCACGTTGGTGTTTTACTGCTTCCTCTTTTCAATTGTATATATGCCGATTGTACGCCAGAATATGTTAGAGTTCTATCCCCCCTTGGCAAAAGCATGTAGGACTGTTTTTGGAAATGTGTTCAGTCATGTCAACCCCTCACATGCAGTCTGAAGTGGCAAGACCAGGCATATTTTAGCCTATCACCTATTTCTTGTGAGAACCAGGTCACAATATTAGCACTACTTATCCAGTGCTGTTGTTGGTTGTTTAGTCATTAACTACGAAGGTTGCTAAATTGGGCCATGTTATCACTTTATCCAGTTTAAGCTGAGTATTGGTTTTTCCACAGTTTTTGGGCTTCCAGCTTAGTCATAGCCAATGAGGTTAATCCAAGGCATAATTATTGCTAGTTGAAAATTTCCCCATCTTGCATTGATACATACTTGTTACTGAATAAATATGGACTATGCTGAAATTGCCAAACCCAAGGCAAATCCAGTTTCTCATTTTATCTGTTTCTAAAACCATTAGTCACCGTTGGGACAAAACCAAGAAACAGGTGACCGTAATATGAAAAGATCCATGCAACTGGACACTCAGTTCCCAGTCTCAATCTTGCCAAATCTACATTTAATCAGGTTAGGCTATTGTTCTTGGTTGAGTAATAAATGTATCCAGATATTGCAAGGGGGAGGCATGAGCTACCACATCCACTCATTTTCCTGTTTTTCAGATCAAAATTGCCCTCCAGGGTGTGTTTCCCTTTTTGGATGATTATGCAGCTCTGGATGCTGTGAGTGATTTTGAGCTGAAAAATAAGTAGCAGGGAAAGAGTTAGGCAGTTCTTCTCCAGCCACTACTGACTAAAAATTGATTGAGCCTTGGAAGAGACATATATAATTGAGTCCTTGCTTTGAACAGAGTTGGCTTTATGGAAAAAAATCTTCAGGAGATCTGAATTGCTGCTTAAGTGCTTGCATAGCTGGTAATCTAAACTCTCATCAATATCTGCATAAAACTAGTTGAACACATATATTAGGTATTGTTAATGTAGAAAGGCATGGTTTCTTGTCCAATTTAGTCATGTTCTTTAAGCCTGAAGTTTAGCTTGACAAATGTAGAGACGATTTCTTTTGGCGTTCACCTGTTTTATTTGCACGAAATATCTTCTGTTTTTTGAAAATGAACTGTTTCAGTCGACATGCTTCATATGCACACGTTTGTCATATAAGCAATGGTGATTTCAGTGTTCTGGAAAAAAACCCCATTTAGAACAAGTTGGATGAAATTTCATTATTAGTTTAATATTCCTGTGGATGTTGTCTTCTGACCTTATTTAAATATTCAGAAAACAATTTCATATCTTTTTGCTCTGGGTAATGTTCTTACCTCTTGATGGTTCTTTAATTATCTTTGTAGATACTGAACTTTGTGCAGCACACTTCTGAGATTTTACAATGGGTTGTTCATGCAGAGATTAGATGGCCATCTACCATGGATGCTTTAGTTGAGTTTGCTGCATTACAGGGCATTGGACTAGATGACCCTTGGCGTCTTTTCCAACTCTACAATTCTGTGATTCTCTGTGTGGGGAGAGGTGAACTAAACAAGTAGATATTGGATTCAAGCATCCATGAGATCTGTTTTGGAATTAATATGTCTTCAGTGAGGAGCGTAAGCTAAGGTCTGCTTCCAATCTGTTCCTGTAAAAAAATAATGAGAAGTAATTTTATCATGGGTCCATCCTAGGATAACTACATTGCAAGTATTTTGTATGGGTAGTTGTACTCCAACTTCATTGGAGCGTGTGGGGAAGACACCCCTGGTTTAGAATAATTGTGAGACAAGAATTTTCCATGGGTATTTTGAATGGAATGGAATATATACTGGAGGAGCAAGCAGTACATCTATATCCAGCTAATTTTCTTATGAGCCACTTAACTGAGCAATGGACAGTAAACCAGCTGTTCAGCTTCAATTTCTTAAAAGTTATCTGCTAGAAAACTTTATTGCTGCATTTAGTAGTAGGCACTGCACCTTAGGGCGAGCTTTAACCCAATGTCTGACTTCTGCTGTAGCTTACTGAATACTTATTTTGATGAGCAGGAAGCTTCTCTAGTGACATGAGTTTATGGGTCATTAAGTAAGTGCTTGCTTATTATATACAGCTCAGAGTTCATAATTTTATACTGTCTGAAAACTCAGCAGGGCTTTCTTCACTGTCAGCAAGGATACAGCTTGTAAATAAGGATAGTTGCATTTCATAGTAAACCTTTGAGAGCGTATTGTGTGTGTGTGTTTCTGAATTGTTGAGTAATCACTGTTCTTGGAATTACTTTTATTACTTCATATTTACTTTGATAGGCAAGATGATACCTTAATTTTATAAACACGTCTGGGGTTTGAATGTACACCTTCAAAGCTTAAAATTAAAAGTATTTCATTATCACCTGTGTGTACCAGTAAAAACAGTTGTAATAAGAGATTATATGCCTTTCTTTGTGACCCAACTCTTTGCGACTAAATATGTTAACTTGACATGGACAACATTTCAAGGAAAAATTGTCTATCTCCTTTTGAGACATTTATGCCAGAACTTCCAAGGTTTCTCTTTTGAACAGTTGGATTGTATTTAATGAAATCTTACTCAGAGTAGACCCACTGAATTTACTGGGCTTAAGTTAGTCAAATCTACTGATTTCAGTGGGCTTACTCTGCCTATATTTGTTCATTTACAACCCATTATTTCCAAACCCAGTCCTTTCTGTCCTCTGGAATCTGTTCATAAATTCAGGCGTAAGAATTTAGTATCCTGGTTGGAGGTATGTAGTAGGCAAAGCTTTTGGTTTGACCTGGCACTACATATTTCAAACAAGTCTTAGTTTATTTGAAGTGATATAGATGTGACTTTTCTAATGAAATGTCAGAAATATTAGGACCAAACTGTACAAGCCAGCTTGTTCTGCAATCCTATTGAATTTTCCTGGGAGTGAGTCCTATTAAATTCCGTGGGACTTACGGTATTTCTGAGTAAATATGCACAGGATTGCACTGCGAGTCAAGGTGAAATCTAATTGGTGTCCCCAATTGGGAAGTGGAGGGAAAGTGATACTGTCTTCCTACTGCTCCCCATGCCACCCTGTTCTGGAGTTTTCCCCCCATCTCTCTGGCACTGATGTTTTATGGGTGCTGCGGGGGGGGGGGAGAATGCCTCCCTTTCTTTTACATTAGTAGGGGTATCTGTCTGCAGGATCAAAAGTTCCTCAGTTAAGTGCAAGGGCACCAACTGGAATCCACTCCAAACTATTTTGGCTTGTTGACTCCTCTCAACTTCCTTTTCCAAGCCACGGCAAGTCAAATGACCAGAGTCAGAAATTTTACTTGCAAATTGTTTCCTATTCCACCAATCAAACCAAATATATGTTCTCATCTAGTTCTAGTTTGAGTTTCAGACTAAGGGATGTTGGGAGTGCCCTGGTTTTTTTCCTTCTTTTCCATAGCCAAGGAAGTATCGACTGGGGATGCTGGAGGAGAGAATAGTTCCGGTGGGATCAAAGGCAAGAAAATCAAAGAACACTATTGGCTGCTTGGCTGACAGGTGTAAAACAGGAGTACCCATCAATATGGTTTGGTGGAACAGAGTCACAGAAAACAATTTACAGGTAAAATTACTTTTTTCTAGTCACTTTAATTAATTTTGGCTACTATTTTTATTTTTTCAAAAATGCTGAAGTTAGATACATATGATGGGCAGAAATTTGGCCGAAATCTTCACAGGTCAAATGTACAAATGACAACAAAAGTGACTATCTAATAAACTACACACTTCTCAACTAATGTTCTGTATCATCTAGTTTGGGTGGCAAGAGTAATCTATTTTAAGAAGACACCTTAGAAGTTGAAACTTATTTTCTTTGAAATAGCTGAAATAATTTGAACAGTATTTAGACCCTCCAGATGTTGCTAGACTGCAGCTCCTGTTATCGCTAAACATAGGCTGTGCTGGCTGGGGCTGTGAAAAGTTGAGAGTCCATCAACGTCTGGAGAACCGCAGATGTTTCAGAGAGCAATGGTAGTGCAAAACTATGTTCTCTTATTTGTACTCCTTATCCTAGCCCACAGAAGAAACTCACTCAGCATCTGGTGACTTAAATTGCCTTTGGTTATCTTTGACGCTACTGTGAGTAGGAATAGATGTCTGGCACTTTCTGCCCTGTGATTAGCACCCTAGGGACTTTCAAAGGGCATTATTGCTATATGTTGTGTTGAGGCTCTAGATGGGTACTTGTTCCAGTGGAATAGAGAGGCACACTCAACCTCTAAGATAAAAACAGACTGAGACAAGAGTAGTTCACAAAATTAGCATGAGAATGGGAAGAATGGTCACCCAGTGAATTACCTCCCCCCTTTCTTACAACTCTTGTTTGCTTCCGCTGTACATGGGAACAATAGCATTTTTACTGTTTTTTGTATAAATCACGCTAATAGTTTTCTTGTGTAGTGCCAGGTAGTTAATGTAGCTTGTAGGCTATATTGTTGCACAAGTCAGAGGCGTTACAGAGGATGTTTTCCCCTTTAGGACTTGACTTACTCAGTGTTTGCTTTGGCTGATCTTAGGGTTAGAATGACCTGATTTCAGTTAAACTGTGATTTGAAGTTAAGTGTGTCTTTGGTTTCACATCGGAAAAGTCATACAAAGAGAGAGAGAGAATGAACTCAAGCTGATTAATTTAGTGTTGCTGTTGTGGTGGCGGTGATTGTCAGTAGTTGAATTTAAGTATCCAAGAAGGAAGAATGGTTTACAGCATTCCATATTGAACATTATATAGAGAAGTCACAATGCATGTGCAAAGGGTACATGCTAAGTAGGTTGCCGAACTGAAAGGTTTTGTAGAAAAATGGGGCCTCTTCAAGTTTGCATTGTCCTCCCCCCCGTCTAGCAACCTGTGTTTCTCACTGCATGTGCGCACACACACACACACCTATATACACACACAGATTGCAACCTTGGTTATTTTAGTATATGAACACCACATTATCTGCTGCTTTTATGGAAATCATGGAAATTTTACTTCTCTATTCCACCGAAGAGCTCAACGTTGTGCGCTCCCCGCGCCCCCCAAAAAGAGTAAGTTTGCCTGAGAGAATGTCACAACTGTTTTTAGTTGCTAGGTTTATGAATATTGAAAAGAGCCAGATTGATGTACATAAACTAAGCACGTTTGCCTTGTTTGTATGGATGTTGTACTTCAGTTCTTGCACATCATGTATGATTTAATGGAATTTGCAGCATTAAATCGCTGCGTTGTGGTATAATACACCACTTGCAGCAACATCTGCAGTAATTGTAGATTTGGCCTGTACATTCTGCAAATCTCTGTTTTATACATGTTGGTCCCTTAACATGTTTCCATTGCAGCTTGTAAAACAAAGATGTAGGGTCTCATTGTTAGAACCCAGAGCCATTGCCAAAGGACCAGGCTTCAGCATCAGCATAGCAGCAGTGCTGTTTCAGTACAGAAGTGGGGATAAAAGTCCCCCCAATGCAAGAATGATTTGACTTAGGAGAATCTCCAGCTGATATGGCTCTTACAGCCATTTAGACTACACTAGGTGGCCTAACTTGCCCGTCCTCTCCCTCATGTTCACCTCCATTCTCCTTATCTGCAGCACAAATGAGCCAGGAAAGGGTGTGTGTACATTGTGTGGATTGCAAGATCTGCAGCCAGTGGATGAGAATCCAGCCCACTATCTCATGCTACTGAGCTCTTTTAATTGTCGTACTTCTAATTAATTTCACTATATTGTAGAGGTGGTTGATTTGTGGCCAGTCTGTAACCCTCCCGAGGATTCTGATACTGGAATTAGCCTTATACTGGGATTCTGAGAATCTTAGTGAGGTGGCAAAGCTGATGTTTATGATGTTTGTTATAATACATTTTGGCCTTATTCTGTAAACAAGACATAAAAGTCATGATCTGTGTTTTGAGTTTTTTAACTATCCATGTTGATCTCTTCTCAATATAAACTATTCTAGAAAGGACCATGACTTGGTGTTTCATAAGGTCATTAAAAAAGGTCATGCATGTGCCATTAACTAGGTTTTGATCAAGCAGAGTTTGTAATAAGACACATGGTTTCTTGCTGCTCTGTAAATTTAAATAATTTGTTACTATAAACCTAACATGTACTAAAGTTAAAAAGGACCAAGCAGATTCCAGAAGTGTAGTTGTGTTAGTCTGTTATGATGCCACAGTCTCTTGACCTTCAAGGCACTGTAACATTCTTTGCTGAATCTTGAGAAATTCAGAAAAACACTTCCAGGATATTTCAGTTTTTTCCTGTATTTTAGAGTCTCATTTCAATTAAGCATTCAGGTGTGTACATGATGACAGATTTGGCCCTTGTTTGGTAAATTGTTTACTCTTCCATCTAAAGAAGTATGTTGTGACCCTTAGTTGGAATTTGTGAATGTACTAGTTTGTTCCTGAACAGTTACAGCTTTGAGTTTTTCCCTTTTGTTGCTTCCTTAAACAGTAAATGCAATTCTAGAAAAGCAATTTGAATTTATTCTTCTAGACCATGAATGAAGAACCCAAGGTCTGTAGACAGTAAAAGACTCTTACACATCATTTCTGTGTAACCACTTGCAACCAGCTACAACATGTTATCTGTTAATTTGGTATCTCTCCCTCTTCCCTGGTCCAGCTGCAGCCCATCTTCAGTGAGGATGAGAATGTTGTACCTTAAGAAGATACAGAAGATGCTTGCCTTAAGGCTGTGTGTTGTGGGAGGAGCATGCTAGCAATAGACCTGACAATAGAAGCAGAGCCTGAGGATCATAGTGCTTGTCTGAGAAAACCTACGTTGTGGGGAAAGGTTTTGTGCCTGAGTTCTGGCAGAAAGGGGAGAAACAATGTCTGTCTGCTTTGAAGAAAATGTGTACATGTCTGTTTTAAGGAAGAGGGAGAATGTTTATTGCTGTGATAGGTGCATACATTGATTTATGTAGAATATATTCAGGTATTTGTTGAGATTCCCTCAGGGTCCCTTCCAACTCTGCAATTTTATGATTCAATGTGGAAAAAGGAAATGGGAGTAGTGTAATTTTTAACATGTGTGAAGACAGTTGGCTAATCAGCATTTTTATACTGTGTAAACAACTTAGCTTTATATTTTTCATTAAGCTGCATATGTTGTTGTTTAGTTGTTTAGTTGTGTCCGACTCGTCGCGACCCCATGGACCAGAGCAAGCCAGGCACTCCTGTCTTCCACTGCATATATATTCTGCTAAATAAGTAAAAATAAAATTGGCAATTTGGACTTTAAATGCTTGTGTTAACTGTCCTATTTATATCCTGTACTTGAGATTTTATTAATGGTATAAAGATGTAAAATGAGGACCTATGCATTCATTTGAATCAAAGAGATAGTGAACAAAATATTTGTTCTTGATTGAATCAACAGCCAACTTGCCGATTTTTTAATTTATAAAAAACCAGAGAAGATATTCACTAATTAATTAACCTGATCAAACTAAAATGAAATCTTGTTTATGAACAAAACCCTTGTTTATGAATACTGCTTTTGTCTTAGAAGCCAAGTCTCCTACCTAGAACTCTTTTTTCTCCTTCGGAAAATTGCCTTGGAAGTGAAGGCTGACCTTAACATTAGCTGTAATACAACCACCTTGAATTTCCTCCCACCACTTTCATGTGTATCTTTGGCAGACTATCTGGTATCCCAGCAGGGTTATCTCTCCCCCTTTATTGAAGAATTATCACACCAACCTAAAAACCATATATAAAAAAATCAAAAATAAAAATTGTGATAGCGCTCATTTAACACGAATGGAAAGAGTAAATACTAAATGACATAAGTACCTTGGGTAAGACAGATCCATGAGCACAATCACCAGATTTAAAATACACTCAAGCACAAGTAGGGGTGAAGTGAATTTTAAACTTTATTATTCTGCTAATGAATAAAAATGCTCAATTTAGCTATATCTTGGTCATTTTACTGTTTCCCCTCTCTGACTCTAATTATGCTACGCTTTTGTTAGCTAACTAATGACTAACCGTACTGTGATTAATAGATCTATTGTCATTTCTCTGACATCTGGTAGTATTGTATCTTTTACATAGCCCAGTAGAACAACCAGTGGCCCATCGAACTTTTTTGACAGTTTAATGTTGGAAGTGTGGTGCTTAGTTGGTTGATAGGGTCAAAGGATACCCTAAATTTATCAGGCAGCAGGTTTTTTAAAGATAACTCTGTCCAGGCCATCTTAGGCGCTGATGGAAGGCACTCTTTACCACAGACAAAGCTGAACCCAGGAGTACACACGGACCAGGAACATAGTCCTTTAGGGGAAGTGCTGCCCATCCAGAACAGGTCTCTTTGCTCAGGTGAACCACCTAAACCTAGAACTTCTGTTTATTGGCCTGCATCTGTCATGTGATTCTTTCTTTTGCTTTACTAATTCCAGGCACTGGATAGAAGAGGCACTGCCGCTTTCTGCTTTCACAGGAGGAAGTGCCTGTTCTGAAGTGATGCTTGCTATGAAATGTGTATGCATCATTTAAAAATCGTGTGATTTCTTCAGAATTACTTTATGACCATGAAAATATATGCAGATTTTATATCTACATGCCTTAAGGGAACTGTTTCTCTCGGTGGCTTAAACAAGTTTGTCCTGTTGTGATGGATTTATTGTGGTTTTTCTCTTGTGTAAGCAGACCTGTTTGTCATATTTAACAGAAAGGCAGCATCTACATGTTCTGAATACTGAATTGATTTAATAGGTGTATGATCAACCAAGATGTCTTTAATTGGATGATAGCACTAATTAATATCAATGCAGAGTTTATCCCTCCACTCCAAAAACATGAGGGCAAAGTCAAAAATGTAAGTGAAGAATTTGCCACTTATTTGCTGTATGCTAATATAGGAGAGGGGAATTGGTTCTGGCCAGTGGGCTGGATCCAGAATTCCCCCACTCTTTGTGGGCTGCTTTGATGGATGGGTAGGGCTGCCTACCTGTCAGTCACCTGGTGTCTTCAGGAGATTCAACTTCAAAGGAAGAATCAGAGGTGTGTTCTAAATGCATTTCTGATACTTCCTTTCTTCTTTTGTAGCCATGCCTTGAACTGAAGCTGCAGAAGCAAAGGAAGAATCAGGAGCACCATCTAAATGTGCTCTGGATTCTTCCTTTCTGGTTGTAATTTGGTGTTTTTTGAATATGATGTCAGGTGATGGACAGGTGGATGTGGGCCAAATTGGGAGGCCTGGCAGGTACACTTAGGGGGCTTAAGGTTCCCCACTGTTGTGATAATGCTCTACATTTAGTTTGCTTGTTAATTTGTATTCTGCCTTTGGTCCAAGTTGCCCAGAACAGTGTTTAACTTCTCAACAACCTTGCAAGGATTGTTCTACTGAGAAATTGTCATTTGTCCCAGTTAGCTTTCTGACAGCATCAGGTTTTGAATTAAAATTTCCCAAACACAACGTCAGCTTGTTTAAAAGTTTGTAATGTAGAAAATCCTTAGAATTAAGGGGAAATGAACATCTTTAAAAACAAACATGTGGAACAGAGATTAAAATGACTTCGCCAATAAAGTAGTTTTTGTAACTTAAAATAGGAAGCTTTCCTGAGAGCTGCTTACAATCTAGTTCCTCTTAAGCATAATTGATTGCTCTAAGAGCTGGCCATTATTCGCATAATTGATACTTCTAATTCCACTTATAAACTCATAGTATTCCCAGTTTCCTTGCCTCAAAATTTAGCTGAGCAGTGTGTAATGCAAACTTGCAGATTATGAAGGAAGTTGTATGGAAACAGAATTTCAAGTAGGTTTCCTGTGACCAGGATTCAAGGAACTGCATATCTCCAGTCAAGGGAGCTGTACCTAGCTCATAAAATGTACAACTCTTTTCTTTGGGCCACAGAAAGCCGTGTCTTATTACAAACTCTATATGGTTTTGAAAGGTTTGCCAGGCAGTATGCTGAGAATTGTCAGGTGGGGGGTGGAGGGTGGGAACAGTTCTAAAAACCCCATTCAACTTTTGGAATTACCGGTAGTTGTAGTTCTTTGGGTCCTGGCCTACTATGTCTGTTATTTTTTAATAACCTACTAAAAATGTTTGCGTTCTTAACTTTAAACCCACTAATTTATTCAGTAAACAAATCTATTTTCACACTTAACACATACTCTGTTTTAATTTTTTTTTAAACAGACACCAAATCCCGCGGCAAGCGAGTTTATTCCTAAAGGAGGATCAACCTCCCGACTCAGTAATATGTCACAGTCAAATATATCTGCCTTCTCTCAAGCCTTGTTCTCTCATCCTTCCATGGGAGGTCCTGCAAACGCTGGGCTAGCTCCAGGTAAGCTTAGAGTAATTTATTTACACTAGCTTATGAATCACAGTAGCACTAGGGAAGCTTATTCCATCTAGGAACCGACTCTTCCTAAGCTCTATTTATTTAAAGTCTTACATAGCAGCTGTGCCATCTTCAGGCGTTTGCTATCAGTTTTGTACCTGCACTTTGCACATTTCAGCACCTTAAGTGTAATTCTTGCAGCCGTCAAGGTTTCCTGCAGCATCTTAGCATTACCAAGTTTTAGAAGGAGCTTGTAATCTTTGTTTGCAACCGTTATTTAAGGGGTCTCTCTTAACTAAATTCATTTTCAGAATATTTAGAACTATCATTAACATTTTATCTGAAAAATGGAAGTACAAGATTATCTTGGAGGTATAAAAACACCAACCTACCAGGCAAAGGACAACTCCCCACCTCACCTCCAAAGCCTATGAATAGCTCCCAGCAAAGATAATATGTGAACATGTTTAAAGCCTATAAACCAGGAAGACTAGATCAGACTAGATCAGGGTAGTCAACATTTTTATACCAACAGCCCACTAGTGCATCTTCCTTGATGGTAAAATTTCCTTACCGCCCACCAGTGCTCGATGGAAGGAGGATTCAGCTTGTGCCATAGAACCCCCTACCGCCCACCTAGAATCCTGAAACACCCACTAGTGGGCGGTAGGGACCAGGATGACAACCCCTGGACTAGATTATATGCATTCAGGGCTGTTGGAAGGAAGGAAGGAACTTCTAAGTAAAAACGATGGAGAAGAGCAGTGAACCGAGTGTGCGGGAAGCAGGACGCCGCCCTCTATAAAAGATTGACAAATGAAACATCACACATTGTTAAAGCAATAATGTGAAGATAATAGTAAGTGAGCAAGAAGAATCTAAGGTTATGGGACCACCTGTTAAAATGGAATAACCCGGCTTTGGGGGCAGAGTTGCTTTCAAAGTAGTACTAGGTACATTAATTTTCTAATTGTCAGTTTCATCTGCTATATCTTGTTAGATAATATCGTTGGGAAGGAGTCGTTTAACAAGCCCTGTAAGTGGAAGATCCCCACAATCACTTGCACTTGCACATGACTTTCTTAACTTGTCCCTTGCTCCCCTTCCCCCTCCCCCCAAAAATATATGGCGTGGGGGGCGGGTTGGTTGGAAAAACTCTCAGGGGAGGGGAGATTGTTTCCATCGGACAAACTGAGATGCTTGCACAGATGTTAATGCTGGCCATATCTCAACTTTGAATTCCACCCTTTGTTATCTTGTGAGCCACCCTGAGATCTTTTGACGTAAATCTAATAAATAAAATAATTTGTTTCCATATGATCGTGGCTGTAGGTCACATACATGACTGCAGAAACTTTAGCTACCTCAGAGTTTTCAGTACCCAGGTTTGGGGAAGTGGGTGGAGGTGGCTAAACAGGTTTATATTTGCAATGTGCAGTATGCAAACAAGTTCTCTAGATAGCATAGCTCTTAACTCCATGTACCATGGAAATAGCATCTCCGTTTTTCATGCTGCAAAGCAGCTGCCTTATTCTCTAGTGCAGACAAAAACTAGTTTCACTTTCAAGTTTGGGGCAATCAGCGACATTTATTTTAAAAAGAGGTCTATTGTCAGACCCATCTTAGGGAAGCAACCTTAGCCTGTCTTGCATGATGGGAAATAATTGAGGATTGAGGAGGAAAATTAAGCCTCAGAGTTTTATCATAAGTAGTTACCTTGAAAATATGAATCTGCCTTAAATGAAGTCCATTTATCTGCATAGTCCAGTGCTGTCAACTCTGGCAGTTTCTCTCCAGGATGATGCCTAGGATTTTTCCAAAGCCTTTCTGCCCAGAAATGTCATGGATCTTAAACCTGGATCTTGTTCATACCAAGGTTTTTCTTTAGCAGTGAGCTATGGCTTTTCCTGTGTGCCCCCTCCTTTCTGCGGCAGCACCTCATGCCTCATACTGCTTTAAGAAGGGGGCTGAGAAGCTTCTATGAATAGCACACATGGTGCTTTGAATCCTACAGTTTGTTTTTATTTAAGTTTGGAAAAAACACTTAACATCCATAATCATAGTCACAGGAAACATTGTAGTTTTATAGTATGTATGTATGTATGTATGTATGTATGTGTAAATAAATAATAGAATGCACATCATATTTGGTTTCAGTGCTGAGTAAGTAGTACCTAGTTAATAAATTTGTCTTGACACTGAGTATAGTATGGTTAGTTTGCGTAATCATTGCAACCTGGTGGTGGTTTAAAAAATATATATATATTCTGTGTAGGTGTCTATATAAATCGTTACAAATTATATGGCACAGACCTCAGTATTTTCCTTTCAGATGATTCTAGTTTGGTTTAAATAAGGCGTGGGGAATGTTTTTAGCTCCATGGGCCAGATTCTTATAAGGATCTGCCTTGCAGGGCAAATTTTGACAGGTGTCAGTCAACTGATACCAGGGAATTTGGTGCTTTGAAGTCCCAGGATTTCAAAGCAGGCAACAAGGCTGTGAAAGTGAAGGCTTCTTCCTTCCTTTTGCAGGAAAAACCTTTCCTTTAGCAGCGCCTTGCTGTCTGCTACATGCACAGTCAAAATGAGCAGGTTAGGGGGCATGATAGTTGCCTGCAGGTAAACCTCATGTACCCAGACCAAGCAGGATCCCCCTCAATACATCAGCCAATGCACCATTGGGTGGAGGGGATCATGCTTAGCAAAGGGGGGCGTTGCATAAGAGAGCTTCCTGCAGGTTGCTCTCTTGTATGCCTGGACCAAGCAGAATTGCCCTCCTTTCACATCAGGGTGGTTTAAGCAAGCGGGCAGGTGGTTGCAGTGGAGAAGTAGAGCAGACTCTTCTCCCTTACCCTTCTGTCACTGGCTCTTCTTAAAGACAAAGTGCAAGTTACTCCAAATAGTCCTTTTACAAAGGGCTTTTATCACTGCTCATCAGTGATGAGCAGGGATTAAATCCTGCTGTTTTGGCTGCATGATCCTGTTCCTTGCTTGGGAATAGGCCATACAGCTAATGTAGGAGGAATAAACCATCTCCTCCCATCCATCAGCTGTCCGGTGGGTGGATGTGGTTTGGAGTAATTGGCCTGACAAGCCAATCTTGGCCCACCAATTGGAAGTTCCCCATCCTTGGTTTAAAGAGTACTGTGGCAGTACCTGGCGCTTTTTGTCTGCCATAGCAAAGTGGCACAATTAGATGGAGTTGTAATTGAATAGCTTGAAAATGTTGCAAATATTTGCTGTTGCTTTTCTCACCCTTTGGGCAAAAGTTGGTATCTTTGTGGCTAACCATTTCATTTGAATCTTACATGTAAACTGGGAAGTTTTAAAACACCTTGTCCAGCTGTCCCAGGTCTGTTTTTATCTGCAAGGAAATATACCCCCCACCCCAAGCCTTGGAGTCTGTTATGGCTGCAAATGCCTTTTCACTGCAAGTCTTCTTTTTTCCTTTTATTTTCATAAGGAATGTCATTGTCAGCAGGATCTTCTCCCCTTCATTCCCCTAAAATTACTCCTCACACGTCTCCTGCTCCTAGACGAAGAAGTCATACACCAAACCCAGCAAATTACATGGTGCCTACTAGTGCCTCTACGCCAGTTACTAATGCTGTCTCCCAGCCGCCAGCTGCTGGCCAGGTGATTCAGAAGGAAACTGTGGGTGGCACAACCTATTTCTATACTGACACAACTCCAGCACCTGTAACTGGAATGGTGAGAATTCCGTTTTATTTATGAAGGTATTTGTTATAATCCATAAATTAATGCTGGTATTCCATATAGTAATTACCACATTTCCAAGCTTGATTTGCATCTTGGCTGTTCCTGTTGACTGCCACTGTGGCTTCCTTTTCTGTCTTGCAAAGCTTTCCTATTTGCACACAGTTGGAGAAATAATTTATATACTGCCCTTTATCTCAGAATATTATATTATTAACAAGTAAATAATAAAACCACAGGGCAGTTTACAGTATAAACACACAGAAATACATAACATACCAAGAAACTAAACAACCTGCATGAGGCCATAGACCATTTAATTAGCCAAAGGCCTGTCAGCAAAGGAATATTTTGGCCTGGCACCTAAATATTTGTAATGAAGGTATCGGATTAGCCCCCCCTGGAGAGAGCATGGCACAGAGAAGGGCTCGGATGATGATCTCAGGGTCCAGGGCAGTTCATATGGGGAGAGGTGGTCAGAATAAACCATGGTTTATCATGATGGGAATGAACCTACATGAGCCTTGGACTTAAGTATGGCTGCAAGTAAGAGTGGAAGCTTCCTATTTCAATTAACTTTCATTTAGCATTCTATCCAAACCCTAAACTGGTCAATAATTATGGTTTGAAATTGGCTTTTTTCCATACAAAGCTTAGTTTGAATGATATGAAAAACTCCAGAAACAGAAATGAAAGCTTCCAAACTCTTTCATCTGTGTAGTAGAAGAGTACGTGAGTCTGAGGCTTGTTGAGTCTCCTTCCTTTCATGATAAACTGATTAAAGAGCAGTATGGGGAGAGCCATAGGTCTGCTGTCGATCACATGCTTTTGCATACGCAATGTTCTAGGTTCTGTTCCTTACATCTTCATTTAAACTCTTTCTGGTAGCCAGGGAAAGATCTCTGGCTGAGACCTTCTTGCCTACTGGAGTAGGCACTACTAGACCAGAAAGACCAATGATCAGATTCTGTAGAAGGCAGTTCCATGTTCTCTAGAAATCTAGGAGCCTAGACTAGGTGGCATCAGAGATTCCTTCTATGTGAGATTGTATGCGCAGCTTTGTTGGCTTTTTATTTTAAGGCCATTGCCCCCTAAGAAAACCAGACATGCTCTCTGACATGGCAGAATCTGTTGTATCTTGAGCCCTTAGGCCAGGTAACAGCAGCGTTTGGCAAACTTTGTGCATGACTTGGGTAGTTTGCCACCATGATGCTTTCATTAGAATGTTAGATACTTTCTTAAGTATAAGATAAATACAACCTATTCCGCCACCCACTCTGTTAGTCTTTATAGTCTATCTATCTGTCTATCTATGTTACCCCACTGTTCAGCTCTGAGAATCTAGGCTAGTGACACTTAAAAGAATTAATGAACAATAACAGCATCAGCTTAAAAAAATTAATTTCAAAAAATATAACACAAAAAGTTGAGTAAGTATCAGTTTAAACTAAAATTCAATGAAGGATTAAAGCCTGGGCTTGGTACCAATCAGTTTCAGCACCATGCTCCTCCATGAATGGGGTGGTGCTACCACTGAAGACTCCCAAGCTGCCACCTGCCTTATCTCCCTAAGCCAGGGGCACTCTGAGAAAGGCTTTTGAGGATGGTTATAGGACATGTGCAGGCTTGGGGTGTGCATTTTATGTAGCCCTTATTACCTAACCAGATTCTTATTCCTTATGCTGACCCTGTACTAATATTTTGCACACTTTCCATACAAACTTATTTTTCTCCCAGAATTTCAAGTTTGGATTTTGAAAGTAATTAATTCAAATGCTGATGACTTTGCAGCCGCAACCATAAGTATACACCCATAAGTGTGCTCATCCTTTTTCTGATATGGCTTCTGTGGAACCACTTCAGAGGGCTTTTAAAAGATCTCATAACTTTTCAAATCCTAAAAACTGTCTGTTCCAAATTTTATCTTCAATAGGTGTTCCCAAATTACCACATTTATCCTCCAACTGCGCCTCATGTTGCTTACATGCAGCCAAAAGCAAATGCACCTTCCTTCTTCATGGCAGATGAACTCAGACAGGTAAGTTCTTTCTAGTAAAATCCTAACAGATTTCCTTCCACCACAAAATTTCTCTGCCACCTTCCACTTGCCCAAAGTTATCTGCAATGCTGTATCATAAAAAAAGAACTTCTTTCCTGGGGAAATTAATGAGATTTAAGTTAGCAGGTAAAATAGGTATATAAAAACAGAATTGATGGTGTTTGGGATATGTGTCCTCTTTGGCTGCAATCTTATGCACACTTGCTTGGGAGTAAAAATACCTTTTACATCTTACCTTTGCCAACCACACCATGGCAGAAGTCTGTGCAAAAGTTATTCTTGTTAGCAGCAGGCCTAACTTTTTAAAGATTTCCTACACACCCAGTATTGGCAGAACAGATGATGAATCAATTTGAAGCAGGGTTGGCTTACTGTCTCTCAGATATTGTTGGAATACAACCCCTATCATCCCTGTCTGCTGGTCATGCTGGCTGGGGCTGATGGTATCTTTGCTACAAGGTGACTTTTTCAAAGCCATCCATGCCATGGAAAATGCCTTATTAAAGAAACTTAACCCACTGCCTCTTCACCTTTTCCATATCTGCTTTTTGGAGTGGGCTGCCAAGTATGTCTGTTCTTGCTGTGATAGTTTGAAACCTTAGGGCTCTTCCTGCAGCATTGCAATTTGTCTTGCCTGCCTCACTGCAAATTTAAAGCACTTTCTGTTATATCAGACTCCATCTGGCGAGACTGAGTTAGAACTCAAAATCATCTCAGTAAATTGGAAACATTTTCAGCAAAAAGTAGAAACTTAATAGGCACAAATGCAAGTCTCTTCTTTACTAGAAACAGATTGCTGCCAAAGAAATGTGGGTCAGTCAAGTAACAATACGGAAAAGGGCCTTAACCTTAGTTTAAAACAAAGTTTGCCTACGCATCACTATATGGCCTTGCAAAATAATCACGAGGGATATAAAAGGCGACTTCTGTACTCTGTGCTGTGTTCTGATTTGTTGAGACCTTTGGATTACCATGTTCAGTACATAGTTTACTAGCCTGCTTTTTACTCATTAGAAGTCTGATGGAGAACAGGTCAGCCTGGGCTCCTTTGGGAGGAAGGTCAGAACAGAAATTTCATAAACAGAGTTCTGTCCTTCCCCCAGCCGCACACTCACTTTCCTGGATGCAATTCTTCATCATTTATCATGAATTCAAAGCCACTCCTGATTGCAGTGTGATAGAAGATAGGAGTTGTTAATGTCTGCCATTGAGCAGAGTAGATTGAGAGTAGCTTCATTAGTGTTCAGATGAAATGATGGTTGCCCTGAGAAGGATAGAGACTGGCAATGTATATATGGGGGACAAGAAATAAAACTTGAACTGCAGTCTTGGCTAGGCTTTAGAAATACCATTCTACAATGAAAGAAGAGCAGAACCTTGGTTCAGATTCCCCAGGATGCAGAGGTCTGTGGTGGAGTTACCTGAAGATCAGGTTTGACAAACAATTCGATGGGGCTGGTTCAGGCGGGTTCAGTAGATGAACTGACTGAGTGACTATAGGGTCTCTTAAGGGTTGCTTCCAGCCATGTCCTTAGACAAGGGTAGCTTTAGTTAGGGATTCTGCTTCTATAAGGGGGTTCTGATAGTCCAAGTCCTTTTTCAGGTCTGTTTCTATGGTTTTGTGATTAACCGAAGCAGCATATAAGAAACAGCAAACTAGAATTTCATGTCCTTATTGGTAAGACTGCCAAAATGTATTCCTATAGGAGCTGATCAACAGACACTTAATTACAATGGCTCAGATAGATCAAGCAGATATGCCTGGTAAGTAACTAAAGATCCTGAATTTAAATTGCATTTTTAAGCCGGTCTTTTGCTTGCTGTGTTTGCTACCGCAGTTAGATATATGAATAATCAATTTGCATATTAAAGCAAAGCCATTCTGAATGCAGGATTGAATATAATCCAGTGGAGTCTCTGTATTAGGTTCTTTCAAGCTCCTTTTCAATGTATTTATTCAGTAGTGCACAATCCAAACTTTATTTATTTATTTATTTCTTTAAATAATTTGTATAATGCAACCCTGAGGAAATGTTTGTTATGTGGATGACACAGTCTGTGAAAATAAGTACTGTACAAAATCTCTTGTGCTTCAGTGGATCTCTTCTGTCTTTTGTTTATTTGTTTTTCTTCTTCAAAAAACAAAATGCATCATATTTGAAATTCAAAGTGATATATAACAAAAAGTTTTGCAAAATGACATCATAATAACGTATGAAACTAGGTTTGCTGCAGACATGGCTGGGATCACTCCTTTGGGGTGGCCTGTCTGAATAAAAACGTCTTCGGTTCTTAATGAGTGCCAGTTACTGCACTTGATTTAGATGTGAACTGCTATACTGAATCTCATCAGGGTGCTCCCAAGACAAATTTAACAATGTCTCTGTGCATAAGGCTCTGTCAGGTCTCCGATTTTCCCATTCAGTGCATCAAAGTCTACAATGTGTTCAACAAGTCAGGAAGAAAAGCTTGCCTTAAACTGGTAATGTAAAATTAAAACTCCCATAAGTATCTTCTAGTAGAGTTTACCCTTCAGGTTTACACACTCTTTCCTACCCCATCTATAAAATATGTGAATCAGTATCTTAGTGCAAATACTGAACACGCTTTTCTTCAGTATTGGAGATTTCTGAATTTTCCAAAGCAAACCTGCGTGTTGTGGTAAAAGTTGTATAGGATTTGCATCAAAGTTTGTTGTCAGAGCTTTGTTACAGTCTTCTAAACCTGTGTGTGTGTGTGTTGTCTTGTCTTGTCATTGAATTGCTTTGTCTATAATAACTCTTTTCTTCATAATTTTAAGTAGTGTCTAATGTATTTCCGTAAACTGGTTTAGCTGTCCCAACAGAAGTTGACAGCTACCACAGCCTTTTCCCTTTGGAGCCACTGCCACCACCCAATCGGATACAGAAAACAAGCAACTTTGGGTATATAACATCATGCTACAAAGCTGTAAATAGCAAAGATGATCTGCCATATTGCCTTCGGAGGATACATGGTGAGGGAAATTACAAGTTCTCATATTTTAAAAATTCAGTTCTACCAGTACTTAAGCCTTAAAACATTTGTGTTTCTTTGTCAATAAACCTCAAACTGGATTTAAAATCAAATTGTTCCTTTTAAATAATGGAATGGAATTGGGTATGGCTAATAAGCCATAAAGGAGACTATGATCAGATGTGTGTTTTTGGGGTTGTGTCTTTTGCTCGCACTCTGGTACTTTAGAATAAATGTGCAAGCGACATTAAAATAGTCAAAAATCTTTGAAATGTGAAAGATTTTCTTTCTCAGGTTTTCGTCTTGTTAACACAAAGTGCATGGTGCTGGTTGACATGTGGAAAAAAATCCAACACTCAAACATTGTCACATTGCGAGAAGTATTCACCACTAAAGCATTTGGAGAACATTGTAAGTTTCTTATTTTTGAGATGTTAGCCAATCGTATTGGAAGACTTGCATCAATTGCATAGCTAATTCTCACCTCGGACTTTTTTTGAAAAGCTCTTGTGTTTGCCTATGACTTCCACGCTGGAGGAGAGACTATGATGAGCAGACACTTCAATGATCCTAGTGCTGATGCCTATTTCACAAAAAGGAAGTGGGGTAAGGCCAGCAAATGAGATCTATGTTTTTGTTTTTCCAGTGGACAGAAATTAGGGAACTACAGTTGAATTATTGTAACTTTGCATTGTACATAGCTTTGCTGCAGTTTAGGCTTCTTGAAGTGTTCAGAACATAATGTATACATGGCAGTTGTGCTGGTTATTGCAAACTGGTTTTGATGCTGCATTCACATTGGGCTTTCAGTGTAATACTCTATTCCTGTAGGTAATATAGTTTGCTGGATCAGGTTGGAGGACATTACTCTCTTAGGGTATGGCACCCCTCTCTAGTGATGACAAGCAGGGTCCTAGAAAGCATTTAGCGTCCAAATGGGAGTCACCTCTTTTCCTTTACAGCAAAAAATCTAAAGGAAAGGGGAGAGAAAACAACCCAAAGGGGAAAGCCTGCACTGACAAAAAGACGGGGGGAGGGAGGTATCTTGCACTGAAACCCCCACGTTGCTAGGGGGCAAGAGGAAACAAAGGGGAATGAGAGGCAGTTCAGACATGCTAAAAGAAGATTCTCAGATTTAAGGCAAAAAGAAGGCCAGCAAACAAGCCAGGAAGAAGAAGAAGAAGAAGAAGAAGAAGAAGAGTTGATTTGATATCCCGCTTTATCACTACCCTAAGGAGTCTCAAAGCAGCTAACGTTCTCCTTTCCGTTCCTCCCCCACAACAAACACTCTGTGAGGTGAGTGAGGCTGAGAGACTTCAGAGAAGTGTGACTAGCCCAAGGTCACCCAGCAGCTGCATGTGGAGGAGCGGGGACCGAACCCGGTTCACCAGATTACAAGTCCACTGCTCTTAACCACTACACCACACTGGCAAGCCTCCGAGGAGAGCAAGCCAGACCCAGTCATTCCCAACCACAGACTGGGTTGGCCTGATGAGTGGGGTGGCCCTCCCACCAGATAGGAGGCAAAAGACTTTCTAGGACCCCACCTGTCATCACCAGAGAGAGCTGTCATTCCCTATCAGAGGAACGTCCTCCATCCCAATCCACAAACTAGAATTCACAGTAAGAATTCCCATGAAGACTAAGGTATTCAATGCATTCGTTTTTTCACCCTAAGGACTTTTGACTGTACAGTGAAAGTTCTCTTCCCTCTCCTTTTTCATTCACCCCATAAATCTGATCTGAGTTTCTCCCAACCCTTTGGAGCATGGTGGGTTGAGTTCAGTTGATTGCAGTGTGGCTTGGGGGTTTTTTTTTTTGCGGGGGGTCCTAGGTTGTTGGGTCAGGTTAGCCATTTGTATTGGTGGTGTGGTTTTTTAAAAAGAAGCATTTGTACAAAGGGCAAAACTTACGGAACGTAACTGTGTGTGTGTGTAGAAACAGGGTTTTGTTGTATTTTTCTCATTTCCTTTAATTTGCATTTGGCAGCACAAGGCTTCGTATTAAGATAGGGTCTCTTAGTACATTGTGCTTTAAACAGCTTCATCACTTGTTAGTAAAACTGGTATTTGACAGTTAAAGGAAGAGAATTGTGGTTACATGGTGGTTTTTCCACATTGTATTCTGCTGTCACCATGTGGTTAGTCTTTTTTTTGCCTTGTCATTTGTTAACACCATCCAGAATTTTATTGTCTAGGATGTGGTATATTAAAGTTTTCTGACAAATGAATGAAGGCATAACAGGTTCGGTTTATTTCTGCACTGAACACCTGTGAACCAGGGGCTACTGGTGCCACGGTTAACATCCCTTGAATGTGGCAGCCCCTGTTGGTTTGAGCAGGAAGTTGCTTATCTTCAAACCGGAACAAAAACCCAAACCACTAGAGGGGAGGCAGGGGGGAGATGCAGAATTGAAAGCAAACATTTAATGTGATCAGGCTTACTGAAAGAAACAAAATCCATTTTTAACCAGTTTCTAGATGTACTATTGATTTCACACAACGGACTGAACCAGTTTTCCACAAATCCACAGCAGATTGAAGGCAGCAGTGTGTGTTTCCTAAATTGCTGTGTTTTGTAGTTACTAAAAGTATTTCCTCATTCAGTATTGCTTGTGTAAAGATCTTCACTTTTGTCAGGCTAAAAGTAGAAAGTTTATTCCGGAAATGCTGTATTTCTGAATGTGCTCAAGAGGCATTTGTATGCACATCTGTGTGACCCATCAAGGTCGGTTAGATTATAATTGTCTGAAGACCCTCACACAAGTATGGCAAACTAAAGGGGGGGGGATACTCCCTGCAGTTAAAGTGCACTTCAGGGGGGTAGTTGCAGGAGAAAGGTCATGGCAAATGGTATGTTTGCACTGCACAGTAGCTAAACTGCTCTGGTACCAAACACCAAAGCTGCTCTTCAAACCTGGGGTACTAAAGAGCTATTTGTGGGAAGTGATCTTTGAGTGGAATTCCTCTTGAGGGCAATGTGCATGATACATGCCTTTGAATCACAACTCAGATCTACATTGTATTTGGGCTTCATTATTCACAGTTTTGGCATTAACAAACACACCCAAACACCATTCCTTTTCTTCAGAACTCACGTCGTATTAACCTGCTTGGCTATCTTTGAAAAAGATGGGGAGTTTTTGAAAGATAATAGCTGTAGTATATTGCCAGAAGTACATTATTTGCTCAGCAAAGTGCTTGATTCATTGAAAGGTTCTTAAAGGGTTACTGTCAAACGTCAGTCCTGAAACAAAACCTTAGGACGAAAAATGTGGAGTGTTCCAAATCTAATGAGTCATAGTATTTGTTGCTTGTGCATTTGAGCATATGTTTTAAACATGCGATGGGATTTGGGTTCATTAACTTGGATACCTTTTTTGTTTTTATATGGAAATGAAGAAACAACATTGATTCTGATGTAGTATGAATAAGGGCTTTGGCAGTGTATCTTTGCTTCTTTGCTTGCTTGGTACATTTGGAGAGCCCTGCTCGCTGTCAGGCCAGTAGCCCATCTAATCCAGTCTGACATAATATATAACTAGAAATGCTTGTGATAAGGTCACAAGCAGGGCATGGTGCCAGTAATGCTGCCCCTTTGCTGCCATCCAGCAACTGGTGCTCAGTGGCACACTGCCTCAAACATTAATATTCTGCTAAGCCATCTTTGCTAATAGCAATTTATGGGTAAACAAATGCATAATCCACCTTTAAAGCTGCTTAAGCTGGTGGACGGTGCAACATCTTGTGGCAGCCAGTACCAAAAATTAATTATGATACACTAAGGGATTGTAGCTGCACAATAAAATTCCACCTTTATACAGTCTGTCTTACTTTTAGTACAATTAAAAGTAAAACAAAACGGCAGTTGTAATTGGGTTGGGTGGGTTGTTCTTACAATTGCCAGTTGCTTTGAAATAAAGCAGATAATGATTTTAATTAACTAGCATTTTGAAAGAAATTTTGTATTCATTATCCAAACACTTACACAGCTGAAAGTTGTAGATTTCATTCATTTCCCATTCTTCTGATAGGTCAGCATGATGGACCTTTGCCACGGCAACATGCGGGGTTGTTGCCAGAATCCCTGATTTGGGCCTACATTGTGCAGCTCAGCTCTGCATTGCGGACCATTCATACAGCAGGATTGGCCTGTCGGGTAATGGACCCCACCAAGATTCTGGTAACTGGAAAAACAAGGTAACTTGAAATACGTTTTACCATTGCATTGTTGATAATCCAAGGTGGTGAAGCCAGCTAAATTTTAGGAACATAGATGCAGAGCTTCTCCCCAAGGGCAAGCTTGTTTTGGAGCGAGAAAATAGAAATGGTGCTATTCCCCTAGTTTGTGAAAACTGTAGCCACGAAACCTGCCAAAGTTCAATTGAACAAAGCCAGAGGCTATCGTGCTAGGTGATTTTACATTCATTTTAAAATACTGGATAAGTCTCGTCTGGTTGTAGCTGGTTTTTTCTCGCTGTCCTTGCCCCTTCCTGAAAGTATGTTCTGTGAAATAAAATAAAAAAGGAGAGAGCTATGATTTTTGTTTGTTAGGGAAAAAATGATTTGGAAAGAAGGCCACCTAGATAGTCCAACTCTGCCACTTGCACGTTTATTCTCACAGTCAAAACACTGAGAATGACAGTCCATGTTTACTTCCACATCCCTCCCCCTTATCACTCTGATTGGAGGGCCCCCAGAAAATAAATCACCGTGATTCAAAGCTGCACCTGTTCATCAGAACAAAAGATCCCCCCCAGACACACTCAGAAACTTTGGGAGTCTCTTATCCGAATCAAGACACCTTGGCAATGCTCTGAGAACCTTTCCTGCATCATCCCAATTTTCCTCATAATTTGGGGTGTGCACAGAATCAGTGCACCCTCATTCTACCCTCACAGATTGATAAACCATTGGTATTAATACCAGTTTGTTAGCAAAACTTTGCTGATGTAACTAAAAAAGTCGCAGAGCAAGTCTAACAAGCAGACTAAGGAGTTTTATAATTCTCTTCTCCTATATAATCCTTCTCCCGTCAAGGTTGCGAGTGAACTGCGTTGGAGTCTTTGATGTGTTAACATTTGATAACAGCCAAAACAATCCCCTGGCCCTCATGGCCCAGTATCAGGTAAGATCACAATATTGTCCCCTTTACTTCATGTTATTTGGTTAGTGAATATTCATCAATGATTGCATTATTTTTATCTTGCTTTTTCCCTTCCTTAAGAACATTTGGTGTTGACATGCTTTTCTTTACTTTGGATGAACTTTATTAAAGCAGCCTCCTCTACTGGTAGCATTAAAACATAAAATATTTGCCTTTACATATAGGCAAGGACTGCTGTTCATTAGTTGCCATTACAATTTATGCCGCACTAGCAGTGCTTTGCAAAGTTTTGGAAGCAAAATGCAGGCAAGTCCCTGCCTCTGTAACGAACTTACAATCTAAGATAGAGAGTGCGTGGAAAACAGATTAGAGCAAAGGGTAGTGAGGAATACATTTGAATCAGCGATATCAAACTTGGGTATATTGTGCATAAATTTAAAGAAATGTCTCATCCTTTCTAAAACCCTCTTCAACAACAACCAATAATGGGAGATGGGAGGAAGTCTAGCTGATTCTCAGAACTAAAGAAACACCTTAGCTTTGTCAACAACAATCACACTAACTTCTTCCAGATGGAATAGAGAGCAAGCAAGTTTGCCATAAAACCAAGTTGTTTTTTCTTCTTTGTCCTTAACTTTCCACTAAATGAAAAACACCTCAGTCCAGCCGGTAAAGCACAATATATATTGTTAAGTTTACAACTGTTTTACATGTTCACCTCTTTGTTTGGAAAGGATTCTCTTCACCTGTTGGCAGAAAAGTGAGAGGGCTGTGTAGGTAGGCATACATACTTTGGACATCAACTTTAGGAAAATAGGGCCAATTGTTCCTGTGAAGTACTGCATTCAAAAAGCCAATTAATTGTTTTAGGACTTGAAACTTGAAGACAAAGCACCACTATATGCTTTTGCAATGCATATATTTGTAAATTTAATTTTTAAAAAAATCTGAAAAGAATATTTAGCTTTCCAAGGTATGTATAGTTGCTTGAAGTGTAAGTTAAGGGAGGGGGAGGGAGAAAGCAAACTGGATGTTGGGATTGATGGAGAATAGTGAATTGACCTGCTCACAGCCCTAGTAGCTTATAGTAAGTGTTCTAAAAGGGGAATAACATTTGTGGGGAGGGACACATGTCCTGAGGTTAATGTCCTCCCCGCCTTGCACTGTACACTTTCGGGTGGAAAGAAAGAGAAAACGCCATGGTTCTCATTCTCCAAAGGCCTCCCCCTCTTAAACAACTATTTAAATGCGCAGATTCAGGGCTGGCTGTCGGCACCAAACAAAGCCCTCTAGCTTTGCATAGCACAGCAAAGAAAAAGGTATCAGAACAGAAAAAATGAATTTTCTTCCTCTCTCCCCTCCCCCTCCATAGTGATGCAAATTGGGTAAAGGAGAGAGTTTTAAGTGGAGCTGAACTTGATTATATGGCATCATATTTCTTAAAAGAAACATATGTGATTAAGTGGTTTGTGATAATTTTTTTCAGTTTTGAGCATTATGTTAAATTGGTCCCATCTAAGGTATTCTTATCTCTCCCCCCCCCCCCCAATGCTAGGAAAGCTAATGATATTCTACTGACCCTGGTTAGACTTATTTGTTCACTTTTCTTTAGCAAGCAGACTTGATCTCCCTTGGGAAGGTGGTGTTGTCTTTGGCTTGCAATTCTCTGGCAGGAATTCAGAGGGAGAATTTGCAGAAAGCAATGGAACTGGTGACAATCAACTATTCCTCTGATTTGAAGAATCTTATTTTGTAAGTTACTTTGAAATCAACTTATTTTTAAACTAGGCTAAAACGTGCCAGTGACAATTTGCTTACGGTTTGTTCATGCACATTGTTAAATTGGGAGTGGCGGTTCATGTGATGTTTCTACATCAAATGTGTGTGCACAAGATCCTCTCTTCCGTGATTAGTTTGACCTTGGTACAGCACCTATGTGGAAGGATTTCTGTATGACTGTTCAGATATAGAGGGATGGCGGTGAGTGGGGAAGGTGTAGGAAGAAAATTAATTTACCCTCCTAATTAGGAACGTTGTGTAGCTGAATCTCTTGAGTTGCTGTTGACTTGTGCTGAAATTAGCATGAACTTAAAAAAAAATTCTTGTCCTTAACCTCGAACTTAAGCATTTTTCAGATCCTAATATATTTGTTGTTAGTAAAAGACAGAGGGCCTTCTCGGTAGTGGCGCCCACCCTGTGGAACACCCTCCCTTCAGATGTGAAGGAAATAAGCAGCTATCCTATCTTTAAAAGACATCTGAAGGCAGCCCTGTTCAGGGAAGTTTTTAATATTCAACGCTGTACTGTTTTTAACACTTGATTGGGAGCCGCCCAGAGTGGCTAGGGAAACTCAGCCAGATGGGTGGGGTATAAATAATAAATTATTATTATTATTATCATCATAATATCGGAGTTCAAATTCCCATTCTGCCATGAGGCAGTCGCAACCTAATCTGCTTTACAATATTGTTGTGAGGATAAAACATTGGGACCAGGTGTGCTGCCTGAAGTTCTTGGAAGAAGAGCAGGATAAAAGGAAAAATGGAAAACAACTTTGCAGTACATCATCAGCCAGTCACATAAATATAGCCTCGAATGTCACCTCCTAATGGTGCTACTGTCTTTCACATAGCTGCAGTGGTGTTAAATGTTCTGTATATGAAGTAGAGCTTTGTGCCATATTTTCGCTTTTATAGATTAATAAAATTAGCATTCACAGATGGAACCTCTCTTAAAAGAAACTTATTTTTTTAGCCCTGTTTCTAAAGTAACTTTTAAAAACTGCCTTGTTAGGTATTTGCTGACTGACCAAAACAGGCTTCGAAGTGTAAATGATATCATGCCTATGATTGGTGCAAGATTCTATACTCAGTTGGATGCTGCCCAAATGAGAAATGATGTAATAGAAGAAGACCTTGCAAAGGTAAATGCGAAGATAATGCACATTCATCTCTATTTTCTTAGGGAAGCTGATATTGCCAACAGGTTCCCAAAGTCTGTAAATGTAGTACGATTGAGACCTGCCCATCTTGCCATAGGGTGATGTACCCATCTGCCCCCCCCCCATTGCTGTTTAAATGATAAGGCATTTGGGAAGATACTGTGTTACAGATCAGTGGTTTTCCAGCCTCAGAGTCTCCACAAATTTCACTTTGATCCATACATATTCACATACCTCATTGGCTAATAATCCTATTTAGTGGAATGGTAAAGCAATTAACTTCTGCCCATTTTAGAAAGGCAATGGTGAGATGCAAGGTATCTCAGCTAAGATGCTAACTGGCTGGCAGTGTTTGAAACTCCCATTTTTCTAGATGCATTTTGAGATAGGCAATTGCATTAGCACGAGCAGTTTCTGAGCTTTGGATGCAGTACTGCGCCTAAGATTTAGGTTTAAACTGCAGAGTGGAAGGAAAGGAGGACCTTTTCCTGCCTTCCCACTTCCAGCTACTCGCTGAAGACTAGAGAAGAGACCCTCTTAAGAATATTAGGGGGGTGGGCAGGGGAAGGACTAGACCATGTGAAAAATGAACATAATATTTTAGCTGCAGTTCATTCATTTTCAGCTTCGTATTGTTGTTATGAAAAAGCGCGCCTAGACATTCCGTTGTTGTGCCCATAACATGGGTTTAAGGTGCCATTTAGCTCCTAGCTTTCATATCTCAGTTTCTAACACTGCCTGCCGAAGGGCACCTTGCCCTGCAGTGGTCTTCAAATAACAGCACTGATTGGAGCTCAAAATGGATCTTGGAGGCATGATGGAAATCGCTGCCCGGTGTTGTGATACAGCCTTCTGAAAAATGAAGGCAAACCTACTACTTAGATCATAAAGATGTGGAGGTATATGAAAGTATACTAGTCCTCCTCTGTTCTGTGATTATCAAGCAAGGTGTGATTTCCTGAATAGTCTTTTTTAAGATTAAAAGTAGATAAGGAGGTCTCTCTCCATTTTGTATGGAGTGCAAAGACTTAAGTTGAACTAAGTTCTCATTAAAATCAACATGACAGACATTATTTAAGTCCCATTGCTTTCAAGTGAAATGTAAGTTTTATCCCCCCCCCCCCCCCCTGGATCTAACTGTATGGTTATTTGATTATAATTTATACTTTTAATAGAAGAGCAAAATGTAGTGATTGTCAAGCTTTTATTTTTCTCTTGTCATTTAGGAAGTTCAGAATGGAAGATTATTTCGGCTTCTTGCAAAATTGGGAACAATCAATGAGAGGCCAGAGTAAGGAATTCAGCATTTTCTGCATCAGTGTGTTATAAAGAGGCATCACAAAGAGTCTTGAATGTTCACGCATGATGATGGACTTGCAAAGTATAGAAGCCTCTGAAAGATGGGCTAGGTTACTTTGGTCAGTTTGGTAGCACACTGTCCAGAACTTCTTTGTATGTGAATATGTGTTTACCACTCACTTTTCAGTTGGATAATAGATCCTGGTTTGAGGCTTGTCTGAAGATAGAGAATTATTAGTGCAAGGTGATGTTTCATAAGTTGCAAGATTTCAAACAATTTTAAAACTCCAAACTATTGGTGCATTCTTGGGAAGGTATTTCAGTTTTTTCTCCCAACAGCAGCAAATACTCTCCAAGTGCATACAGTTGCTACAGTGCCAACTCTGGAGACTGGGAACAGTAATTGATAATTGTAAAGATTGCATTCTCCTGGACACTGTAAGTCTGACCTCAATGACTAATGATGCCAAATGTAACCTTAAGCAATAGATTATTTCATCCAGAGCATTAGGAACTGGTAGGGATTCCCCCCGCTTAAAAACCTTATTAACCTGGTTTTCAAAATCAGCTAAATTAGGATATCAGGAAAGAGATGTGCAGCATAGTTGCTTAAGATGCTTTTAGCCCCATGAAAAGTTTGTTTTTAATTTTAAACTCTGGACTGAAGGGTGTATCACACATTCCTCCTTCTTAAATTGTGGTGGGGAATAACTTGCTACAAAGCAGAAACTTCTTCAGAAAACACTTAGTCTGAGATGTTTATGAACTTGTACTAAGAAACCCAAAACGCTCTGTTTTACAATAGATTTCAGAAGGACCCAACATGGTCAGAAACTGGAGACAGATACCTCCTGAAGCTGTTTAGGGATCATCTTTTTCATCAGGTGACAGAAACGGGCACTCCTTGGATAGACCTCAGTCACATTATCTCTTGTCTTAACAAGGTAAATGAGTGACTGTATTTTACGTTTATTGCAGATAAACTATGTAACTAGTCTGTCTTTCCTCCTCCTGTTATTTTTAATTGGGCTGCAAGCAAGTTGTCTTAAAGCAGATATGGTTCTCAAATTGGTCTTCAGCTGTGTGTGCAGGTGAGTTCACACGGTGTGCATGGTGTCAGTGGTGCAAATGAGTGCTTCATTGGCTGCATCAGAAGCAATGGCTCAGACAGGACACTAAACCCTAGCTCTGTGGTACAGTGATGCATTGCAGGGAGTCTTGGACTTGCCTGCTCCCCTCTTCATCTGTGTTTTAAAACTAACTGGCTCTACATCTGTCAAGGACAAATTGTTTGTAGTTTAAACTGTGGTTTATTGAAATATGCCAGGATCAAACCATAGTTTCTGACCATGAATTGTTTCCATAAAAACCGTAGTTTAAACCTACCGGTTTGTTTTTGTCAGATGTGACAAACTGTGCTCAGCTTAAAAAGCAAATTCTTCCAGTTTGGTGGCTGCACTGGAGGAGGAGAAAGGAGGAAGGGGAGCACGAGCTCAAAGGTAAACCAGGCTTTCCCCTGTTGTGCTTGCTAAACCAGGCATCCCCAAACTCGGCCTTCCAGATGTTTTTGGGACTACAACTCCCATCATCCCTTACCACTAGTCCTGTTAGCTAGGGATGATGGGAGTTGTAGTCCCAAAACATCTGGAGTTTGGCCTAGTTTGGGGGTGCCTGTGCTAAATTGTGGTTTAGCTTTACATCTGAACCCTGGCCTCTCTTGTACATATTCAGTGAAAATTCTATTGTTGTGTCTAGTTCAAAACGGTTGACCTCTTACCATTAAATTTAGAAGCTGATAGGGATCTCTTTGTTCAATTTAGACTTTAAGGAACAAAATGCCTAATGCACTTAGACTAGACCAATCCCTATCTTTTCCCAGTCCTCTTGCCCTAAAGCTATTTGTTGTGTTGTGTGATTTATGAATGATTGCCTGTTTTACTATTCCCACTTGTCGTGTAATCCCTGCATATGGAAAGCTACTACACGCTGAACGATTTTGAGGGTCCTTTCAGAGAATTCTATAGTTTTAACTGTGCACTGTGTGACAAAGTACTTTCTTTTGTCCTGAATCTTTCATTGGATGGCCCTGGGATCTAGTATTATGAGGGGGAGAAAAACATCTCCATCCATTCCCCGCCTCACACACATAATTTTATACAGCTCTATCATAGGGACACGGGACTATCTAGGGACACGGGTGGTGCTGTGGGTTAAACCACAGAGCCTAGGACTTGCTGGTCAGAAGGTTGGCGGTTCGAATCCCCGCGATGGAGTGAGCTCCCGTTGTTCGGTCCCAGCTCCTGCCAACCTAGCAGTTCAAAAGCACGTCAAAGTACAAATAGGTACCGCTCCGACAGGAAGGTAAACAGCGTTTCCGTGCACTGCTCTGGTTCACCAGAAGTGGCTTAGTCATGCTGGCCACATGACCCAGAAGCTGTCTGTGGACAAACGCCAGCTCCCTCGGCCAATAAAGCAAGATGAGCGCCGCAACCCCAGAGTCGGTCACGACTGGACCTAATAGTCAGGGGTCCCTTTACCTTTACCTATCATAACCCCTCCTTACTTACTCCCCGCCCCCCACCAATAAAAAGCTCCAAATATTGCAACCTTTCCTCATAGGGGAGTTGCTCCAGCCCCTTGATGGTTTTTGTATACTTTTTGAGGTTTGGTGACCATTATTACACATCATTGAAATTGCAGGTATGCCATAGATCTGGATAATGGCTTTATGACATGGGCAGCTTTATTTTCAATCCCTTCCCTAGCAATCCCTAATTTACCCTTTTCACAGCTGTCACATCCTGGGTCGATATTTTTATTGAGCTGCCCACCCCTGCCCCCACCACATTTCCTTCTTGTGCTGCCTCAGAGGGGTTCCCAGCCTCCTGGAGCAGATTTTTAGAGGGCACCCGAGGCTGCAAGGAGACGTTGGTCAGAGTTGCAGGCAGAACTCTATATTCAGGATGCTCCCACCACGTGAGCACACCCAGGATCCCAGCCAAAACCATTAGTTTTGTGAATATGCTATCAAGTCCTACTATGTGAATATAAATGGAAGTTTTCTGCCCTTTGATTTCAGCTAGATGCTGGTGTGCCAGAAAAAATAAGCCTCATTTCCAGAGATGAGAAGAGTGTACTTGTGGTGACGTATAGTGACCTAAAACGCTGCTTTGAAAATACTTTTCAAGAACTGATTGCAGCCGCGAACGGCCAGTTGTAGTACTTGCTGAAAGCATGCAGGACGTTGCTGAAGAACATAACTAATAGCAAATTGCACTACAGCTGATTGTCGTCATCTCATTTCACATTTTGGGAAACAAAACAGCAGGAGATGTTGCACTTCAGTCAGGTACACTGTTACTTGAAGGGAAGAATGTTTTTGCTTACCCTTGAGCTCTGGCTGCCATTGGAGGCTTTATCTGTGAAGAATTTATTTTAAAATAAGGAACGCATCAGGAGTATGATGTTCCTGCTTTTATTTTTTCCACTCGTATATGCACTAATTTTAATTTTTTAAAGACTTTTCTGATCTCTGATGTTTTGCCACATTGGATACTTACTAAGGGAATCTCTTTGCAAGGACATTTCTGGGATTTTTATTTTATTTTTTGCCACTGAATATACTGCGGAATTTATTTGTTTTGATATTATTTGCACCCCAGAATACTATAAAGGACCAGGTGAATAATTTCATAGAAATTGTGTTCTGTAAATTTACAGTGTAGCTTGTAACCTCTGTAAAACTGTGTCTTATGCCACCCACTGTTAGGTTCACCAATCAAAACCAGAAGATGCATATTTTTTTAAAAAGGAAGAAAAAAATCAAGTTGGGTATTATAGAAATCTCACATGTAAAATCCCCTTTTATTTGGCTGAAGCTTTGTCTAAGCAAAGCAGCACCATTTTGAGATCTGTAACTTTGAGAGCATATCCCAGTTGCTCTAAACACAACCAGCGCCTTTTAAATAAAATACCTGTTTGTATATTTTACTGCTAGTCAGATGCATTCACATTTATGCAATTTTTAATAGAATTTTTAAAAGGAATTGTGTTACAGACCTGAGGATTCGGGAGTTTATTCATTTAATTTACTTATGGTATCCTTTTTTTGTATAAAGTTTTGTTCTTTGAACCACAGCTTTATTATGGTACTTTACACTGGATACAGATACAAAGACACTGTTTGGAAGATTAACTACACACAGCAGTTGTCTGGCATCAAGAGCTTTTCAAGTTTTATAGCCTGATTCTGGAAGAATGGTGGTCTGCTGTGCCTTTGCAGTCACTGCTTAGCCCAAAGTAATATTACTTTTGATAATACTCAACACATGAATATTCAGTCTTCAAGCCTGGGATTTCTTTCCCCGCAATTAACTTTCTGATATTGGACCTGCATTTGTCCGCAAGCTTGGGTATTCAAGGGAATTTGTAGTGGAACACCTACACTTTGATACTGAAGACTGCCAAATACGTATAATTTCCCCCCTTTCTTAAAGCAGTAGTGAAGACTGTATATCTGCTTCCTTTTCCCAGCACTGAATGTTTTAATAGCACTGGGTGCTCACCATGAAGACAATGTGGAAACTCTCTCCAAAGGGTGTCAGGACAGACTCAAAGCACTTGCAACTGATGTTACTGGCACCCATTTTATTAATTCTCAATATTTGTAATTTCAGGTGAATTTTTAATAATTCTGTCCAGTTTTATAAGCTTTAATGATGACACTCCTTTAGATTTGCCTCAAGGAAAGCAGTGCTCTTCAGAAGGAAGGCTGTGGAAGACTAGGGACACCTGTTGCGCCTCTAAATGAGAAATTGCAGAGCCTGCGGTTTGGTAGCATAAATAAAATCAGTTGTTTTATCTGGAAAAAAATTTAAACGGAGCATAATGTTTAATATTGAGAAGATAACAGTTGCCACACTGTTGTTCTTTTTTTTAATGTCCAAAGGAACAGGGACTTTGAGATACGAACCTGGCAACCAGTCTTTTATCATTCGCTCATGTATATGAGGAAGAGCAGCTGTCTTTTTATATGTTTTTGAAAAATCATATTGTAATTCTTTTGTACAAAAAGTAGTACTTGTATTCTAGAAGAAATATTGAATGCTTAATTTATATGCGGGCTGAGGCTTTTTCTTTTCTTTTCCCCACTGTTGTTTTCTTTGAAAATGAAAGGGATCATCTCTTCAGTTGCGGGAACTGGGAACCTTTGACAGATTATTTTGTGGACCAATATTTTGGGGAAAGCAAAAGCAAGGGGGGGGGTGTTTGTAATGCAGGGCCTTCAGTCTCATCCTTGCTGTACCAACAAGCCCACCTCTGAAACGGCAAGTTGCATTTTGCTTATTTGTCTCATTCTGTAAGTGTACATTGCTTTAGCCCCAGTAATCTCAGGACTTGGTTTAAGGTTAAAAAAATAATAATAATTTTGAAAAAGAGAGCAGAGAGCCAATAAGTTTCCATAAGTAAACGCCATCCAAGAAATTTCTGCTGTTGGGTAATGCATAGAACAATGTGGAGTATTGTTTGTTTTTATTTGGTCTGTGTTTTGGAATTTTCTGCTTTGGTGTTTTTTTGGGGGAGAGCCCTTCTACTCCAATATAATTCCATTTAGAAGGCTGTCCAGAAACTAGCATGTTCCATTCATTGGAAGAGTTATGTATGTAATCCCTAAAACAGCGCAGCAATGTTTTTCTTAAACAAGGCATACTTTTTTCATGCGGGGAAATGATTCTGACCTTCCTATCTCTACAGCTGAAAGCACAGAAAGGACAACCTTTTGAAATCATGTGATGTTAGTCCATTTAAATTTTCTTACCTGTTCTTAGGTTGCTTGTTTGGGTTTTTGTTTTTGCTACACTGTAAATACTTTATTCGGGGTACATAATGTCTTTCTTTTCCTTCTAATTTTCCCTTGTTCCAGTAAAGTTTTAGACGTGAACAGCTTCCCCTAAAAAGCACCAGTGTTACATTCTGATGTCATGATCCCACTCTGTGTTACCTTTTAATCTTGTTTTTCATTCTTTTCATGTGTACAGCAGTATTTTTAATAAAGAATACCAGAAATAACACAGCCTTCTTTTGAGCATGCAAAGGTGTGGGTATTGTGTGCCACTTCTTGTGTAGTTGACTTAAACTATTTTATGGAGTTGTTTTCTTCATATTTTACTCCACCCCACTCTACTGCAGGGTTTGTGGAACAGTGTTTGGCTTGCAAGCATTGTTTATCTGGTGTTCAGATATAGTATACAGCCTCAAGAGAACAGTGATGTGCATTTCTTGCTGATAGACAAATGGCAGAGCTGGCCTGTTCGTTATCCAACTGACTCCAGATGCTGAAGTAGTCCAAACCCTCTGAAAAATGCTTTTTAAATAACTTCCACTTTTGTTTGAGCTCCCATATCAGATTAAGATACATTTGGCAATTTACTTTTTGGAAAATTATTCATGAGTTTTATGTAGTTTTCCATTTTTTATTGATTTGAACTATTAACTGAAAAATATATATATATTAAGGCATGGTCAAGGCCTTTGAACCCTCAAACCTCCCTGTGATATGTTTTATATAAAGTGTAAAAAGTCATAGAACTTTATACAATAGAGGGCAGAAAAACTTTAGGATCCTGCCAGATATTTTTTGAAAACTGGTCTTGCAGACTTTTTGCAGGTTTAATCTTTACACCTTCTAAAAGTGCATGCGTGGCCTTGCTGTTCATTGTCCCTGGGTTTTCTTTCTCAAGCTGGAGTGTGCTTAACAGGAGACGCTCCAAGAGTAGTATTTTGTGAGCATGTGGGTTGCAAAAGCATGCTTGCACATCATATTGGCCCATGTGCCAGAGGATAAGGCTTGTCTTCAACTTTCTACAGCTACACACGATGGCAAGCACATCTTTCCTGCTGACAGCTTTGAATTCAAACGATGCCTTGGGCAAGTACAGAATTCTGTGCATGCAACTGCATATAGACCATGGAGAAAAAACTCACCTTTAGAAGGGCCCAATGATCCACAGAATGAAGAAGCATCTCTTTATCACACTACCAGTGACTTAGCTTGAATTCATCCCCTTGAAATAAGGTCGATCTTCTGACAGGCCTTGACAAATACTTTGGCTACTTGAAATTGCTGCTTCAAGCCAAAACCAATTTGGTGAGACACTTCTGCAACATTTTGGAATTATTATGAACACAAGCAAAGCAATAATCTCTCAAATGGAGCTTGGAAATAAATTTTATTGTGAAACTTTAGGAAGCATATGTAAAAATAGACGGTAAAAGTTAAGGCACAAGTAGGAGATATTTACATCCAGTTAAAGAATGCTTTTTAAATTCCAGTTTTTTAAAAAAGGTTCATTAAAAGCATTAGATTTGAATATAAAAAATATTTGTTTTTACAACTACTAATGCCCTACATGAAAATAAACCCAGGAGTTTCACTCCTCAGCTCTTTATAGATCCATTGGCTTTAATAATAGAGTCATGGCTGAATAGCTGGCTGATGTTCCATCTGATGAAAGAGCACAAAGGTTACAGACTTACGGCTTTAGAAACTGAGTGTTCTAAAATTCTCCAGCACCCAAACACTCTTCACTCTATTGGCCTTGATCCAGCTCAGGTTAATTGTGACAAATTGTCATTGAAACCAGTGAATCAAGTTTAGGCATAACCAACTTGGAACAGCAGGACCGACATCAGCTGCTTTTATAGAACAGCCATCGTGGTAGCTTACTGGTCGACCAAGGCAATGGTTCACTACCATAACTACCTGCCCCTTGGCAAAATGAACCTAGCAGCACACTCTTAGCACTAAACTAATTCAATAGTTGCAATAGCAGCAGCACAAGATTCAACAGGTATTTCAGACAGTGCAAAGCTGCAGCTGGATGCAGGTTTTATTGCTGATTAGCTACAGCAGGTTGGCCTGACGCTTTGTGCCTCTGCTGTCACTTGCAGCTGGGAGTATAAAAGCAGGCTAGTATAATAGATACATAGAGAACTGTGTGTTCTCTCATGGAAAATACTAAGATGCTGCGCCAGGGAGTCCCCAGTACTGCCTCAAGAAAACCTGAATCCTACCTGTGTTTGTTGTGCAGATTTACTTTGTGCAGTGTATATGTTGCTTCAGCAAGCTACAAGGTAAAGAGCTATGCAGGGAGCTGAGGCCCCAACACCCTCTGTATGGTTTTGAAATGTTTAATAAGGTATTGCAGAGCTACCCTTGCCCCTGATGCATTCACTGTATCCCCGTTACGTCTGCTTGAACTGTTTCTACTGAACACCTTCAAAAGCTGAAACAATTCCACAGCAGCATGAGAGCAAAATGGGTATGTATCTACAAAACTCTGTGGGTAAAATAAAAGTGCAATCTCCCTTAAGCATATAACTAAGTAGACCAGAAGCGCCTGGTCAGTTTCACAATCCTCCCATAGCATTGCCTGAGACCAGTGTAAGGATCTGTATTTAGGAAGTGAGAGAAATACAGTGCACAGGGTTCTCTTCCTGCTGTCCCCCTCACATTTGAATAGTTACTGGGTTCTTGTGGTTCTTGCTGTTGGGTGGAAGCTAGTGCTACAGCACAGAAATAGCCTGTACTCTACAGGGGTGCTGTTGGGTCAGTGAGTAGCAGGAAGGAGCGTTCAATATTTTAAATGGTGATAGTGGAGAGAGGCAGCTCAGTGGAGGAGCAGCTGCTTTGAGTAGTTCAAAGTCCTTACTTGCTACACTGGAGGAGTGGAATAGCGAACCACCGAGTTATAGCTGGGAGGAGAGGAGCCCTGCATCTGCTTCCCTTCCCAGCCGGTGCTGCCGCGGGTAAATGGCAGAGTCACATCGCTGATGTGGCCGCAGCTGGAACTGTAAACCTTTGGCTTTGCGGTGTCACAAAGGACAGACTCCTTGCTTCGGCTGCCAGAGAGGAGGCTACAAGCAAAAGCAGACGTGTGTTAGATTAAAATTATGTATCATTAATATGTTTCCACTATCCTCACCAATGCTATAGAGCATGAACTTTTGTTTGGGAACTGCATTTAGGATTTCTCATGCCCCAAACAAGACGCAGTCTTTTCTTTTTTTCCTTTTAAGCAAGTCTGACCAACTTCCTTACTGTCCATTCACTGCTTAGAATAATTCCTGTTAATACAGCCTTTTCATGGTCAAGCCCTTATTCCCTAGACAGGAGCTAGGCAGAGGAAGGCGGCTAACACAACATGGCAGAGGGCAGGAGCAAAAATGACGCTCTTGCATCCCTCCATTGTCATGTTGCCATTTTAGTATCCTGATTATACCACGCTGAGTCATGAAAGGGAAGGGGCACTAAGAACAAAAGCCATACCCTGCCCCCAGCTCTATAATGTGGTCGTTTTTGTATATTGCTAACTCAAACACAAGGCAGGGACCAAATTGACCAGTGCTGTGGGAGGAGGTGTAAATCTTCCCCCTTTTGCAATCTTCCACCTGCCCATAAAAGCCACCCCATAGAACAAGATATACCCATATGATACCTGAGATCCATAGGGCAAACAGCAGATGAATGGAGAGTGGTCTTTCTCAGGAAAATGGCTCACAGAAATAGGGTTAACACCCCCTTTAAGTGACAGATTCAATTAGATTCCTAGCAAATGTCCCCACTTTGTGTCTCGTTGCATCCTGAATAGTCATGGAAATCACATACCCAAAGAAAGTTTGCTTTTGTTTGCTGCCTGTCCATGTAAAACGCTTCCGTTCTTCTGAAGACAGCACCATCCCACTGTCGGCCTGGTAATCCTGAAAAAGAACACACCTTTGGTAATGCAACTTTGTTCCTTGTGTGTTCAAGTTTACTCCAGTTACACATTGACTCTGAATAACCCATCATCTACATGGCCCTAAATTAACTTTTTGGTAAAAGTGCAACCATGTAGGGTGTTCAACAACTGTGCAAAATGTGTACCTGTGTATGCAAAGAGTTGAGTTTGTACACCAATATTCACATGTAACATTCAATGGCCATAAAGTCTGTGTACACAACAGCTTAGCTGTACAAATCAACAAGGGTACACCCACAAATACTTGTATATGTTTAGAGACAGCTTGTACTTGTATTTGGGGTAATATGTGAATAAGCCTTATGTTAGCTGCAAGAAAAGTGGTGTATGAGCAGTGGTAAAAAAAGTATTTCTGTTCCCAAAAAAGTGATAAATTATCAAACTGATAACTACTTCTTAGTTGACACTCTTCGTCCACTGAGACTAAGTAGGACTGCACTTTTTGGTGTTATGGTTTAGCATATCTTTACATATCAGATATATTCTTGGAGTTCTCTGAGCGTAGACTCAGTTACAAGCTTCAGGGACACAAAAAAGGAGACCTGGCTCACAGAAGCAAGTTTTACATACTCCCAATTCTGCTATGGCTCAGATTAAAATCCCTAGTTTACCTAGCCAACCACCTCACTTCTTCTCCATCAGCGCTCTTCCTTCCATAAAGCCCCTTCAAATCAGTGGTGTTTTTTGCAGGTGTATTCTGCAATGTGTTGGACTCGTAGCTTCTTGCTGAAATGCTGTAACTTTTCATCCCACAAATGTTTATTTTTTAAAAATAAATAAATTTTATTTTCAGTTTTTCTTAAAAATATTTTACATCTATAGAATTCCAATATTACAATACACAAAAATATTCTGTTTCCCCTCACCCCTTTTGTGGTTTCTTATTTTAATTCATAACACTGCATTTTCTTCGTCGTCCTAATTATTAATTACTCCTTCAAATTTTCTTTGAACTGTTTGGTTTAAATTAATCCTCCTAATGAACTTATGTGTGTACAACGACATTTCAAACAATCTACAAATCTTCCCCAGTCACTGATAAAGTTTTTCATCCCACAAACATTCTCTGTGTGTGTGTGTGTGTGTGTGTGTGTGTGTGTGTGTGTCCCCTTTTGGTGTTGCAGAATATACCTGCCAAAAAGCACCAGTTTGGAGGGGTCCTGACATTGACACAATAATAGCGCATTAGTGGTGGATTTACACTACACTGCCCCCTCCGCTGCATTGGTTATTATGTGCTGCTTTTGCCACGTTGCTGCATTATTGTCATCTGGAGGGGGCACTCTTGCAC